TCATTCAAATTTGAATAGTTCAAAAATTGTTTATTCTAAATCGGGTTCATACGGAATTCTAAACAAAAAATACAACCAAATTTAGAACTTCCTACTTTTCTTGAAGTCGGTTAAAATCAGTTACTACCTCATTTGATTTTGATTGTAATTATTTTTTTATATGTATATGGTATTCATCGATCGATACTATTCGACTCGATCTATACAACACTATTACTATTCATATGTTCATCATTCTCCATTCAACGAAAACACATTCAAAGATTTTCACATCTCCAAATACAGATAAAAATGATTTCAAATGGTTGAGTTCTTGAAAAATATTCCCTACTACGCACGCATACTGGTTCCAATTTTGCGTGACTAACACTTTGTCAACTTATATGAAAAGCTGTTGACGCAGCTCGTACATTCGCACATCATTATTTCAATAACATAGTGGCTTTAAAGTGCGATATGCAAGTTAACCACGAACAAATCATTAGTGTCACATAAAATGTTTTCCAAAGAACTAAGGACATCATTATAGCGCGTGTTGATTTTGCATCTATTTTTGTATCATATTGTTTTAAGGGACAAGCCAGAGCCACGTCTAATATCAATTGAAAAAAATATGTGCGTGTGGCGATTTCCACACACGATAAAACACACTACAGCGCCATCTAACGAAGACACAATGAAATACGACGCGTAATAGCTAATCTTATATCGCGATATTAACAATTCTATCGCTGTTTAGCATTTATATAACTTCAAAACATCATTCGTTTGGCCGCGGCCTGCCAGGCATGATCAGCTCGCCTGTTCAGAGGATCCTCCCTTTGTGTTGGAGGGACATGTCACCCATTCCTCCACAAGCGTTTACTTGAGGCTCTCATAAAAACATCTCTTATAATTCGTGAAATAAAGATACATAACCGAGGGAGAGCCATCAGAACATATATGGGCTGGCCCGACCTCTCTGAAAACTAATTTATAGTACAGTCATCTTAGTCTAAATAAGGGGTGGATCTCGAAGAACATTAACACGTGACCATACGTGGATTTTGAAACAAGGTTTGTACAAGTATTCAGCTTATTCCGTTAGATTCGGGGATGGAACCCTAAGATGACTGGACTATTAAGAAATTCTTGAGTTGATTTCCAAAAAGTGAGATTACCGAAAGCCCAACACACCACCACCAATACATACCAGCCACTACCCTATACCTCTTCCCCTTTATGTTTTCTCTCCAAGCCACAGTTAAAAGCGATAAGGCCGCCACTAGTACTTATTTAACCTAGTTTAAGTTAATTATTGTATATTTATACCTTTTTTTCCTGTGCGGAAATCCCCTCGGATACCACCAACTCCCTGATACTCCTACGTACCTCGGGCCATCTACGGGCGTAAATGTGTGGGAACCCATATGTCCCCTTTGTGCTCCCGAAATGGCGCGCGCGCTTCGAAGCGCGTCTCGCCACCACCCCGGCCTGCTTCTGCTAGGGTGACAGATGGGTTTATTTATACCTGGTGTACATTAAAGCGAATTATTCCCTGCCTAATTCAGGGGGGGAGCACTCACAGGGCGGTGAAGCACACCCGTCTCTGCTGAAATAATTTACCTTTCGTATAGTGAACGCCTTTTACAAATATGTAAGTACCTACCAATGGTTCACGATGTCACACCCTATATACACACAAACTCACAATATTCTCACCCTCTTTATAATAACAGCAGTGCATATGCCTATCATCTAGTCAGATTTCATATTTAAACATGATATCTAATTTAATGTAAGGCATAGGGAAAAATTGTGTCGTATCCCACATTTAACATCTCATGTTAGTACAACATGTAGGTACGCATGTTCCTGTAACGCGAAACATTACGCCTAACTTTTTTGATTTAGCAATGTTTTCTTATTATTATCATTCAATTTATTAATTGTTTATCTAAAAAACGTCTATAATTGTTCAAATATAATATGGCGATGATAAAACAACTATAAAAATTGAATCGTCACATAAAGACGGTAAAACGCAGGGCGGTGATGGCTATAAAAATGTGATGTAATCATCTTTTTAATAAAAATAACTAATGCTCAAGTAACAAAGCCTTTCACCAGCCATTTCACCCTCCCTCTAAGATTTCGATTTTCAAATTTCATAATTTACAAAGAAGCGTAAACATAACAGCTAACAGCATCGAAAAAAAAACTGCATAATCATTTGTTATCCATTAACGCCGTTACACCGGCAAGATTAAAGAATAAACCAAAGTAAAATTAATTTACATATAAAAGCATGTACAAAAAAATGGGGGTGCACTTCATACCATTGTATAACCGAATATAATAAACGGGGGAAATGTCGCGAATAATGGCATAAAAATAGTTACGTTATGGATATAGTATTTCATAGTGAAATCTATCAGAAATGTTGACTACTACAACCCCTTATAGTATCTAGGTCGACTTAACCAGTAGCTCTTTATACATATATGACAGTTATGCACCACATTACACATGCTAATAACATACATAATAAATCCTACCGAGCCATACACCGATGCGGTTGGCAAGCCCCATATGATATTTTTAGCTTCCCCTAATACTCAATCGACAACAGTTTTAGCGTCCTGTCTGAGGTACGAGCGGAGCCACCTATTAAGTGGCCCCGCGACCCCACACTCCTGCATAGCTTAAAGTAACTGGTGGTGCTCCAAGGTCACAAATGTTGTTTTGAAATCAATGTAGATAACCACCACCGGCTTCTGCTGATTTAGGTTTTCATTAAATGTCAAATGTAATTAAAGAATTGTGCTAGAGCCGATGCACTAGGGGCAATTTTTTAAATCGCAACCGCGAGACGCACATTACAAAATGGCTAGCATAATGGCATGAAAGCAAAGAGTTTTATTCCATCAGAACTATTGCTAGAATAGACGGTTTGTTTAACTACAGAATTCTCTTAATCGAATAGCCTATCATTCACAAAAATGCTTACACTTACTTCCTTCAAAAAGCAAGTGAAAGAATATTCCTTAGGAGATATCAATGTTCCATCAGTTTATTTATTTTATTTATTTATTTATTAATAAGTACTACCACATCATACATATTATACTTATAACTAGTTTTGACAATACGTGGCATTATACCTGATATGTATGACAATTAAGGTGTACATAGCATTTACTGTAATGTAGTAGTGTAAAAAGTAGTAAACTAATTACAATAAAACGAGAAAAAAAAAACTAACTAAAGAAGAGTATACTTAATAATAATAATAAACTGTTTGAATTAATACTACTCTAAATCTATTTTATATCTTATTCACATTTGTTTGGGGTTAAGGTAGATGGACACAAAACATTTGTTATTTTAGTTTTAAATTCATTATACGATTGGCGAAAGATGTCAATGTCAGGATCACGAGTTTGGATACTATTATATTGGTTAAGGACTCTATTTATTGGTGAATGTTGGCCTAGATTAGTTCTTGAAAATTGTGTGTGGAATATTTTAGTTATTCTATGTCTGGGATAAGAGTGAGGAACCTTCACTGATATTTTTTCTAATAAATAATTGTACTGTATATTATTATTAATTAATTTATGAAGAAAACAAAGGTCAAAAATGCGTCTGCGATTAGAAAGAGTGGTCATTTTAAACTTGGATAGCCGTGTGTCATACGGGCTCCTATGAGAAAAACCACTGCAAGAGTAGGCAAGGTTTCTGGTAAAGGCTCTTTGAATGCTTTCAATTCTTTGGGAATGAACAGCGTACCATGGTGACCATGCAGTACTCGCAAATTCGAGAATGCTGCGGACAAGAGCATTGTACAGAAGTAATTTGGTATCTAGTTTTTTAAAATCTGAGCTATTTCTCCTCAAAAAACCAAGCATTTGTGCTGCCTTAGTTACAGTTTTGTCAATATGCGATGTAAAAGTCAGCCCTGTATCGATGATAACGCCCAAATCACGAATCTCATTGACCTCTGCTAAATAAACCTCGCCAACCTCATACTTAGTAACAAGTGGTTTTTTTTTGCGGGTGTACTTGATGTGAAAGCATTTATTAACATTAAGCCTCATGCAGTTTACGTTGCACCAATCTAATATTGCATTAAGGTCATCTTGTATTAGTTGGGAATCACTGATTGATGTAACTGGATGGTAAATCTTAAGATCATCAGCAAATAGTGACATTTTGCAGTGCTTAATACTAGAACTTATATCATTTATAAAAATAAGGAAGAGAACTGGTCCTAAGTGGGAACCTTGAGGCACTCCAGAAACCGCATAATAGGCTCGTGACTCAAATCCGTTCACAACCACACTTTGTGGTTTATGTTGCAAATATGATTCGAACCAGTTTAACAATGGCCCCCCTATGCCATAGGCATGCAGTTTTTGTAAAAGAACTTTATGATATTATCAGTTATTAACTTTCTACTAAGTCAATAAGGTTTCATACAATATATGTATTTAGTAGTTATAAATCAGACGTATTTATTTTATTATATGTATCTAATAACACCACTAGCCCTGTTCTGTACATAGTATATTACCTCTAGTACGTTATATACTCACCAAAAAATAGATACTATGTGTAACTATCATTATCTTTATATACATATATATTCTACTTTGATTTCCTCTTTTTATCTATTTCCCAACACACCAGCCATTACCCTATAGCTCTTCCCCTTCATGTTTTCTCTCCATACCACGTTTGCCTGTAGGAGATTGCCTCTGAGCGATAAGGCCGCCATTTGTACTTGTCTAACCTAATTTAAGTTAATTATTGTATAAGTATATACCTGGTGTACATTAAAGCGATATATTATTATTATTGACCGGTTTGCCTATAAATTGTAAAAACGCTGTAGGTGCTAACTTCTGGCAAAGCACCTTGGGCTAACACCCCATATGGGGAAATCGATGTAATTAAAAAATAAAACAGATTTGTAGCTATATTAATTTATTTACAACTAAATATATTTTTTAGAGCTTCTAATTATCCCACTTCTTAGAAATGTCGATATACTCGCCGTCCGGTGACTCGTAGTTTTTGATAGGTGGCGTGGCGACCGTCCCGCGGATTTCATATGGAATCAGCGACATATCGGGCTGTAAACAATGAATTTCTAATATAACGGTGAAAAGTTATTCTTATTAAAATACATAATTTGTGGTTTGGGATTAAGTAAGTACCCCTAGAAAAGGAAAACATTACGTTTGTTTGTTCTTTCTGAAACTTATTGTAATCTGCTTGTGTATCGTTCACCCAATTTGATAATGGATAGTTAATAAATTAATATTTCTTGAACATAATAGTTAATTGAAGACGAAATAAGAAAAGTTAAAACTTCTATAGACTTATCATATCCTTGCGGCCTTGCTCAAATCAGTACTAACGCAATGAAATTAAAAAAAAACAGATTTTGGTTTTTTTTAAATGTGGTTAGGGAGGTGGGGGAGATGGGGGGCCAAACACGCAGGTGGGTCACGTTTTGGTAAGAGTCTGCTTTGACAGTTACGTGTATGTACACAGAATACGTGTTATAGTAGTTCTAGTACAAAGTTATACTAAACAAAACGTTATAATTAATAAAAAAATTTTTGGCTGAAGACTTTTAACAAATAAAGGATTGTGTACCATTGAGAATTGACCGTACCAAGTTCTCTCTTAGAGCATTGCCACTAGAAAATTTATTTACAAAATTGTTTTCTGTCATATTTACAAGTGAAAGATCACACAGACGACTATTTAATTTTGGGCATAGATCCATGACTCACATTTTAACATTTTTTTAGGGTCAAATGTTCATGCAGTATAGTTTTAATGCAATCCATACCAACGCTCAGGTATGTCACGCATACTTGAGTGTTGAAAAGGTCACAAGCTAATTTTGCAATAATACAACACGATTCGATTTGTTATGGCACAGCAACTGATGGACGGTCACTATAGGTGTAAGGCCGGTTAAAACGAAAAAACTTTTTTTTCGATTCAAAACGGTTGGTGTTAATGACTATATTTTCTTGATTTTAAGGTAGGTAAGGTAAGGTAAGGTAGGGATATGACGGAGTACCTATAAACTGTGTAAAGATTTTTTTTTCTGTGATATACTGATATTAATATACTTAACGGGTTTAGTTCTAATTGGTCTGTAAGACCAAGCGTGGGCATTACCTACCTAAGTAGTAAAAACTCTATTAAAAAGTTAAAAACTCTGTGTTGGTAAGTATAATTTTTTTTTTCATTGTTTTCAAACTATAAAAATAATCAATTTGATTCGGTTTCAAAACGAACTCACACTCTCGCACTCGCGCGACGGCCCTGAAGACATAACGTTGTCTCTTTCAGGACGGAATTGTGTTAATGATGTCTTCTAATCTAGTGTATGTAATATAATATAATAAATAAGTATCGGTAGGTACACCTACATACTTAAGTTTTCGTGTAGTAGGTAATGTGGGTAGGTACTTTCTATTGATTTTCTATAAACTAATTAAAACGAAAAATTATGTCAGGTGACCAAAAATTGCCCATGATGGAGTGTAAAACACAGTTCTTTTATTTTTGTAGGCGAGTTTTTGACCGTTTGAAACGATTTATTTGGGGTTTGAAACGGCACATCTTATTTAAAACATTTTAAATCGGTAGTTTTACAACTATAGTCTTCACAAGGTTCTCTTCAGTGAGTAAACTACAATGACGATTGATAGATGCATTTACCATTTTAATGACACTACCTATTTTTTCTCATTCTATATTTCAATTAATATTTAATTTCTTTATTTATCAAATAAATAAATAAATTGTGTGTACCATTCTCCTTATGATTCATTTTTAAAAGTATTTTGTATACAAAAAAACAAATGAAAAAAACAATCATGGCAATAAATATATTTGATTATTATACATACCATTATAGCCTCATTGTATAGATCCTCAGATTCCTCATAAAGCTTTTCAAGTGCTCTACGTTGTGCAGCCATAATTCTGTCAATTTGTGCCACATTGGCCATATACTCTGCACGTTTGTACCGTGTCCATTCTTTTTGCAGTAATGCACGAGCTTCTATCACTTCTGCTGACAATTTAGGTTGCGGCCTCTTTCTCTTACTGTAACCAAAAATATAATTTATTCCAGGGCACTAGGTAGTTCAGAGCAAAAGTAACCATTATAATTGTGTGGAGGGCAAGATCATTTGTGCTGAATCTGGGTATACTTTATCTATAATATGGATATAGTTAGTTAGTCGTAATTGTAAGCTACATAACAGAGGATTGCAAGACAAATGTACAACTACTGAAATATAAATTATGGATATATTCTTTCATATACATATCATGATAAAAATGCAGTGTATGGTCTTGATAATGCTACAGTAGAACATGTCTAGCCAGAGGAGTGTGTAATAAAACCTTTTACCTCTACGAAGCTTTGTCTAATTAAATTTAAGAATTTCTAGTTTATAGAGCCAATGCTGCTGCTGCAAATCAGTAAGCAGTGGCACCAAGGTTTATAAACTTGAAACCAGAAAATTTTAAAGTTTAATTTTTTTTTTTTTTTTTTAATTAAACTGAAGAATCTTTAAAGATGGTAATTACAGTGTATTATTTACATAATTCTGTACTATTGTGACCATAAGATTAAATATATATTGTTCAAAAAATTAAGCTGAAATTACTTGCTCTAAAATTTATTTTAAATTTAAAGCAAGGATGCAGTGAAAATTCAATTGAAGCGTTCTTGTACTAGACAGAAAAGGGCCATCCCTAACTCATAACTCAAATCAACACACCCCAACCCTCCAATAAATAGTTCACAAAAAAAAATAGTTTAATGTAAACAAAATCTTATGTAATCCATTTGGATTGTAAATGTAAGTGCCGCTTACTTTCTTAAACAGTAAAGTGGCATTACAGCTATTATATATTTCAGGCCATCGGAAGCGCCTTATTTTTCTTTTAAATCCAATATATCAATAACTTCAAATGCAAGGTACACAGGCTTTGTTATACAGCACAACAGGCACAAATGTTTTATCCAGGATGGATGCGTTACCATTGTATGACCAATAGGTAAGTTAACAAATAGTAGGCACTGAATAAGAATTCTATAATTGATCCCCATAAATGCACCTACCTCATTCTCTCTCTGCATCGCCCAATCAGTAGACTGGCAGAGAATGCTTTAGGCATTAAGTTGCCGATGTATATATTTGTGCAAGAAGTCATATAAAAAAATAAGTTGTCTATCTATTACCTCAATATACTTAAGAAGTTCTTAAAGAACTAGTAAGAGAAATCTGACAGTTTTGTATTCTATCAATAACAAATAATAAAATACTTACTTGAAATTGTCCAACAGTTCAAGGGGCACTTCCATTTCATCAATAGGCTTCAACTGTCGGGCATTTTTTTCCAGCCTCCGGATTTGCTTTTCTAATTTCTTACGACGCCTTTCCTCACGTGCTTTAACAATGGCCGGGTCGATCTTCTTTTTCTTTTTCATTGGCTCTGCCCTGAAATAATATTACAAGATCTTTTTTACTTATGTTTAACAGTCCTACAAAAAAAAAATTTAAATTCCTTTTTATATATATTCATATTTAGTAAGATTTATGAACGAGACAAACAATTGAGGCAGTTTAATGGTGATGACAGCAAAAGGCTTGTATTATTCGAGAGTTTTATTATGTGTTTACTTACCAAAGCTGATCTGTTATTTTAAACTGCAAAGACGCAGTCGCAGAGACATTTCTACTTATAACTGATGGGGAAATTGCAGGCACTATTGATAATCTGTAAAAGCAATATTAAAAATATTCTTTACTTTTTAGAATTTGCACTCACTTCAGATATAAGGTTATGTTGACATAATAGTTGTTATAAAAAAAACACATACCGTGTAAATTGTCTTAGTAAAGACAAATTAAACATGTTTGTTACTCTACAATATAAGCTATTATGATAAAAATTAAATTTCTCACAACTAAATAGCCTAAAATTTTGGTAGTCGAACTGACTGACAGTTTACTTGTTGACAGTTGACATTGCTAACTGACAGATAACGTTCTAGTCTCAGAGTATCATACTTATCGAAAGAACATCAGCGTGCCGATTGAGACATTAGAAATAATTTAAATTCATGAAACAGAAATATAGTAGCGCACTAAAATAACAATAAATGACTTCACCTTTTTTTTAACACACTCTCTGTAAGGTGTACAGCCTTTTTACTTTTGATGAATAAGAACTGATTAGACTTGACAGGTAAACCTACAGTACAGATACATTTTATGGCCTATAAGGTAAAGAAACAAACGGGTCACCTGATGGTAATTGACTACCGTCGCCGATGGACACCTAAAAACACCTTACAAATTATTCAGTTATCAGTGGGTCCACTGATAAACATGCAACTTCCTTAATTGAAATACAGACTAACATAGATTACCATCATACCATCAAAATAACTTTAAAGAAGTATATATTAATATATATAAAATATTATTTATAAATAATGGGTGCGCATTTTTTCACGTAACGTTTTAAGTTTTATTATCGGGATTCCGAAAATATTTCTCATGTCATTTTACATCAAAATGATCAATCTATATTAAAATGTTTAATACTAACGGTTAAAACACAATTTATAATATCACCAATGTTTATTATTCCAATATTTGTCTTCATATATTTCTTATGCATCAGTGCTATTTATTCGTTATTAAAGATAGCAAGTTATTTAAATCGTTATCCTTCATTTTGTTTTTGAACCTAAAAAAATTAAAAGGATATCAATAATACAGAGATTTTTATACTAACAGCGAACATGCCTCGGCAGCGGCCGGCGAACCGCCAGAACTGAACATATTTTGTAACTAATACTTAGACGTATTAGATGACGAGCGAAGAATCATCCTTCTATTTCTAGGTCCTTGCGTCTTTGTTTTTTTTATTAACTGTTGTAACTCTTATAATAAATATCTTTATCTAATAAATAAACTGCTAATAATTTCTAAATTACAGCTAGAAAGAAATAGAAATCATCATACATAGTTGTTAATGTTGAGTTGCATTTTATATTTTTCTCTAAATAATTAAGTATATAAATCTACATATCTTATTTTTAAAAGTTACCGTTGTAAAAACAATATTTTGAGTTCAAATATTTTCTTAGGAATGTAATTATTAGTAAGAAATTATGATAATTGTCTCTTATCAAGGAAATTGTTCTGAAAAACAACACTATGAGTTCAAACATGTTCAAAATGAAAACTCTCTGTTATGAGCACCTTTAGTAGTAATAAAAACGTATGAAGTTGTTTTTTTTTTAATAAGTTTTCGTATCCTACCGGCGATCGTGGATCGTATCCTACCAGAACACCTGATGGAAAGCGCCCGCCCGCCCATGAACGCCTGCAAATCAAGAATCACAAGCACGTTGCCTTCCTTTGAGGTCGAAGTACGCCTTTTTTTTGGAGGTTTGAAGGTCGTATCGGTCCGGAAATACTTCAGACGATAATTTGTTCCACAGATTAGTTTTGCAAGGTAAAAAGTTCCTTGACACAGTGGTGGAATACCATTTGTCCAAGTGAAGGGGATGGAAATTTTGCCGCGTAGAACGATGGCGGAAAGCTGCGGCCCGGTATTAGTCCAATGACTTCCTAATATGCTTTATGCCTGATAATGTTAATGCATATGAATACCGAGTTTTATATATAAATATTTATCTATAACTTAAACCTAGACACAGAACAATTAATTGAACTTATCCCCCATAATAAAAAACGAATTTTCCAAATCGGATCATAAATTGTGTCGGTTAAAAAATTGTCGTATTCGAGCAATCACAACTAAAAGTCCGACGACCTGAGAATCAATATTGCTCATTGTTCCTATTTTCACACAAAAAAACAAGGTGACAAAGACACTGCTTTGTCACCAAGAATTTTTTTTTTACAAAGCAATAATACCAAAATGATTTATTACAAACGCTTTTAAAAAGATTGTCGCATTAATTAAATGCTTATATATATAAGTATTTTACCCGTAGTTTTAGTAATGATGTTAAGAACAAAAGTAAGTTACTGAAGTACCTACCTAAGTATGTACACCTATTACAAAATTACGTCATTATCGTTCTTTGTCGGTATAAGATCATCTTAGAATGATTTTCAAACAATCATCATTACTTAAGATATTAATATTCGTTATTTTGTTTAGTAATGGCCTTGTAATGGAAAAATTCATACAAATTACAACTGTAGTAGCACAGTATCAGAGATCTTAATTATCTAAATCTTCTGTAGATTCCCTACAATCCTTAAATACGATTACGCCACCCAATAAGTATTCTTAATAATCATAATAATTTTTTTTATACCAAAATTGAGTATACATGTATTCAGTACGATGGCTGACAATTCTCACATTGTTAACTAAATGTTTAGGTTGAGTACTGCACTCCTAGATAGGCTACTGAGCAGCCTGTGATAAGGAGTTACAGTGCCGGACCCCTGTTGGTATATAGGTTGATTTCATTAATGCGTAAGGTACATGCATATGTGTGTATGTGTGTGTTGTGTGTGTGTTTGGAATGTGTATGCATGAGTGTGAGTTAAGTGTACGTGCGCCTTTATTTAATTAAAAGGAATTCAGTTTCTTCATAGCTTAGTTCTTCATAGTTAGTAGGAATTTTGCTATAGTCTTTTTACAGGCAAAGTAAGTCAAGCCGTAGATATTACACCTTGCATTGATTTTGTTGTACAAAGGTGGACCAAGGTACACAGAAAACCTCTTAAAGAACAGAGTATGTGTGTGCGGAACGGGACAAATTTTATCTTTTCTACTTGTCGTGATTATTTTGTATGGCGTAAGAAGGTGTTGCATTATAACTATTTGCAGTATATAAAGTTGTCTTACATTAAGCACATTCTACGTTTGTATAGTTCATTTGTAGGTAATAAGATTGGTCCAGATGTAGCCACCTTTAGTATTGCTCCGTGAGCTATCTCTAGGGGCATCAAGATAGTTTTTGCTGCCCTACCTAGCAAGGGATACCGGAATTATTAATAGATCGACAAAGTGCATAGTATACGTTTGATTTGAAATGAATAGCAATATGTCGAAGGGTTTTAAAAACGACCGCAGAGATAGCTTCTAAAGAGCTCGAGCGGAAGGCCTCTGACCCCAATATGTGCTATTTTAAGTGAGAGAGTAGAAATAGGAATAGTGTCAAAGGCCTACGTAAGATCTAGAGAAATAGTGAGAACCTTCTTATGGGAGTTTAAGCTTTGTACAATATAAGTTATTAAGTTACTCACAGCGTCACTTGTTGATTTTTGTTTCCGAAAACCAAATTGTTGCGGGGACAGTAATTTGAAGTGTTTCAGGTACCCTGTCAATGTTTTATTAATAAGTCGCTCCAGTATCTTAGGCAAGGCGCTCAAAACGCAAGCGTTAGTTGGTAAGTTACCAGGTCCATTTTTGAAAATGGGGTGTATTATAGGTTTCTTTAACAATGTAGGAAATATACCTGTTTGGAAGCAAGCATTAAAAATGTGTGATAGAATGGGCGCAATAACCCGTGCATAACGTTTGTGGAACCTTTGAGAGATACCGTCACAGCCTGTAGCGGCATTGGTTTTTTAGGAGTTAATAGTAACAATAATGTCGTCCGGATCAGTTGACTCTAGAGCAAAGTAGTTTTACTTGTATATTAATTGCGGGTGTGTATGAAAGTGATGTTATTAGGTATGCTGTTAGCAAGGATTTTTCCAACATTAACAAAAATCTGATTCACTTTATTGCAAGACTGATATGGTGATGAACAAAGAGATAGTAATTGAGAGGTGTGTTTTACTTTGGATGTATTTGTTATAGATTTTAACGTGTCTCAAAGTTATTTAGGATTTTGACCTGCCTCATTTAGTTGTTGAGCATCAGAATGCCTCTTGGCTCTCCTTAAGATAGCTAAACAAAAATTACTGTATCGCTAATAAGTTATGACTAGGATATGGTTCTCTGGTGAGTGTTTAATGTTTTTGATTTCGAATGCATCGGAGCAAACTTGGAGTCATCCACGGTTTCAGTGTTTTTTTCTTAGCCGGTACTTTAATGAGGGACAAATATTCGGTAGTTACAGATTTAATTACACTTACTAAAGAATCTATCGCATTATTTGGGTCTGATTTAGAGAAAAGGAAGGAAAGATCCAAGTTCTGCATAAGTCTGTCGAGAGTTTCATAATCAATCCTAGTAACTGTTTGAGGGGCATTTGTTTTCTCTTCATAATTAGCGATACAAATCAGTGATGGACAATGATCTGTTACCGCTGAATCGTATATAAAAGTGTCATTATCCTGGTCTTCGTCCGTACTATAATGTGGTCCATGCAATTTTTAACCATTAAAAACCCATGAAAAGCTAGATGGTTAAGCTATGACTGTGATCGTGCATCCAAATATTCTGGTTTAATATCGACGTTGATGTCTCCTGTTATAATAACTGGTTTGTAGTTATTGAGGTAAGGTAATATGTTATTAAGGGCTGAGAGAAATGTGTCAATGTTGTCAGCTGAGGCTGACCGGTAAATGCAAATTATTGCCGCCTCAGAACCTAACTTTATGATCAGGCCTGAAGCCGATTTGAAGTCGATTTCCTCGACTATGTGTGTTAGAGTGTCCTTGATATACACGACACCATCGCTTTGGTTTATGGGTTAGAGGTTTTGTGTGTGACTTAGTTTTGTAGGAGGGGCATGGAAGTATTACTGTTGCACGATAACCAACATTCCGTCAAAACCAATAGTTGACAGTCCAGGTCGATACGATAAGGTAGCGTTTGGTCGACGATGAAGTAGTCCAAAAAATTGCAATTTATAGATCGAATATTTTGAAGAAAATAACAAAACAAAACAAAAATCGTTTGGAGTTGGTGGTTAACTGTTCTGCGATGTAAATTAGTACGATTTGGCCAATCATCCCCATATGGGATGAGTTATCTTTAATGCTGGGTGTATTAAACTTCTTAACAGGTGAAAGTAAGTTACTTTTAGTGAGAGTAGGTATTTGTAAATTCAACTCTTATTGCTGAACATGAGTTTTCTCTTTTGGAAGGTTGTCTTAAAGCGTCACGTATGTCGGATATCAAGGACCGATAACGATACAATATTTGGATAAATTTGTCCCATAATCCTGATCAGGATCCTCAGGATTAACGGCCTTTTCCATACCTAAAAATACGGTAGTGTCTTTTGCTATGTACCAAGAGGCGTGTGCTGAAGCATATTTGACTTACTTACTTGTTACTTTTTTAGTATTATTGATGAAATAATCATTATTAATGACTAAAAAGGCAAACTTAAATTATAACTGCTGAACTAAAAAGTAGAAAATACTTTTATATAAGTTCAAAAAGAAAAATCATTTTATCGTAAAGAAGGCATGGGATTCTTTTCAAGATATTTTACAATTTAATAAAACCCCAATACAATATAATTTATTACGTTTATCAAGTAACAGGTGATAGGTATATACCGTTGATATACACGTATAATACCGTGATAGGTATTATACCGTATCGACGTTGACCTGACATTTCTACCGTTATACCTACTGGCTGTAGTCTACTAGATAAATACCTATTGCCACTCATTTCTAAACAAAACTAAAGGTACATGTGTAAACTGCCACAGTTGAATCGAGTTAAGTGAGTAAATGTACTGATAGTATTTGTTTATGTTGTAATAGGTTTTGCTGTTGTATTATGAAAACCCAGGTAAAGAAACTCATAAGTTAAGTTCATAAGAAACTCATTTGAAGGTGATACTGTACCATTAAAAGAGGTTCATTACCTATTGTAGTACAAGTACTTAATCGTGGTGAAAATCAAACATAAGTACTGAAAATAAGAAACAACAACAACGTTTTTTTTCTAAACTTAGGCGCGTAGATTTATCTAGTACATATTCCGGTTCAGTTTGTTAGAAAGATTTTGTTAAAAAATTTGTTGTTCAAGTTGGCCAAAAAATAAAACGTAATTTCGGTTACACGTCATAATTCCTGCTGCTGGTGATGAAATAGATAGGTAGATAAATAATCTTTATTGCACAGCAAAAAAGTAATGTACAATCTAGAAATATATTAAGAAACAGCACAACGGGCGGTCTTGTCGCAGTCTGCGATCTCTTACTGACAACTAGAATTGACCATACTGTTCCTAGGTATAGTACCACCTACTTAGGTAAGTCATGTAACGTTGTAGTACTTGCTAGATTTGCCGATCATGTCAAATATCCATTGAGATGCACATCTTTACATAGTATAAAATAAAGTCGCTTTTTTGTGTTGGATAGACCAATAGATAGTGTGATTGGAGAGGAAGGTTTATATGTGTAATACATGCATATTACAGTAGAGAAAATCCGAGAATTTCAAATATTTGTCGTTAAAACACGTCTTTATTTACATTGCAAACGTTGGCTAACCTTTACGAGATAGACCAAAATAATGTACTACGGAATTGTATATCTTAAAAAGATCTAGAAAAAAGTCTAAAACGGTATATGTATATCACGTAAGGCGCAAGTAAGGCGCAAACCCACGGTAACTATTTTTATCTTTTAAATATTACAAAATTCTTCCTTATCCAATTAAATACATTAAACAAGTTGTACATTTAATGTAGATAAAAATTGTTATAATTGTGTTGTGTGTGTTATAATTGTTGTGTAATATTTTAGAGGATATTAGAGGTGGTAATGTGGGGGCCCAACGACCGTCGAGCCGTACGTCCATCCTGGGTGGGACTACAAATAAATATTGCATTTATAGATGTCCTGTCCTGTCCGGAAATAAATATTTACCTAATCTTTGGAATGTTGTTTAGATTTTTTTGTATTTAAGAAAATCATAAATACAGGCTGGATTGCTTACTTAACTACAACGTAAATATCTAAGAGAGATTTAGCCAAAACTATTTACTCATATCTTTACCTACTTAAAATAATGAAGCTATTACGAACTCGTACTGTAGTCCTTCTCATTATACTAAGAGCACTACCTCTAATACTTTTTCTTTGTTAGTATCCTTATTGAAAGAATCTGTATTCACAACGAACCACTGAACAATATGACGAACTTAATTGGCAATAACGGCCTCTCATGGACATAATGCATTTAACATGGAAACCAACAAATTGACAATCAACATGCTTAGGGGTTCCGCATGTAAATCATACATAGAAGCTATCATTACCATAAATAACAACTATGAGAAGCCAAATACCTAGTACATAAAACCTGATCTATAATTACAAATGACGTATTAGACATTAAAATCTATTGAGTAGTGACTACGAATGTAACTATCACACCTACTTAACAAGAAGTTTTAAAGACTTACCAAAAAAAAAACCTAATGTTTATAACATAATGTGATAATAGCGTATATTTACGGGTAAAACGCGAAACACAACCACGGAACTGATTGCTAAGGAACCTTAAAAGACATAAATCGTCTCATTAGAGCAAACAAAACTGGCAGTTAGCCTCATCCTAAGATGTTTTACGCTTAACATCATTCTCCATCGAGGACCGACGGCATTGACATGTGTGAATTGTGAATTTTCGACATTCATTTATTTATTACGTTCAACCAGTGATGCGTGGCACACAAAAATATGGATACCAATATATCAGACGTTAATGCAAACGTTACTTTAGACCAAGTGATTGATTACTTCAATTTGAATATTTCTGAAGTGAACCAAAGTGAAGTGGCACAAATACATTTGTTTGATCTGTATGAAGCTTACAGAACCATTGAAAGAGAACAATTAATGGTGTACAAATCTGTTGCATATGTAATAGGGACACTCATTATTTTGAGTAATTTAACAGTTGTTATATCCAGTGGCCTTATTCTTAGAAAGGGTAAGTTATTTTTCTAAATTACTTTATTTATGAGTCCATTGTAGGAACTAAAAAATCAACCTTATAAATATATAATAGTAATAAAATTGTATATTATTATTTGCATCACAACTCCATCTCTTAATTTTTAGTGCCAAACTGGTATTTATAACATTTAAACATTTGTTTTATAAAATATTCTATTCTATGTACTTGATTAGTTATTTCTAAAGCGACTACTTGCTTTCTTGCATAAGACCGTTGGTTTATATATACCTATATACCATTTTTATTTATGAGCACGTCCCCTTTTTACGTTAAGACATCGGACAGTAGGTACGGTATTAAAAGTAAATCAGATGGGTTATATATAGAAAATGCTGTTCCTACTTTAGAACTGCTTATGTAAATTCATTTATGTCGTAAAATGTTGGGCATCAATGAGATGCTGCTACTGCCCGTGTATTTACTTTTGACAAACATGAGTCAGCGAAGGTTTGACAAACAACGAACCGGTTATGAAGTTAACAATTATGTATACTTATAGGTATATACTCAATAAAATTTTAGGACAGATATAAACTTAATACATAATAACATAATATTGTTAACGGACTTCAATAAATTATTTTATGTTTGTTATCTCAGAACTCCGTCAATTATAAGCTCATTAAGAATTTTTTTTTATTTGAAAGTGAATTACTGCCTGTTCTGTCAAATTGACATTAAAAAAAACACCCAGTCCTAAGGGTGAATATAAACAAATGAAGAATACAATTTATTATAATCTTATCCATCACGATGTAGGCATTATTTTGGGCGTATTACACGGCATCTCTTTTTTAATTAACAGATAAATAAAATGGCATCATTAAATATACACAAAATTCGTACGTTATGATGTGTGCCAGTATATAAGTGTTAAGGGCTACAAGGTAAAAAGGCAATGAACAGAAAAGAAGATATAGAAAGAAGATGGAATAAAAATAAAGTAAAGTAAAACATACAAAAATGGAAAATTAAATGAAAGACACACTAGAACACATCACATTTCCACTGCGAAATAGCCTGTTATTGTATTAATTCAAAGCATTCTTGACTTAATATAATGTAATAAAAAAAAACACAAATGAGTAATAGGCTTTCTGACATATGTATGTAGTTTTCGTTTTATTATGAATTTAAAGTATATAGGTATGTGATCGCGTGATACGTTATACTTAGTAAATACTTCAGTATTTACCTATATTTCTATGTATCTATAGTAGGTATTACCTTTAATGTTGGGAGGTCCCCGTGAATCAGCCGTAGAATTTCTAGTACATAATGCACAAAATAATATTGGTGTGTAAGATCTTTTCTCTTGCTTCCCTGCAATCTGCTAGAGTGATTTCGTGAGAAGCGATGTAAATGTGCGCCAGGAAGCCGAAATAGGGAACGCTTTGATTTGACAAATAAGCGGGTGGTGTTAGATGGTATTTGAGATGTCAAATGTTAACATCATCTGCGACTATCGTGAGGCTTGTTCGATTTCTTCGTAAAGTGCGCTTTATACAGTTACCGTTACGACATTCGTACAGCATTTTATAACGTAATTGTCTAGATTTAAAACTTACTTATAGCTTAAGTAGAAGTATCAAGTTATTCATGATTTAAAGTTTTGGATCTAATAACTCCGATATTATAAGAGAACCTCTTGTGGTCCGCAAATTATGTTTTTATGAACGGATTTATTCTGTGGTGCCACTTCTACTTAACAGAAGACAACGATTTAATACTTGCGCCTCATCAACAGCCTTTAATAGTCCACTGCTGGACACTGGCCTCTCCTCAGAAAGGAGGTTTTGTCCTATTATATCACGCTGGCCAGACGGGTTGGTATAGAGTTTGTTTCAAGGGTTCCTCCTCTTTGCAGTGCTGTTGTCCTGCGTTGTTTGCCCTCTTAGCTGTAGTACTAAAGGCAAGATAGGAAACCTATATTTTTTAATTCTTTCTATTTGTTAAAATAAAATATAATTTTAGAATATTTTTTTAGAAATATGATGAAAATATGATGTATTTTCTTTAATTATTGTTTCATTTAGATGTATTAACATGATGGAGCATGAATTATGCTGATTAAAAATAAAAATATTATTTTTCTGACCCATCAAAAGTATCAGAAATCGTATGTACCTATTGTTTGTCTTTCTTTTCGGGAGCATTTCCCTAATACTGTGATTTAGCTAGCTAACCCGTGATTCATCAGTGTACATATTATTATCCAACGTTTAAATCATTGTCATCGTTAAGTGAGAGATGAGGATAACTACCGTATTACATACTACTTACATTCATCATTAATTTCGATATGTTTTTTCCTACCTACCTGCCTAGTCTTCCTACTGGTTACGTATGCCGAAAGACGTTGAAGGAAAGGGAGACTACTCCTAGACTGGAGACTGCGGATAGATAAATACAAGGTGGGACTCCTCCAACCAGATGGACTGACGACCGAAAGAAGGTAGCTGGAACGGACTGGATATAGAGGGTTTAGGGTCGTGTACAGTGACACAAATTGAGTGAGGCCTATGTCCAGTAGTGGACTGAAATAGACTTATCGAACTCAAATATAACAAACAAAACGTATTATATGTGTAAGCAGTGCAAAAAGAACCACTTTACTCACCTAAAACACTATCAACCCCAATAAACAGTATGTTGATGTGTTTAAAATTAGGACATATTAACATATTTATTTATAAATGATATAAGTTATAAACTTGACAGTGGTCATTTCGTTTTTCCATGGAATTCACACAACAAACATAAATATTGCGCCATTAAGGATGCGGCTGTTTATTCAATAAATAAACAAGCTTTACTTTACGTTTAAAACCTTCAGTGGATCATGATTTATTTTTATTTTTTTGTAGGCAGGTATTTCCAAAACCAATTATGATCATAGAAATGACTCAAGGAAATGATAACATCCAATTTGACTACTTACATTTTAGAAATATGTATATCTATGTCTATATATATAATTATATATAATTATTAAGTTGGCTTCAAAGATCCAAAAAAGTTCTGGACCACAAAACAGTTAATAAACACTATTTATTGTTGTAGCGTTGAATTTCAAACGAGTTTGAAATTCGACACTGTGGCAGCGCTGTTTGCAATGCTATTTCCTTAGAGAACAGCACTGCTGGAACTATTGAGCTTTTGACACTGTAGTCAAACTGCTCCAAAGATTGTTTATTTATATTTTTCGCGTCAGTTTTGTTCCTAATTTCTCATCAATGCAACCACAATGTGCCACGGCCAAGCTAGTGGCGGGTACAGCGAGTCTATAATACTTAGTATTGTTTGGGAGGTATTTTCATAATCATTACCAAACTACTGCCATTGGAGGACACTTGAGCGATGATTTGCTAGTAACTCACGGCGTTCCCCAGAGAAGCGTACTATGAACAACTCTGTCCCTTATGATATGATAGATGAACTATCTTTGCTCAACCCTCCAGATGGTAAATTGATGTCTTATGCTGACGATACTGTGATTTTACTTTCTGCAAATTCTTGGTAAGAAGTATTTAAGGCAGCCCTTAATAAAGTATCCCAGTGGCTGAACAATAACATTTTGACTCTGAATAGTGAAAAACTAAATTTATGACTTTCTCTATTAGGAACATTTAGGGAACGGTGGATAACTTCAATTTGATTGCTCATAATTGTCAGCTCACTGATTTAAATGGGTGTACATGCCGTTACGTGAAACGAACTGATCACATTAAATATCTGGGTGTGACTATAGATAGTAATTTGAGCTTTACCAAACATTTTGAGCTGATTAGTGGTAGGATCCGTAAACTCTACTTACTACTATATACTTAGCACTATATCAGTCCTTAATTTTGAAATAAAATATAAAAAAATAATAAAACAAATAATTGTAAAATATTTACGGCTACTAACATTAAAAGTATAGCAATTGCACAGCGTACAATTCTCAAAGTTAGTACTATTCGACCAATTTTCTTCCCAACCAAACATCTATATGAAGAATGCGAAGTTCTTACGGTTAGACAGTTGTTCTGGCTTAATATTATTATAATACAATATACTAAAACCCCTTATGATCCCCATAAAAATATAAACCGTCGAAAGGGGAGAGTTTGTGCGACAAGGAAATTTTTTCACACATCATTTGTAGAACGTTTCTTTTGTTTTCTGGGTCCGTTCATTTTTAACAGAGTGAATAAGTTGATATCTATTTATGGCCTGAATAGATAAGATTGTGAAAGAAAGGTCACATCCTGATTGAAGGGTCTAGATTATCGTGAAACGGAAAATCTTCTGGCGGTGTTGCGGTGATGGATTTCTATACGAATTTCTAATTTCTATTACATAACTGTAAATATTAAGTTATTAATGATGATGATGAAATGTTAGGTTATTTTAAATATTAAGTTATTAAATATAAATTAAAACACACCCTCTCCACACTTACACATGTACATTATCGCAATTTACAAAGAGAGGTTCATTTACACACAACAACACACACTCAGTTTGTAACACTCAGTTTGCAGGCACAAATACTGTTAATAACTATTAAAAACCAACACAAAATTTAACCAAAAAAAGTATGAAAATTTATGTAAATCATAGTTAAGTGTATTAGGTAATTCATTTCTGAATTTAATCGGAAAATCGACTCAACTTAGTATAATTCGATTTTGATATGTGTGTGTGATCTTCTATTAAACTCGTACTGTTACGTTGGGAGTTGCTATTGAATACTTCTAAAAATCAGTTCTTGATATAACGGTTTATGTACTCGTATATTATAGAATAAGTACAGTTCAATTACAGAACAGGTAGTACAATTATTCTTAAAAAAAGTTTCCAGAAATGAGTCTAGATACAAATGGTTTAGCTTGTGATCCTTCAATACTTGCAAATGTACATGTTATAAATATGGTAGCTAAATCATACATACCTATCTATTACAGATTTATGAAGATCATATTTTTCTTCGAGAAGTAAATATAACGATAAGTAGGTACACACTTGGTAACTCAAACAATGACAAAGCATGAATCACTTTGAAGATTGGTGGTTTAAAAAAATATGTAAAAAATTACCATTAGTAGCCATAATATTTCAAGTAGTGACTGGTGACATTACAACTATCCAACCAGGCTTGAAAAAGTTTTAGAAGAATCTTGGTCATGTCGAATGTAGTGACAAATCTCTGGTTCACAATAATATATTATGTTTTTATATAATGATGTGTTTACCTTTTCCAAACTGAAAAAGAGACTATATGTGCTATGTAGTCTCTTTGAGTCTCTGAGTTCAAATTAAGGTGACAGATTTCGATGATGTGTGTAAAATGATTAAAATGGCGCTCTAAGTATTTCCTGATCCTTCTCAGTCTCTCTTAAGCTTTGTTGCTGGTATTTATTGCTGTTATTAGATGATTATTAATATTTCTTTTTAATGTTTGTGTTCTGTTTGTTGTTCTTTATTTGTGTTTTTTTTATTTACTTTATTTTAGTAGTCCTTCTTTTATCGGCTAACTATAGTCCATCAACGTCGTGCGCGACCGTCCTGCGGGGTGACAGACGGTGGCGGGGACGAGGTACTCAAGATGTCAGCGGGTAGCGGGGAAGGGAAACCCGTGTAGCCGTGTGCTAGAATGACGCGCTACCTCGCCCCCGCCACTGTCTGTCACCCCGCGGGACGGTCACGCACGAGATTGCCGGGTTATAGTACTCGTAATACTACTATAGACTTTATGCCAGAACCATGCTTAAAATTTGAGCTGCTAAATAGTTACATTATTTTTCTCTTTCCTAACAAGTCTCAAATCCGATAAGATCTTCATTAATATGTCAATATACAAAATTTATTGGCTCACAAAAGGAAAGATCTACAAAGTAATCTTAACATCACAAATAGTACAAAATGAAGTCGCTGCCCGTTTTTCTACGATTAGATCTCTTAAGCTACGCAACGGATTTTAATGCGGTTTTCATCAACAGAGAGAGTGATTCAAGAGGAAGGTTTATTTGTATATTAGATAGCACCCGTGCAGAGCCAGGGCTAGTCACTAGTAGGTAATAAATAACAAATCCTTGCCAAAATTAAATTAAGTTTTTTAAGATATAGGGGCACCCGAGCAAACGGGTCAAATTATGGAAAGTGATCAACACCATCCATGGACATCTATTACTCATGAGGGACAAGTGCGTTGCCGGGTTTTAAGTTTTTGTGTAGTTTTTAATATAATCTTTTTTTCAGGTCAGCAGCCTAAAAGCACTTATCTTTTGCTTGGGAATGTTTCTCTGGCGGACACAATCATCGGCATTGGACTTATTTTCGGTGTCACAGTGGACAATTCAGCCAGTTCTAACCGCTTATGTATATTTCAAATGGGTAAGCATAATGATTGCAAATAATTATAAATGACTTGTGTAATTTCTGCTATATTCTTTTACATGCAAACAGCTATGAAAATATCATCATAAATCATTTAATTTTGTTCTGTGTCTGGGTATAATTTAACTATATTACGTATATATTTAGAAATGAATGAGTATGTTTATCAGCAGTTTGGTTATCACTGTAAATGCTCTGTTTAGAATCATTGTTTAGAATCAGACGGCCGTGTGTGTGAAATGTGAAGTTATTATTATTGTTCGACACATACACTCACTCCTGTATTTTTGAAGGAGTACGCAGAGGTAATTACACACTGTTAATTTGCAATCTATCATTTTGTCCCCCTAATCGAAGGCAAGTAACACAACTCACACACAGCCAAACTAAGCAGAACCTGTACCACAGTGACGAGACTGCTTACCAGCTTATAACTTATTTGTATATTTCTAAATACATACATACATATTTTACATAAATTAAGCCCAGACACAGAACAAACTAACCACTATACCAACAAGCCCGACAAAAGAAAAGTAATTTGGTAGTATATTGAATGGAACAGACAGGAAGGCAAAAGATTTTAGTTTATATGAATGTGTTAACACTAGATCGCGGATGGAATGTGGACCGCCGACCGTGAAGACTCCAGAAGGCTTTTGCGCTTTGGCATGGAGCTGACTTTGTTCACTTAGTCAACCACACCACGACGCAAAGAACCGCGACTAAATGCGGAAACCGGAGCCCAGCACCAATACCAATAGGTCGAGGATGTCACGGTCGCATACCTGGAAATCGAATTGGCTTTAGAAGGAATATCCAAGCCACGTTTCGAATTTTATAGAAAGTTTTACATTCCATTGGCAGATAAATCTGTTCCTATCAAAAAATAATATTTCAGCCAGAAAAGCCAGATTCCATTATCAAAATGGACTCTGGATATTCAAACTGGTATAGATGCAATTTTGATATATTAATTGGCCTACAATGAAAAAAAAAAAGACGTGTAATGACTAAAAGTACTCACATCAACAGTGATAAGTATAAAAGTACATAATAGACTGGACGGAAGGCGTAGTGGCGTAAGCGGTCGCCACGCCGCTTCCTACTACGCTGAATGTTGTGGGTTCGATCCCTTTGTGTGATCCACAATTTATCGCTCTGATTCTGGGTGTTGTTTGTGTCCGTTTCATGTATTTTTGTAAAGTCCACCGCGACACAGGATATATTCGTAATGCGGGAATTGTCTTTTAAAAAAAAAAATTATCTACGTACTTCACATTATTGGTGCTAAAGGTCAAATTATTAAACCACTATAATAAATTACATCATGTCATTTAAATCGTATCCAAAAACCGGACATTACAAAAAAAATGTTACTGGAAACGGACTTTTTATCGAGTGTTGTAACTTGCCGCTATTAGCTACACGGAATTGCACGAACCGTAATATGACGTTGAATGTTGTGTTTTTACCTATATGCTTGGGGATTGTAGAAGCTAAGCTAAGCGGTTGTAAACAAGCTTTTAAAATCAACACACCTCAGAAAAGTTTGAAATTCTCAGATTTCTAATTTGCACATTCTTCAAAAACATTATATTTTTTCTGAATTAACGAAATAACTTCAAATATAATAACCCAATAGTACGAAATACTAATCTGCTCTTGTATACCTGCATGGATATTACGGGAACCTTAGAGTGCACTCACCAACCATACAGTAACACATCACCTTTTTATTCAAATAAAAAATTACACAACTCATCAATAATGTGTTTAATCTCGTCGAATACTTTGCCGTCAATGAATTACCTTGAGTACCTACTAGTTAGTGACCTCTATGAATAGATTCAACTAGATCACAATCCAGACAATCCCTAAGCCTAAGCTTTTGCTAAAAAAATACTTTTTATGTGCAAATCCATACTAATATTATAAATGCGAAAGTGTATCTGTCTGTCTGTCTTTTACCTCTTCAGGCTTAAACCGCTAAACTAATTTAGATGAAGTTTGGGATAGCGATAGCTTGAGTGCCGGGAAAGGCCATAGGATAGTTTTAATCCCAGAAATTTAAGGGGGGTGAAAAGGGGGTAGAAGTTTGTATGGGAAATCAATAACCGCTTACCAGATTTTATTAAAATTTAGCATGAAGAGATTTTGATTCTTGAGGAAAGGCATAGGCCCCTTTATACCGCCATAACCGCGATACACGCGGGCGGAGCCGCGGGCAAAAGTTAGCATTGTATACTTCCCTAGTTTTTCTTTCCCTTACACAAAACCTGACTACGCCTTTGTAGGTGACTCCTAAGTTTCACCCTCTTCATAGTGAAATCTTGGAATGTCTGTCTGGCTGAATCGAAAGGTCTCTCGTTTCAACGCACGCCGTTTAATCCTAAAAACAAATTACAATTGAATCATCTCCCTACTCATGTTCTAATCTCTATTTGATTATTTCTAAATTATGCTCCTTCACATTCCCTTAATGATAAGCAAAAAAAAATTTATTATATTAAAAATAATCAACTAAGATTTTTTTTATCATATACAGGTATGCTAGTTTGTCCAGCGATGGTCTCCATTTTTAGCGTCGGCTTAATCGCTGTAGACCGATACATCTACATTCTACACGGACTATACTATCAGCGGTGGTTCAACACCACCAGAGTAAGAATAGGCATATTGATCATATGGATGATTGGTAAGATATGCTCGAATACATATTCTTCTTATTATCTAATAAAACTTATGTAGTACTTAGAAAATTTGAATAACCAATGTAGAATATTTGTAAATAAAACTCTCAAAGATAGCACCGAGGAAGATAGCAGCAACCAACTGTTGTTTAATGCTGAGTTTTTTATTCAAAAACGCTGTGGCTTTAGTGGGTTCGATTGCGACATCCTTATTTCAGAAAGGTCGCAAAATTAAAGCAAAAAGCCCCAGTTTGCCCGTGACTAAACAAGTAGTAAATAGAATTAACTACATGTTTGTGTTAACACTTATTGCAGGAATAACACTTGGATTCATGCCAGCGACTGGATGGGTTAACACGGAACTGATCTCCACTCGCTGTTACTACGTCGCTTTATTTCCTGGATCCTTAATACTCCTCAATTCCTTCCTTAGCATCGTACCTATCGCATTAGTAGCTGTCCTATACACCAAAATCCTTGTTGAAGCCTTAAAAACCGTAAGAACTTTGAATACTGGTGTTAAAAATACGAAAACAAGTACACCGACTCCAGATAATTCACAATTAAGAATGTACCGTGGCTCTAAAAATGACTCAGAATCAGTGAAAATTCCCGGAGTAACTTGTTCCCCTCAATTACCTAGAAGTTCGTCATTTCATATTAGGAAACCTGAAGGTAAAAGTGTTATCAAGCCGGCGTCATCTTTTCAATTTAGCAGTTCCAACGATCTCATTGAAAAGGAAGTTGATACACGAAACACCACCAATATAATTATGGACAGTAAACACAAAACTTCTTGTGGTTCTGTGATTAGTATTTGTACTATAGAATCGAGCGTTTCCGACACTAAAATAGCTGATTTAAAAAATTCTAAATTCAGTTGTAGCGTCAAAAAGATTTGCAATATTAATAAAGTTATCCGTAAGCCAAATGAACCAAATAAATGGAGGGCTGTTACAATTGTTTTACTAACATCTGGAAGTATCATATTTACATGGACGCCTTTCTTTATAACCTTAATATTTTTTGTATTTTGTGAAGAAAAAATGACGAATGCGAGATGTTTCTATATCAGACATTTACTTGCCGGTCCATTTCCTACATTAGCATTTTTAAATAGTATCTTGAATCCCCTTATATATGCATGGTGGCATAAGGGATTCCAGAAATCCGTACAAACTTACTATAGAAAATATCTCAGCAAGTTTAATTGGTGGGTTCATAGATGAAGTTAATATTTATTTTTTGTAAGCTTTTCTATTGTGACTGACATTTATTAGTAAGGCTTATATTATGTGTAAAACTGTAAACTGACCAGAAAAGTATGTACTCTTATAATGTGAATTTTTTGCTCAGATACCAATTTTTCGAGCAGAGATCTCTGTCAAGTGAGAGAATTAAAAAAAATATATAAATCCGTTCTTACCTGATGAAGTTAAATAAACGGAACAGAAGGACTATTCATGAAGAATATTACTTCCCAAGATTGTTATCTACTTTTCTGGTCATGCTTTAATACTTTAATTGTACCCATGACAAGAATGATACTCCTGTTTTATGATTTCTTCCCACTGAGATAATAATTAATTAATTTTACAGAAAATAATGTTAAATTAGGAACTAGAACTGTCTTTACATGATTCATCTTAACTGATTTCAATATACAGTGAGATCGAATTTCCGCCTAGATCCAATTCACTATTACTTTAGCTAGAATGTGTATGAGTGTGCTTCTTGTCGCTATGAATGTTATTTTCGCCCATCCAGGCTGGATGAGTAAAGATGTGAGCTTTGTATTTCTTTCCTAACCGAAATTGTAATTAAAATTGTATTTAATGTTCATAAAATGTGATAAACCTATATTTTTATACAATAAACTATGTTCTTGTAAACAGATAAAGTATTTATGTCCTGAAAGCTTCGGACTAATAATCATGGTACAGTCAATAATTTACGATTGAATCTAAATTGACTTTATATCATGTACAAATTAATAAACAAATCTCAGAGAAGATTAACTAAATTTCAACAATTATTAAATTGTCTTACTTCTTTTAAAGTTTAATAAAGATCTGAGCAGCTCTACAACTAGAAGATTGTGACGTATTCACTGAAATTATTACTTTCTCCTCAATAAATCTAATAACTGTTTACACTTACTTACAGTGACGTATCTACCTTACTATCTTATATCAAAAAAGAGAAAAATACGTATGTGAAATTGTATTATGTGTCTTGAACTGTTGAAATATAATTAAAAAATAACTTGGAATGTAATTGTAAGAAGCACTAGAAATCAACAAATTAAGTAACAGCTATGTTACAAACTATTTATATATGTTATCAATAAATACAAATAATATATTGTATTAGGATTATAATTAGACTAATGTGTTATTATTGTTATTGATCTTCAAGGGTCACTCTTAAATAAGACAAAATTAAATAAGTTAGTAGATAATCTAGACTCATTACACGTCTAAAAACTAAAATTAAATCTGCAGTTTATTAATTTTTGTATTTTAACTGACTGAGACTATTTTTAAATATAAATATACAAAATATACATAAACATTTATTTTAACTAAAATTAGCCGTTAAGATTTGTACCCGATTTGTAATCTTAACACCTAATTTAACGAGGCGAGGTATCTACAGTAATTTAAATTGAGCACAAACCAAGTAATAATTACTTAAACGTGAAAGTTACTTAAACATTTATGTTTCGAACAGGTATATTTATATCAATGTTGCCAGCGATGGGATGGACTGGTCGCAGCTTCAGAAACTTCAGATGCTGGTACATAGCAGTCTTTCCTTCCGCACTTCTACTCATTCTATCTATCGTTGTCCTCTCTGTCATTATCATGGTGTGCCTCTTATATATCCTCATCCTACGTAGAGCTGTCAAGACTGCTGATAAAATTAAAGAGTTCAAAGAGAACAGTTACACCAATAAAGGATTTACCGATGATAATTCTTCATCAACGGTCACTTCTATTTCTGAAAACTCTGATAATATAAAGATGAAAAAGATGGAAAAAGAAACACAAAGAAGTAACTGTAGTACCATTGTCGAAAGTAAAAAGTCTGGATGCTGTTGGGTGAAATCAGCTAACCATCTGAGCAAATTGAAAGCGGTGAAAACTGTACTCATAGTCACTTTATGTTTTTTGGGTACGTGGGCTCCTTACTTCGTATCAGTAATTATGTATGTAAAATGTGATATTATGAAGAATGGCTATGAATGTGTTCCTTTAGAAATATTGACTTTGGGACCATTGTATTTGTTAGGTTGTTGCAACAGCTTGTGCGATCCAATCATTTACGCGTGGCGTCATTCAGGTTTTAAGAGAAGTTTAAAGAGACTATATAGAAAGTATATACGTAAACTCGAAATGTAATGTTTAGCAAATAAGATTTAATTTTTAAAACAAAATTATACTTACACTTTCATTTCTGTGGTTTTATTATTGTTGTCTTCATTTTCTTTGCTCACTCAGATATCCAATAGCTATTTATTTTGTGATGACGGAGTAAGAATACGAAGTGTCACCTCTATTCATCCCGTGGATAAAGTAAGAACCGACTATGGGATCAAACAGCGCAGGACAGGCGTGGTATAGTAGGCTAAACCTTTTTTATAGGGAGAGGCCTATGTCCAGCACTGGATTATTAAAGGCTGTTTATGATGACTTATATATAATCTATCGCCATCTAAACTTAAATTAGCATAACTTGTACTCTTCTTTGGGAACAAGCAATGGGAACAACAATAAATAATCTTAGTTTAGTGGGAACAAGAATAAACCAACTTCGATTTATAAGTTTTATGTAAAAACCTATACCATGTATAAACACTTACTTTCACAAATGATGTGCCTACTTATTAAATAAATAATTCTGGATATATTTATCTGAATTACATTAGTGTGATGTGTCCTATCATGAAGACGAAACGTGAGGACACGGATGGTTTACCATCGCTAAATAAAACTAAAAGCAAATGAGGAAAGGTCCGAAGTTTACCTTAAAACCCCTTTTTTCAGCCAGTTGATTTCCCTCATTTAGTATATCTTACCCTAGCTCACTTTTTTCCCATTTTACCTTCTTTTATGTATGGTTTGTTACATTCTCGAGAAGGGTTGTCGTCAAGCGCAATACTGGCCGCAAAAAATCTACCTAAAACCCTTTGCAGTGTAACACATTATGCCGAATCCAAAAAAGAAAATAATGAAAATGATGAATGTCCTTTTAAACGGCTTTATTAGTTTAGCTATAGTTCACTATCTAAGCGAGTAACTTTATGAATTCATCTCAAGTGCATCTCTTTATCTTAGAAACGACAATCTTAAGAGCGAAATATCATTTTTCAAATGTGGTTAGAACTAGAGATCACCTGGCGGTAGAATATCAGCCGTTTTTAATAAAAAGATTATTCTTATTCGTCTTTTATTACATTGGCTAGTAGTTCGGTCAGTTTAGACATGCAAGAGTACAATAACATTCATACCAATTCCTAGTTTCATACGAAGCTAAGAATTGGTATGAATGTTCGGAACACTATTACGCGCTAACTAATCTACCTCACAGGTGGTGTGCATATTGTGACGATTACAACTTTTTCAACTTTAGAATAGTTACATCTTAGAAACGGTGGCTCTTGAAAAGAATTAAATCATTTTTTTACATAATTATATTTTTCCTAACATAATTTTATAATAAAACTTACCGTTTTACTGAAAAATGCGAGAAGTCAATTTTTGAGACCTTTGACTTTGAGTTTTAAAAAAACCAGGTCCGGGATCGATTTAAACACACATACCAATTTATATGTAGCTTCACTTACTCGCTTAAATCGCTAAACCGATTTTAAAATTCTTTTACCAATGGAAAGCTACATTATCAGCGAGTAACATAGTCACGGGGGCGGAGCCGCGGGCAAGAGGTAATAATTTATAGATTTATTTATTTGACATTATCACCCAAATGCATTATATCGATAACAATGGACATTTAATTTACAATGTTATCCATAAACAACTAATCGTTTATAGTTCATTTAAAAATGTTATCAATCCATACTCCCATTATAAATGTGAAACTGAGTTTTTTTCGGTAGAGTGCTCTTCGGAATAGGAGATCTTCAGAAAAAATATGGCAATCGGTCTAGAGGTCCATGAGAGAGTGAGCATTGGTCGAAAATTGGCTCTGAAATACGAAATACTCATTTTTACAGTAATGAAACCATCGGTATTTTCTTGTACTTTTGCTCACTGCCGATTTTTTATCATAAACATATAGCAGATAACAATGAACTTATTGGAAGGAATAAACAATAATAAATTATTAAGTGATTATACCCAGATAAAGACAAGATATGTGTTATCATAAGGATGATCTCTAATCTATCTAGTGTATAAGATTACCGAGTTTGAATACAGACGAGCATTTGATGGTTTGAAAATGGCTCGGTTGCTGATATGTGTGGTAGTCTGTTTGATCTCCGCCGCCCTCGGAGATCGTCATGACAAATATGAGGGGTAAGTTTTTCTCCTTCAAGTTTTTCTTTATTGTGTTCTAATTTTTACACGCTATATATTAGCTTCACTTGTATATTTGTTTGTATGATTGTAACCGACTCCTTTGGGCGTGATTTTGACTGACTTTAAACGGTCAGAATTCGTTCAAACTTTGTACATATATCGAGGACCGATGACAATAAAAAATAAAAAAAATAAAAAACACGCTTTCTATAGAAAACCAAACTAAAAAATAAAAATTCAAAAAAAGCGTTGGGTGCCTGTTGTCTTTTTTCTAAAACTATATTTTTTTTTACCTACGGTCTCTGTGTTATGAGAATCTATCTAAAATAAATCTTACAGTTGCTGTGCACTTAGTGGGTTTCTTATAATTGTGAATGTATCGCAATAGTGCACTAAAGCAACTGAATTTCTTTCGGTGTAAAAGAACGTGACTTGAAAATGGCCGTAGGTGAAGGCAGCCCGAAATCACATCTCAGTATTTTATGAATTGTATCGTGCTCGCAAAATACAGCATGTCAGCCTCCATCAAAAACCACTTTATTATCAATGGAGAAACTCTGTTTTATTAGGTGCCTGCTCGTTTCTTCTTTTACACTACCTATTTTTTTGAAGATGGGATTAATAAGGTTTAATATAACAGGTCTAAGATTGCTATGTTCCTAAAACTACAGTCAGGCATAGATACTGGCAACACTGCTTACATGCTTATTTGCAACTTTAAGTTAGAGTTTCTTAATAATAAGTAAATTTAAAAGATCAATTGCAGCCTCTAATATGCTTAAATCATGAGAAAATACTAAAGTCTATTCTTTGTAGCAGCTTAGTTTTGCACATTTTGTTACGTAGAGTACTTAAAAAGTATATTTAAGATAACTAAACCTTACAAAATACAACTAAATTGTAGGATAAATTTAAATTTATATATATTTTTCTATTAACTATTCATATTTATACACAAATAAACATAACTTTACGGGTAATTACAGACACCAGTTGTACCGTGTCTCTGGTACCCAAGAACAAATCACTGAATTAGAAGGCCATTTAGATCTACTATCGCTAACACCAGCAGTCCGCTCTACTTCTGGCAAACTGGAAGCTCTACTAAGACTCTCTCCGGAAGAAAAATCACAATGGCTTGAATATTTCCAAAATAATGGCATGCCCTACAAAAAGGTTGCTGACAACTTGGCTGCGTAAGTATTTTATAGCCATAGACAATAAACGAATTGTTTTTATTTTGTATTGTTGTGTAAACCATTTTTTTATGGAATAGGAGGCAAACGAGCAGAGGGATCACCTGATGGAAAGCGACTACAACCGCCCATGAAAGCTTGCAACTCAGGAGTTACAAGCGCGTTGCCGACCTTTGAGGAAGGAGTGTGCTCTTTTCTTGAAGGTTTGAAGGTCGTATCGGTCCGGCAATACCGCAGACGATAACCCGTTCCACAGATTGGTTGTGCGGGGCGAAACGTGTCTCGAAAAGCGCACAGTAGTGGAGTTAAATATACGTAAATACTTTTAGTTGTTTAGGGATTGATATTATGGAATATAGACTAGTTATTCTATATAACTTAATAATTTTGTCGTCTTACTTCATTAAAACAATTACAACTTAGTTTGAGTGCACCTTTATTATTCAGTATTGATTATACTGTCAATGACTTATTGCAATTTACCAAATAATTTCGAAAACATTTTTCATCTATAATAAATGGATTAACATACATAGATATTTTGAATTTTAGATTACAATAAACAATTTTAGATTACAATAAACGTAGATCATTTCATCACCGATGTTACTTAAGATACTGAAAATACACATTTGCTAACACACGCCTGTATCCCCAACGGTGTTGATAGAGGCGTATAAAAAAAAAACACGTTTTGCACTTACTTATTACGAGACAATCCTATTGCCGTCTACTTCCGTCAGTCAGGTAGTAACTTTGGGAGACTATTGAAAAGTAAGGTAGGAAACAATGGCAAATGGAAGGCAAGTAATCTCCAATCGATCCGACTGCAAAATCCTGCGACGAACAGGTGTGGGTCAAGTTACGAGTACCTACCTCGAATTGGCTGTTGATGGAAAGTTCGAACTATGCAAGCCTCAAAGCCATCTATACTAATATATATAAATGGGAAAGTGTGTCTGTCTAGCTGTTTTTTGGCTCATCGTTTAAACTGCTAAACCGATTTAGATGAAATTTGATATAGAGATACTCTGAATTTCGGAAAAGGATATAGGCTATTTTTTATCTCCGAAATCATTCTTTAAGGGGTAAAAAAGGGACCCCTTCTTCTGTATGGGGAATCAATAATCGCTAAACCGATTCAGATTGAATTTGGTATGGAGAGTTTGTTTCTTGAGAAAAGACATAGGCTGCTTTTTACCTTGGAAACCGACATACACGCGAGCGGAACCGTGGGCAAAAGCTAGTGCTATATAAAATAAAGAAACAACACTGATTCTTGAAGAGTAATTATATTATGACGTACCACATACACTCACGCTCAGAAACATATCAATTATAATGAATCTGCTCAGTTTACTGTGTAATTACATGAATGTGTTTCAGAATTCTGCGTCAAGAAGAAACTGACATTAAGAGAGCCCGATCCCAGCGAAGCAGAAGCATAAAATCGGCACCATGGGAGGATTACTACAGGTTTGACGAGGTGAGTGAAAATATTAGGCCTATTCAGTTTTTAAAGTTAAATTATAGTTTGTGTACTAAAGCTAGAGACCTGATCAGATACAATAACTAATACCAGCTGAGTACCGACCGACCCAAATTTTGTGTTCGAAAAATAATAGTAGCTCTAAATGTTTTTCACAATTTCCAAGCCAAAAGTTTAGCTTTAGGGGTTGGACACTTGGCTCTAGACAAAAATAACACTTTCAAGATCAATATTCATTGAGATATAAGAATAGAGCAAGCTATCTAGCCCTGCCCTCTGCAGTGATGCCAAGTGCGAGAGAGAAAGGTCCCGAGAGGCCCTTCTTGTCGTCTTTTTCTAAACAGGCAAGCATGCGCGGTGCAGTGCTCTTTATAAATAGGAGGGAGACAGCAAGAGGGGGCCTCTCGACAGCTTTCTCACTCGCACCTGGCATCACGCTTTCGGTTTAGGCTTGCTCTATTCTTATATCTCTATGTCAACATTTCCAAAACAGATCGTTTAACAAAAAAAATGTATTAACAACCCCTCAATGTGTTTAAGAGACTTATTATTATTACACACCTTATTTTTTACTTTTACCACTTAGCCGACTTGATTGATTACAATATATGGCCACATAAAACTACTGCTTTTTAGTACTAATAGTCTCTAAGCTAAGCTATGGATGGATGACAGACACGAACAAAGATCTACCACATTTACATTCCAAGAGAACTATATTTTTCATGAACCCATTAATAGACATTTCGTTTTCGCCTAGATATCAAAATCCGACCGTAATTCTAGACCGTATTTGTTTAAAACAATAAACATAAAACTGATATTTGCTTACTCCTACGTTTGTCGATTATCTACTAAAAAATATATAAAGGGAATCAATTGACAAACAAGATACTGAACTGTGTTATCTCTGCCTTTTTAACAATCTTACTTACTTAAGCCTATTGCCGTCCACTGCTGAACCAAGGCCCCCCCAGAGACCACCAGCCAGAGTCTATACAGATAATACTTTATTCAACACCTAACGGTTTCAACTTTGAAATATGTACTTATTTTGTATTTCAGATTAATGAGTACTTAGACGAGCTAGGTGTTTTATATCCGGACCTTGTAACCGTCATCAACGCAGATCTCAGTTACGAATACCGACAGATTAAATACGTGAAGATCTCCACGACCCGATTCGAGGACCTTAAGAAGCCTGTAATTGTTATCGATGCTATGGTCCACGCCAGAGAATGGGTCACTACCCCTGTCGCCTTGTATATCATTAACCAGCTTGTCGTAGATATCGTGGACCGACAATTGACTGAAAGCTTCGATTGGGTTATCATTCCTCTTGCAAACCCCGATGGATACGAATACAGTATGGTTCAGGTAAAGTGTGCCTTTTTTTCCTTAAAAGATTACAGACAATTTTAATATTGATACCTTGACCTCTTTTTTCAACTTGCTTATAATTGGTAATACTACCATAAGAAGTCATACATTATTTAATCTGTATTCTTATCAAACAATTCAAACGTGACGTTTGATATTACTAAAGATAAGGTTAGTTTAGATGTAGCGAAATAATTGAGGAAAGTAAACTTGGAAGTCAAAGGCCCACAGGAACTCATTATGTTTGCTACAGCGACAGGGTATTTTGTCACTAAGACCTTATTGTTTATATTACCTTTTTATGGTATAGGGAGCACACGACCAGAGGGGTTACCTGATGGTAAGTGACTACCGCCGTAACCTTTTTCAGAACTTTGAAACCAATAGATTAGCTTGTAGTTGATACTTGAGACTGAGAGAATATAGAACTTCAAGAAAGTAGCCTAAAAGTATTTATTTTCGAGTTTTCATTTTACCACTTTCTCAAGGTTAATATACGTGTATGATAGTGTAAAATTGCCACTTTGTGGTACTAACAGTCTCTAAGCTGAACTAGGTGGATGCATAAGGGACAAACGGACATTGTTAAATTTATTAAGGGGCGTTGTTTAAAACAAGCATGCAAATGTTTACAGGACCGTATGTGGCGGAAAACTCGCTCGCGGAGTCACCCATTATCTGATGAATGTCCTGGAGTGGATGGGAATCGCAACTTTGATCATTACTTTGGTACCACGGCATCTAGTAGTAATCCTTGCTCAATCATATACGAGGGACCTTCTCCTTTCTCCGAGTCAGAGATCAGAGTGATCAGGAATGTAGTGCTTGCTAATCTCAAAAGAACTGCTCTTTACATCTCTCTTCACAGCTATGGAAATATGTTCTTGTATGCCTGGGGTAACAATGGTAAGGAATGTGTTTAAATTAACTTTTGACAAATGTTAAATTAGCAAATAATCGTCTTTTGCAATAAATTAGGCGTAGCCACTTTCATTGCCTAATGCCTACCGTCCACCGCTAGTAGGTTTGTTATTCAAACGACAAACTAGTTTGGTAGCTATATGGGAACATAATTTATTAATAGTATTGTAATATGATATATTTGCGAAACCCTTTTCAAACGACTTTTTAGACAACTCCTCCTCGCAAAACTTTACAAACACAATTTCATAAAAGTGTATAAATATTTCGCTATTCTATTCATAGGTGCGAAATAGAAAAAATACTAAATTAATGATAACTATAAAAAATCGGAAACTATATGTCCAGCAGTGGACTAGTATAGGCTGTTGATGATGATAAAAAATCGGTTGTCTCTAAAGTCGGTTTACTGACGATAGAACGTGACAACGTCATAGGAAAATACTAATGGAATGGTTGCATTTTTCAAACGAAAATTTAAATTTTATTTGTTAGACAGATGTCGAACGCTGCCGAACGCGGAGGCCGATTGTGCCTCTTTGTCGCTCGTTCCGCGCTCTCGCTTGCACTTCATGCCTTAAATGGAACGCCTCAGAGCGAGGTAACGCCGCATGAGTCATGTTTTTCGTGCGTGCAGCCGGCTCCATCGAATTATAAGACGTTGTCACGTCAATAACTTCGCGTCATAAATGTCTGTATGATGACATTAAGTATAGAGAGTGTGAACACCCCTAGATATCCCGTGGGCGTCGTAAGAGCCGACTAAGGAAGAAAACTATTCAGGACAATAGCACTGCAAAGAGAAAGAGAACTTGACACAAACCCTATACCAACCCGTCGGGCCAGCGTGTGAAAAATTCTGCTTAAGATTCACTCACTGTCCACTTCCCTGTCTAAAGATCTTATACCCACGCGATGCTTTCGTAATTATTGTCCTAGTTTTCAGCGAGAGAAAATCCTTCTATGATATCATTAACTCATAACTTATAGTTAAAATTAAAGACTGAACAGTTCAGGCAAGACACCTCAAAAAGTTGAAGAGACGAAAATTTAATCATTTCTTTTTGAAACTCTTCAAATACGGCAGTTGTTTTTTTTATTGGTAACTGACAGGCACATATTTCTTTGTTTTCTTACAGGTACTTTACCTTCTAATGGTATAGCCCTCCACCTTACTGGTATCCAAATGGCTACTGCTATTGATGCACTAGCAAGGCCAGAAGCCCCTCGATATCTTGTGGGCAACGCCGCCCAAGTCCTCTACTACACTACAGGCACGTCAAGAGACTGGACCCGGTCTGTTGGTATACCTCTAACTTATACTCTGGAGCTGCCCGGCTACGATTACGGTTTTCTTGTTCCTCCTACGTACATCAAACAAATCGTCACTGAAACCTGGGCTGGTATCGCCGCAGGAGCTAAATATATTCTCCGCAATTATTAAAAGATCGGAAAACGGTTGTAAACACAACAATATCATTTTAAATAAAAAAAAAGTTTTGTTTGTATCATTTTTTATTCAATTTTGTTCGAGTTTGTAAAGTTATTCGTGTGGTGACGGATTAAGAATACAGAGTGTCACCATCCCTATTCACCCCGAGGGTGTCGTAAGAGCCGACTAAGGAAATGAACTACGCAGAACAACAACACTGCAAAGAGAAGGAGAAATTAAAACAAACCCCATACCAACCCGTCTGGCCAGCGTTATATAGTAGGCCAAAACCTCCATTCTGAGGAGAGGTCTATGTCCAGCAGTGGACTAGTACCTAAAGGCTGTTGATGATGATGATGATTGTAAAAAGTTCAACAAAGAGTATGACCCGACACTATCACGATTTGCCAGCGATCATTTATTTATTATGTTAAATAAAAAATTAAGAAGAATAATCATTTTAAACATTAATTCTACGCTAAAGTACATCACATAACGCATAAAAATTAAATACAATTGCTAAATCCTGTCCAACTTGACATTTATGTGTACTTACCTATGTTATCAATCATTTTCAAATGAAACACTTATAAACTGGCTTAGTTCATAGAATTTCTATAGGCTATTACGTTTGTTTCTTGTTAACTAGGATAGTTAAATGAGTAATTACTTGGCTCGGTTTCACACATTCTTAGAACCACATAATACATTCCTTTAAAACCGTTGACTTAACAAGTTAACAGGCAGACGTGCGTTAAAGAAGACTAACAATACGTAACAGAAGGTCAAAATCATTTATTTTATAAATATGTTCATTAAAAATACTGGGCTAAGTCTTTTCGTGCTGGTAGCTATTTTCCAAGAGTCGTATGAGGTCAAATTCATAAGAAGAATTGAAGCAATTGGATCCCCGTATTACAAAATTTTAATGTATTTGGGACACTGTAAAGGTAAAAAATATATTATCTACCAAGGCAACACATTTAGATAGATAGATAGATGGAAAGATATCACTTTATTTGTACACCATTTCAGATGAGTAGTAATCAAACATACAAATGTCAGGTACGTAATGTAAAAAGCCTTATTGCTAACTGGTGTCGTTTGTGAACTACTAACATAATACTGGGCATAGCAGTTCTTCCATAAATGTTAATAAACAGTAAGTTTGGTTCAGAGATAATAAATTTTTAAGAAAAATAACCGTAGTCTACAAGTTTTCCAAATTAAAATAATACTAAACTAAACAACATTATTGATCGTAGATGTCATACGTCTGGGTGTTTCTATGTATAATATGTATGTATTTACAAAAAAAAAGTATATATGTATTTATATCAGTTGTCTAGTACCCATAGTACAAGCTCTGCTTAGTTTGGGACTAGACGGCGTTGTGTGAATGTGGTAGATTATTATTATTATTATTATACCGTTATCCTCCCCGGATCGATGCCTAGTAAGGCCCTATGCTGGGGAAGCCTCGGGGTTTCTCCCGCTTATCGGCCCAATCATTACAATTGCGGCCCAATCATTACATGTTGCGGCCCGATCGCATTTTCGGAACCAGGCCGCCATCTTATCGCCAAACGCAGCAGTTAATCTGCTACCAGAGCTCTTCCCTCTCTGGCAAACTGCGATTAAGTCGATGGCTCATGTCGCTGCCGATGTCCTCTGCGCTCGGGATCGGCCCTCAGCCGGCCTTCACAGAAAGAGACCACTGCACCTGCACTGCACTGCACAAATTCTATCTACTTTTTGTTATCAATGGATTGTTACATAAAAGATCTTATGTAATAACTGGTGAATAGTGGAAAGTCACCATTGCGAAGAGTAGATAATGCTGAAAAAGTACTTCGAATATTGAGCAAATTATTATTTACATTGGATATTAGGAATATCATTTTTTTGTATTGAAATTGTTTACAGGAAGTAAATTATATATGGAAGGAAAAATATGGGGGAAAGTCTCAATGAATAGAGTATTAGACATTTACTACAAGGGTGACGATAGTAAGTATGTGTAATAAAGTGTAATACAGATAATAAATAAGCGACATACTTCAGAAGCGTACAGCATTTGAGAATTTCACAATATATAATACTAATATCATTTTATTAGAGTAACCATGACTCCTTGATTGTTAGTAACACAAAACTTATCCTATGTTAGTAGAGACAATTTACAATATTTCATTTATGCACTACATGAGAAACGCCGCTCCAGTGACCAATGTCCCTGCAATCTAACTTCTCTGCAATCATGGCTAGTATGCTGTTAGATCTACCCCGCACCCTGCAAGCCAAAGATACACACCGCTTTCGCATAGCATGTTAGTGTGAAAGCAGTCCACTCGCGCCTCTGCGAACATCCCGGATGCAATACAGAAGCAGGGTAGCCCCAACAGCAACCTAAACGCATTGTTGTATTGGATACGGAGGGATTTGTATGCTTTTCGAGTATATCTAGGCCACAGGCTGCACGTATAGAAAGACGTGCTGTAGGCTCTGAAGAGTGTGATCTTAACATTATTCGAGCAATGTGTAAACCTGGCCAACATGTTCGCTCTCACCGACAACGCCCTCCGTTCCCTTTCCAGATCCTCATTGTCTTTGACGCTGTTAGTTAATAATAATATATAAATTATTTCGTTTGTTGAAGTTTAAGAATACCTAGAGTTACAGCTATGGTTTTATTGTTTTATTTCTTGTACCATTGTCCAAATGTTTCCTGAACATTATTCGAAAATTAATATATTCCATATTTATTTCATCCGTTACTTCCAGTAAAAATCCATGTCTCAACGCGTTACCTTTTTCTTTCAGACAGTCACACAGTATCAAGAGTAGAAATCCATCTTATAGTCAACAACACCAATGTCATTGCATATTCTGAGGATGGTGTGGGTAGCATTGAATTTTTTGCAACCTTATATTTACCTATGAATATCGGTTTTGTAATTCATAAACTTTCTATTTATACGTGTTCTAAAATTCAATCTTCCCATCCTTCCTTTAAAGAGAAAACCGAACAATACCTGCCTTTTATCAAATTGAAAACTTGAAGGCTTTCATTTTATGGACAAGTTAAGATTCAATACTCTTTATATCACGTGTATTTAAGCAACTAAATAAATTTCTCTTTCAATAAATTCCAAATTTTCCCATCAATATTTCCCTACGTGTACGGGGGAGAATAATATGCTCACCCTCTATTTAGTGTATTGGACCTATTTGTAATAGGCCAAAACCTCCCTTCTAAGGAGAGGCCTATGTCCAGCAGTGGACAGACTAAGGCTGTTGATGATGATAGTTGCCTCTCGCCTACTCTTTCAGGTATACAGGCGTAAGCGAATGTTTGTATATTTTAAATTTAAGTTTTTTCAACTGTTGCGTAAATTCACTTTCACAAATTTTATTTCATCGTCATCATCCTATCGCAGACCACTGTTGGATATAAATTTCATTAAACACGTCATAATTAATCCAGTAACAACGAAAACTTTTTGCCTTGACTGTATAAGAGAAGTTTACTTCCTAGCAAAGAGCCACCTTTTCTGTCTATTGCGCTCAAAGAGGTCATAATACAAATCTTTTCAAAGTCGCTCTTCAACTCCGATGCTGTGGGGGCAAGCAAAAAGTCACAGAGTTTTGCCCACATCAATACAACATGTATCCATGTCAGTAAACTAACATCAAAATAGTAGTCAATTCTCAAGTGAATAACACGCCTTATTTAGTACATCAATTTTATGTCAACATCTTTTTCTAACAAACATGACATAATATTTCATTCAAATCCATCGTAATTCACAAAATTTTAAAATATTAAATACTCCCTTCATTGCGCAAAAACGCCCGCAATGTTCTTTTCACTGCCATGGCATATCCCGAAGTCTGAGCACATTAAACTTAAATCATGCAGGAACCTCATAGAGCACTATCTTGGTAATTTCCTGGAGAAATTAACTTTGGAGCAACTGAGTGTAAACTTATACAACGGTACTGGCACGGTTTCTGATGTTACTCTTGACTGTGATGTGAGTGATATTGTTTATTTGCTTGTGACTAGAACTGCGTGCATAGGACAGGCCCAAGAACGTTTTGCAAAGTACCCAAAGTGCTAAGGCTACCATGTAAAGTAACAAACAACAAGCACGTGTATTCAGATTAATTCTGATTATTCTTGAACTTATAGTCAGCCTGCCTTTTAGGTGACTTTATAATGACTATATTAGGGCTGTACTTGGTGAAATGTCCTCGGACTTAACTAGACCAGAAAGAAAACTCGCGGGCTGAACTAATTGCAATGAAATACAAAACTTGGGGCTTGCTAGTACCTATCTAGGGTAGGTTTTTGATTCACTGAAGACTTGACTAGTTTAGTCGAGTCAAGTCTCCAGTTGAAAGTCACGCTGATGGGCAGTTTAATTCGGCAGTCGTTAGTAGTATATGTTTTTCTTAGTACCAACAAAAAACGTACTCGAAATTCGTTGGACTTATAAAAGTGATATACATCCACATCCAGGCTACAGTCAGAAACAGGTTTCAATTTAATATACTTTGTGAATAAAATATTAAAATTTTAGGCACTAAACAAGTTAGGAGATGAACGAAATTGGCCACTCCAAGTAGTAAATGGTCATATGCAAGATATAACTGTCAAAGTACCATGGTCTAATGTATTTAAAGATGACTCCATATTAAAAGTCGATGGCCTATCGCTTACATTGCAGCCAAAAATACGAACTGAACCAGGTATTCAAAGAATGTTTGGTACTTTACATATTTAGCATTTAAATCCCGAAGAGCGACTACTTTTTGCGGTGAACACCGTAGGCTGAAAGCTAGGATGTTAGAAGAATCTAAAGGGGGAGTCAGAAGGGGAAAGAATAAAAAGCCGCCGGAAATCCTAAAAGATCTTCTTTTAAATTGGTTTAGAATCAGTTGTGTACCTAATTGTATTCAAAAAGTCTATCTGAACTGTAGTCATAGGAGCTACAACCAATATAGTGACATTCAGAAACATTGTAAGAGATTATAATGTGTTTTATGTTACAAAAGTACTTTTACATCAAAGTCATAGCATTACCATTCTGGCGAATTTCATAAACAGGATCGGTACTTATTATCAGATGTAACAAATTAACATTGTAAATAGTTTGACCAATTTCTGCTTTTGTAGCACTCTTATTTACTGTTATAATTTAAAGTGAAATCGTTCCTGATGTGGATGGTAATCAATTGGCCAAAATTGTCATCCAAACAATTGTTTTCGCTTAACAAGCATACAAATGGATTTCAAAGACACGTGGAACAAGAAGAAAAAATGTTTGCTAACAGTATTGAAGCAAGTAAGTTATCTGCACTGCTTATTATGCTCCTTTGGTTAATTTTTAGGACAGACTGGAGCTATATTTTAGACATTAAAACTTACTCATACTTACGCTGGGTTATGAAATTGGAGCTAAACACCTCCCACTGCCTGGGAGAGCCATGCTTCGGCAAAAACGGCTCGACCGGTGCGAAACCACGGCCTCACAGAAAACCGGTCGACCAGAAAACCACCGAGCGAGGTTTCCGGAACCCAACCCCGCAACCTCGCCCCCTTTTATGATAGCACCGTCAAACAATAGTTCTCCTTCAAGGGGATACCAGCTGCGCTAGCGTTGGAGAATTCCTCTCTGGACGTCCACGCCTAGAACACCATGCATCTGGGCGTCATCATGTCTACGCTGCCCCCCATATTCTGGGGGAGGCACAACTGCGCTCAATAACTCTACCCGCGGCAAGAGCACATTAGGTCACCCCGCACTACACTTGACGTTGATTTCTGCAAAATCAGGGGCCTACACTCCAACCTTAACGCTGTCCTCCACCAGCTCAAGACAGTGACGCCGACCTTCCTCTTTTTAACCGAGACGCAGAAATCATCTCCGTCGGACACAACCTGCCTCTCCTACCCTGGTTTTCATCTGGAATACTTCTTTGTTACTAAGACTGGAGTAACCGTGTGCGTTAGAGATGATATCAGTTCTCACAACCTAGGCAATCTTGAAGGACGTAACCTCTCCATCTTGTGGCTCTGTGTAGATAGCGACGACCATCCCCACGTCTATGCCTCTACAGGTCCCATAGCTGTGATACCGGAACTGACCGACTGATGACCACGTTCAAATGGCTACAGACTCTGTGCTGCAAACGATCCCATCCGCAGAGATCGTGAAACTTTGGCAGTACAGGTCAGCTGACTGGGATGGGATGGATTCTTTCTTTGCGTCCTACCTATGGAGGCGGGGTTTGTTTGTTGCCGGATGATCCCAACATCATTGCCGATTCTGTCACTGCTTTATTGCTAGCCGGTATGGAACTTTTAGTTCCATGTACATTAATTCCCATCGGTGGCAGATCCAAGACTTGGTTTGACAGATCCTGCAAAACGGGATCCCACCGAAAACAGGAATGTTACGAAGCATAGGCAAATGCAGCGGCGGTAGGTAATGTAAACACCAGCACGCTAAAAAAATAATACAACTTTGCCTCCAGGTTCCTCTAAAGAGCCATTGCTAGGGTGAAATCGAAGCACATCAGCTGGATTGCTGAGAGACTGGTGAGATTTTCTTCTGGAGCTCGTGCATTCCGGTCTCTTGCTAAAGGCTGTCCAGGGGAATTAATATAATATGCTAGCACATTCATACAACGCCATCTAGTCTCAAACTAAGTAAAGCTTTTACTATGGGTACTAGACAACTGATATAAATACACATATATACTTTTTTTTTATAAATACAAACATATTATACATCGAAACACCCAGACCTAACCAAACATTAAAGGTTCATGCATACAACTGGTTGACTTAAGCGGGATTTAAACCCACGACCTTTGGCATGGCAGCCCGTTGCACAAAACCACTAAGCCGTCAATTTCTGTAGTCAATCCCTTCCACCCCTGTAGATGGGAGGTAATTCGTAAGCCCATGATGCCAATGAGAAACCGATCTCCTAGGCGAACTCTTTACATCAAACTCGAATTTGGATGACGGCGGAAACGTGCGAAACGTACGAGACTCTAAGAGACAATAGCACATATTAAATGGTTTCTTCCTATAATAATTCATGAAATATGCACATTTTTCAATAAAAAAAGTTTACAATTTACTTACATTTTCAGTTCTTAAACGACTTAAACTAAAATTGGAAAACACAAAGATAAGAATAGAACATTTACCTAAACACATAAACAGAGGCTTCGCAATGGAATTTTACATAAAGAGGTATGAACATAGGTATATAATAAGATACCTTTTTGATGTATAATAATATAACGTTGTATAAAAGTTTAATGACTTTTTAGTATCGACTGTTACGACGAGGCCGAACCCGACTTCACACCTCGAGGAACAGATTTAGAACTGTCCAAAACTTGCTTATTAGACACTTACACTAAAAAGAAAATAAAAATAAAAGGTGTTACATTATACACAGATGAATTCCATGTAAACCGAAACTCATTAAAAAACCGTTACGACAATTTGCAAGCACCACAACGATTTAAGATAGACTGCGACTTAAACAATAATATAAAAGATTGTGTTTTCCATGAAATGAAAAATGATATTCTCAGAATGAAACAAGACACGGTCAAAGATGTAAATTTAACATTTAATAGCATTGACGATGTTGACACTGAGAAATCAAACCCGTTGGGTCCAATCATGTTTGCCATCTTGAAAGGGCAGCAAGAATTGACGCTATCGGTTAATAAATCAGGTAAAATGGAGGGAGTATCCATTGCAGCAGAAACAACAGGTCCACTTGAAATAGTATTATCTCAGAAACAGTTAGACGCAGTTATTGATCTCCTTACTTGTCTCAAAACAACACGATCACAGAAGACCAGGTAACTCCACATTTTATTCATTATTATTATCCGAAGACGAAGATCATCAAATATCCTAATTTACTAGAGCACTATGACAATGAACGCTACTCACATAGTCTACATTTAGTAACTCATCATTCTAATTGCAAACCATTAATTGTTTTATAACATAAATTAGGATACAGTAAAAAGAACCTTGTTCTTATAAGCTATTCCAACCTATCCCATCTGGCTTCAGCTCTCGCCTGCAGAAGGTTCGGCAATGTATCGCAACTTACGAAGTATAAGTCAAATGTCGAACTAGTAAAAAAATCTTATTTGTTAAGTTATTGTTGTTTCTAAGTCTGTCAGAAATAGAAATTAATACATTCCGATCAAAAATATTTTTTTAATAAATTTTAATGTAGACGTGTCATTCACAACTAAATATTTTCCAATTTGAACTTAAGATTGGCATTGAACCAAAGTCTGCCCTAATTATTATTATTTGTCACAGGAAAATCAGTGACGGGCTGGATATTTTAAACAATATTCTGTGTTGTGTCGACTAGTAACGCCTCGACACACACACACAACCCGCATACAAGAAATAAAGTGGAGTATAACGATATTTTAACCCAAAACTCTAAATCCAGGCAATGTTTTTGTTATTTACAAGAAATCCCTGAAAGTAATTATAATTATCCTGTGTTGTAATATTATATATCATATCTTAAGGCATGGAATAGAAAATTTCTGTATCAAATGGAGCCATTTAGAAAATACTGAGGAAGATTTGCCATTCTAGTAACTTTTAATTTCAATTGTTGATGAATAAGGGTAATCGGGTTGCATGAACAGTAATCTATCCTAGAACTAATGTTTTTGTAATTTATAGATGACCTTACTAAGTATTATCAGAAAGATAATGTAGACTGCTTAAATCAGGCAAGACATTGACCCACAGTGGTAATCCTATTATAAGAGATAATTATCACAACATAAACCTTTAACGTATACCTACTTTCATGATCTAAGTATTTTTTAATTGTTAACAAGTGATTGACTGCCTGTCTTTCTTCTTACAGTGAATAAGAAATACAACTAGCGTCATATTGAAATGTATACGATATCCCGATACCATAAATCCGGCTCCTATAGACACATAATTGCGAAAAGATTTCAAGAAAAAATCAAAACTAACCGTCGTAATATAAAGACATACATAATTTAAATGTATTTAATTCAAATATTTTTTAAAGCATACTAATTTTAAATATGAGAAATTTAAATTAAAAATACCTTAACCTGTTATTTGTTCTTTTTGCAACACACGATAAATCAGTAAGATCCAGTATTAAGACTGCTGGTGGTTGAGGTGGAGCTTATATCCTTTTTAGGGTTCCGTACCTCAAAATTTAAAAATCAACCCTTATAAGATCACTTTCTTGTCCGTCTTTCCGTGTGTCACCACCGATTTTCTCAGGAACGGGTAGACCTAGCAAGTTGAAATTTATACCAGATACTGAGGTCTATGGTCCCTTTTAGGTGTTTAAAAATCAAGGTCCTGAGTCACACACATGATAAAAAGATATGGGCAAATTTCGATTCTCGCGAAAACTTGTAAGTACCAAAATTTACCTTAATTTTCTACTTTTTTTATTATTTTTCAGAATTTTCTCTTTGCTTATGCCGTAAGAAACCGTCTTACATCACAAATAAAGGAATAATTCCAAAAAATAACGAAGGTGAAAATTAAGAAAAATTTTGGGACTTACAAATTTTCGCAACAAATTTCTTACAAAATCTACGTAAAATCTGGGTAGGTATGGAACCCTCGGCGTAAGAGTTCGACTCGTACCTCACCTCGAAGTTTCCATTACGAAAGCGTCTAACCTAAAATTGCTCTTTGCGTTCATTGGCAGTCTCCTCTCCAAATGCAGCGTTGATATTGCGAGCCGTTTCTGACGCCAACCAACTTGGCCGTGTCCTCGTGGAGGAGTGGAATGAAAAGACTTGGGCAACCAAGCGCCGGGTACTCCATAATAGCAGCGGTAAGACTCGTTATGGAGGATTGGCTCGAGAGGAAACATATGACCTTCTCATATCGGCTGACTCAGATCACCTGTGTCTGAACCAACGCCTGGGAGCCACTATTGCGGTGGGCAGAGCGTGGATACGGCGCTCCCCACGCTGCCAGAATGCCCGGCGTGGCGTGGCCCCGGGGCGACCATAGGAGTGAGGATTTTTTAGCTCGGTACGACTCCATCGGCCATGATACGGAGCGATGGTGCGTGGAACTGCGCCACCTCCGTCTACGAGCAAATTATGCAGTGGCTTAGCTAGGCGTGGGCGAAGTGGGCAGTCGCCCAGAGCCGTGCACTTACGGGGTCTCGCGAGGCTCCTTTAAATGCGATGCCTCCTGACTTTGCCACAGATGACTAAATAATTTGATCACATTTACGCTCGAATTTGTTTCGTTCCCCCCAAGAAGTTACTTAAGCGCAACTGCGAGGCCATTGTAACTACCTTTAAAGACAGCGACCGTAAGATTGACGGAATACGAGACTTGTCAGGCATTAATAGCTATGAGCAGAGGTGAATCGTGAATTTTTGGGGCCCTGGGTTCTTACTTATTAGGAGGCAAAAAAGGGCTCCTGAAGTTGACGGGGTGGAAAATCCCTTTAGAGCCTTAGAGACGTAAGAGTTAGAAGTATGTGGTGTTTCCCCTAAAAACTCGCATGACGTCGGCCTTAGGCGCTCAACTCTGCTAGGACCTGGACCATGTGATTTCAAAGTTACCTACCTCCGCCAGCTCCGGGTCCTTCTCCGCGTAACAGACGACACTCACTTCTAGGGGAAGACTAGTTCTCAGGACTGCATTATGCACGAGGTTTCACAGAAGAGGTCCTAGGACCAACGCCTCGGGAATCCTATTCGTAACCTCCCGTCAACATTCTTCGTCGTCTCGGTATCGGTCATGATATTAAGCCCCGAAGATGTCCCGCAGGTAGTTGAGCAACTGGCGATACAGCAACAGTCACAGTCCACGTCTATATTAGTCCACGCTACGCCTCTGTAGTGTGAAGACGCTTAGAACTCTCCCGGTTCGCCAGGCCCGGGAACGGGCCAGGTACTCAGGAGGCTCATTTTACATAAGTGCAGGCCTAAAAAAAAGAAAGGCCCGGCCGTCCTAATAAAAACTGTTATCGGATCCCTCCTATTTTAGGCGCAGTGTGTGGTTTTAGTCGGTGCGATTTTGATACACCGCCTCACCCCGAACCCCGGTGGGTGACAGCCCATGGGAGTTTCCACACGTTAAAAAATTAAAGTTCTGATAAAGAAATGAGAATTAAAATTTGGATTAATCACTATCACACATTTAGTAACGTCAACTAGTCTAGCAGCTATTAATAATATAGTATGGACACTAAATCTAAATGAGTAAGTCTTTTGTTTATTTAGGTCTATTTCCCCGAACTCCATGGTGTGGACGCCTGCCTATCAGGCGGTAGTATATCGGTAGAGATATATTGGTGGCTTCCTTGACGAGGTATCCGGATCTCTTGCAATAGACTCACTTGTGAAGCAAAACAAGTTTGTTGTTGCATATGGTTTTAATCGGTTCGAATCCGAAATATCGCTTCACCCTCGACCGTAGTGAGATGATGAATGACCTGTGAGGATTTCCTTCACGAAAGGAAAGTTATTCCCATTATGGGATCACGGTATCGCGGTTAAGCACAACGTGCTGAGCCGCGATACCGTACCGTTCCACGTTGACGACATCATGAGGTGGTGTTATGGATAAACCCTCAGAGATTTTAGTCAAACAGATTACACTCACACAAAAGTTTATAGTAAATTTTGTAAATTTAATATAATAACAATAATAATAACTTTACACATCTCACACACGGCAGTCTTATCCCAAACTAGGCAGGGCCTGTAAATGGTAACCAGCCTACTGATAAACATACTCATATGTTTTTAAACACATACATATTATAGATAAATTACATACAGACACAAAACAAATGAACGTGCTCATCCCACAATATTTGTTCTAGGTGGTAATCGAACCCACAACCTCCAGCTTAGCAATCAGGGTCACTAATCACTAGACCAACAGGCCCGTCAATATGTATAAGTAAATTATTTTCATTAATAAAATTAATATTTAAATCAATTGCGGTTTTTTAGATGAACGAATGAAACAATCCTTATTTTTGAACCATAGACAAAAGTAAATTACGATACCTAACTACCTACATTCATTGGTCACATTAAACGTTGACAGTTGCATGAGTGTAACGAAACGTTATGTTTATTTACGTTCGCGAGGTAATCGCACGCAAATCACAATAGTCATTACGCACAAATATAAAAATTCTCAGTGTGATGCACTTTAAAAACTTATAAAGATGTTGTGGTATTTACCATGGTCTGAAAATATAAAAAAAAGAGCCTGCAGGTATTTACTGCAACGTTATCTCGGTAATTTCCTTGAAGAGAAACTGACTTTGGATCAGCTGAGTGTAAACCTATACAATGGCACTGGAACGGTCTGCGATGTTAGCCTTGATTGCGATGTAAGTTTATTTTAATATATTGGTACATTTCCTTGGAAATTGTTTAAATATTGTTAAGTCGGTAGGTAGAGATAAGTTAAATAGGCAGTACCTAGTAAACATGTGCACTTACTTTGCCAATACAATGTGCGCAATACAAAACAACACGTGTTATTTATGAATAACAAACAAAGAAGACCTTAAATCGTGATTGGATTTTGTCACTTTATTCTAAATTCTTATCAATGCAGGTACTAATTACTAGTACCTGCATTGATATATACTTCATCCTGGTCATTTCAATAACAATGGAAGGTAGTCCTAAGCTGAGATATTACAAGTCCAAGAAATAATTTAGTATTTAATTATTTTTATATACAAACAGTTTACATTTTATTTCTAATAATTAAAAAACATGTATAGCCGTAATTACCCAAATTGGCTAATAAATTGACTTCATGGTTCCTAAATAGACTTCAAAAATGCGCCTGCTTCTCAGCTTTTTTGCTTGGTTTGCTGGAAACTAACTCAAAAACAGCTTTAGAGGTTAGTTCAGAACATGGATGGTAAAGCGAACAAAAAATTTTTTGAGAAAAAAATCAAAATGGCCACCTCCTGCTGCAATATACATTCTACCTGTGTATTGTTTCCTAATACTTATATTACTATTACTTGAGCACAAATTAACATCATACAGGTGTCAATTTATCTAATTTAAATAATAAAGTAATTTTCTGTATTGATTATTTTATTTGTCAGGTAGAGATACAGACAACAGAAACTTGACTTGTAACCTCACACAATTTATGATCCTGGAGTCCTATTACAGCTATACACAACATTAACTGGTTGATTAGCTTCCTTTAGAAAAAAATATTTTGAGATTGTTTTCTGTTTTTCGTTCCAGAATTTTTTATTCTCATAAGAATTTGTATGTTCACTTGCAGAAGAACTTATACATGCATGAAAACTTATGCATTGTTAACAATAAATATTAAATGTATGTATGTATGTGAAGTAACAAAATCAAAGTCCTCAAACAGTATCAAAGCAAACAAAAGTTATTAGAAATATGTGGTTAATAACCTTACATTTAACAAATTTAAATAAAGGAGGGTAGACATACGTTCTACCGAATTAAATTTTATCAAACAGAAACAAAATTATTATTATAAGAAAATGAATTCACAAAATATATAAAACAATTATCTTCTTCCATACTACTTTAAGTTGCATTTCATTTTGGTTACATTGCAAACAAAATTTATTACAAATAGTTATCTTATAGTTAACAATTTTAAATAATGAAGGTAAACATACATAGGCAGTTCTACTTACTAAGATTACAAGCAATCGTTTTGGCGCATTATGTACGATTTGCAAAATGTCCAATTCTTAATTGGTCCAGTTTGCAATTGGTCCACATTGTTGGTTGAAATACTAACCTAACTTATTTCTATAAGCTAGTGGAATTTGTTCAACTAGTACAACCCCTTAATTACCAACTGGACCAATTGTGAATATGACCAATTGCATATTGAACCAATTGTGAAGTGGACCAATTGCAAACTGGACTTTCTGCGGACTGAACACTGCACCCACTGGACATTTTACGAATGAACCCAAGTAATAGGTAACTAAAACGAAAAATTAACAAAGTAAGAAATATTAACTTGACTTGTACCATAATACACTATTTCAGCTGTGAAATGTCTATATATTTTCATATTTTAAAGTATATAAGTTCGTATTTTAAAGTGTAACCAATATATTTTTATTTATTTGGACAACCAGCTACACCTTAAAAGCAAGAGATACAATGGCAGTGATATACAAGCATCAGTGCTGCCTTAATAACAGGTTGCCACGGAAAGCATAATAATAAAAGAGAGTTGGGCTTCCCCTAACTTGAAAAAAAACTTGAGCAGACATTACCTTAAAATAACTACTTAGAAATCTACTACATTAAACAAACAAAAATCCTTGTAAATAAAATATATCTCAGCTTAACAATAATAGTATCTTTTTAAAAGAAGGTAAACTTAATCTAAGCACATCAATATCTTCTTTTTTACTAATAGAATTATATTCTGCCTGGAGCCTATTTAAAGGAGAGAAACAGCCAAGGTTAGTTTTGGATTGCTAAGGTGTGAACAAGGAGTATCTAGACAGTCGTGGAAGTTTATGGGTGATGGTGATGTTTAGTTTTTGTAATGGATTAAGACAATTGATATTACCGTTGACTAACTTGTGTAAAAAAGATACATGTAATATTTTGCGCCGCTTTTTTAATGATGTTATGTTGAAATGAGTTAGTCGGTTTGTGTAACTAATTCGCTCTTTGACAAGTTAAAGTGAAATTTATAAAGTCAAATAAACCCGACTTAAATGAGGGTAGCAATAAAAAAACTCATAACACTTACATATGGGTAATGTTTATTTATTTCATCTATTTATTAGAGAGATATATTTTTTCCCAAACTAGGTTGGGTCGGCTTTAAGTCTACTACGATATGGCTGAACTTCGATATTTTACGCGGAGTGACTGCCATCAAACCTGCTCTCTATACTTTTTTTTTGTAAATAAATTATGTATTTACAAAAAAAAAGTATAAAAGTATTCTATCGGTTAATCTAGCTTAGATAGCGTTGTGTATATAGCTGTCCGATTTTTTTTACTATTATTATTTACCTGTATCTGGTAGCCACAATGGCTTTGTAAATAATGCATTACTGGTTTTCAAATCTCATTGGAAGACCGGTGATTATCATGGCGACATGAATGCCACAAATTTTGCCGAATTCTGTTATTGTGATAGACAACGCAGCTTACCTGTAAGAACCTCCTAAAGCTAAACCGATAAGATACCTTCAATGAGTTCTATGAAAGTGAAATGCAGTATTGCTAAGAATGCCGAGGCTTTCAGTATGATAGCGACATGCGTGAATGTGATCTAATGAAAATAATTAATGAGCATCACACGGAGAAACAATATAAAATTGATAAGATATTTAAGGAAAATGGACATATCGTACTTCACCTACCCCCATACCATCCGGACTTAAATCATTAGGATTTAAGTCCGGATGGTATGGGGGTACGGGGAACTCGTGTGGGTATACATAGAAGGCGAGCTCGCAGGACTTCAATTGATTCCAACTTAGACGAAAAGGTAAAAGATTTAGAGTCCATCCATGTCATAAAAAATGAAGACGAATATTATAAATTAGATAATGTATTAAACGATGTGTCAAATAGGACATTATTATTGCCTATTTCTAATTTAACCGATTATTGGTGTATTAACTGGAAAGACGTGACACTTCATCAGCGGCGCGATCTGGTCGGGCTATCCACATTGAATTAATATTAACTAAACATACACATTTGTCAAAATTTGTTTTAAGTATACCTACCATAGATGTTGTTTTTTTTGTGTTTAGACTCATAATTCGATTCAATGAAAACGATGACGTTGATGATTACGGCGACGACGATTAAGATGACGAAGAAGTTTAAACAGAGAGTTAACATGAAATTGACATTGAAATTGATCTATAATATATAAAATACTCTAACATAAATAAATAGTTCGCCTATTACTTTTTCCTCAACTACCAACAATATAAATTAATGAATAATGAAACTAGTTTTATGTATTTATTTAATCAAATTTATTTACTCTTACGACGAAACTGATAAAATCATAATAACAATTACATAAAAATCCACTCGCATTACAAAAAATGACCCACATACGCTCCTGTTATCCTATTAAAACACATTCTCACGAGACACACTACAAAATACATTCGTATATGCTCTGCGATAGTAACCCAACCATTTACACATACCAACCCCTATAACACATCCTCACACAAAAAGACTTAGATACACACATACGCACACAGACACATAACATAGGTTTCTGATCTCCTTTTCTTACCTACCCACTCTTTTTATTAGACTAAATTAATATTGTACTGTGACTTTGTTTCATAAAACAAAATGTATGTTACTATAATGGGAGAGGGCACTTGCTTCTGTAACAGAGATTTACCTAGCACAGAAGTCAGGGACTTCCTACACTATCTGTACTGTTACTATAAATAAATATTATATTATATTACTTTTACATTATATCACAAATATTTACAATTTATCTTGAGATTTATCCGACCATACTTCTCACCGTATGTAATCGTGTGCTTGACTGACGTGTTACCTCGTCCCCGCCACCGTCTGTCACCCTGCAGGTCTCGCGCGCGACGTTGATGGACTATAGGATCATAATGTGTCTTATAGAATAGATATATAAATTAACTCATTAATGTTTTAGGCACTCAATGAACTGGGAGATACACAGAACTGGCCACTGGAGATAGTAGATGGTTATATGAAAGAAATCACAGTCACAATTCCATGGTCTACCCTCTTCAAAGATGACTCCGTTGTCAAAGTTAATGGTCTTTCCATTACTGTACAACCCAAAGTACGGTCTGAGCCAGGTAAGTCTTATTTTTGCTTACTTTTAAAAGACAACTCCTGTGTCAAAAATATATCCTGTGTCACGGGGGACTTTACAAACATACATGAAACGGACACAAAGAACACCCAGACTCATAACAACAATTTGTGGATCACACAAAGTGTCGTCCCAAAAGGGGGGTTTGAACCCACAAAACTCGGCGTAGTAGGAAGCAACGTGGCGACCGCTTAAACCAACCGCCATCCGTGCAGCCATAGGTATTATTTCGCCACAGTACATTATAATTTATAGGGATGTTTTTTTTGTAGTGCCCTCAATGCTGGATTCGATGTGGTCATCCATGTCTTCATCTATGCAGCTGGCGGCAGAGTGCCTCAAAGAAGAGGACGGACCGCAAGAATCCAACCCTGTGGAGGGAATAGAAATGTTTGCACATGCCATTGATTCAAGTAAGTTCACCTTATTATTCTATTTATACCCGAAGGGACATAGACATATTAACCGCCCACATTTTGTCAACTACATATATTTTAGTCCCATTTACATAATATAGGGCAAGTCTATTCTCGCGAAGCAGACGGCGGAGCGGGACCGGGAGAGGTTTAGAACTCTCTCGGCCCGCCAGGCCCGGGGACGGGCCAGATACCGCAGGCGATCCCTGGTTCCCCGGCTATTAGTACCCGAGACGGCGTGCGGTTTTAGTCGGTTCGAGTCCGTCATGCCACCGATAGGTGGTATCCGAGGGAATACACGGAAAAAAGGGCAAGTCTATTGAAGTCAGCCGAGCACATAATACTTACATATTACAGATAAGTTACACCCAGACACGAATCAAATGATCCTCTTCCACCACACAATATTTGTCATGGGTGGGAATTGAACCCACAACCTCTGACTTTAATATAAATAGACTGGTCTTTCTGCTTTTTCAGACTATTTATAAATTATTCAAATACAAAAAAGTGGAATTTATTTATTATATATATTTGCACAAGTTCTTTAAACCCCACTTAATTCAGGAGAGTTCGTCATGCCACCGATAGGTGGTATCCGAGGGAATACACGGAAAAAAAAAAAGGGCAAGTCTATTGAAGTCAGCCGAGCACATAATACTTACATATTACAGATAAGTTACACCCAGACACGAATCAAATGATCCTCTTCCACCACACAATATTTGTCATGGGTGGGAATTGAACCCACAACCTCTGACTTTAATATAAATAGACTGGTCTTTCTGCTTTTTCAGACTATTTATAAATTATTCAAATACAAAAAAGTGGAATTTATTTATTATATATATTTGCACAAGTTCTTTAAACCCCACTTAATTCAGGAGAGTTCGTCATGCCACCGATAGGTGGTATCCGAGGGAATACACGGAAAAAAAAAAAGGGCAAGTCTATTGAAGTCAGCCGAGCACATAATACTTACATATTACAGATAAGTTACACCCAGACACGAATCAAATGATCCTCTTCCACCACACAATATTTGTCATGGGTGGGAATTGAACCCACAACCTCTGACTTTAATATAAATAGACTGGTCTTTCTGCTTTTTCAGACTATTTATAAATTATTCAAATACAAAAAAGTGGAATTTATTTATTATATATATTTGCACAAGTTCTTTAAACCCCACTTAATTCAGGAGAGTTGATTCTTTTAAAAGAAAATGTTGGTGAATCAAAATTTCTTAAACTCCATAAATGAATGACTTCATCAATATTCAACAAAAAATATGCATGATATTATTCACAAAACAATACAAATTACTGTACACTCATATTTATACAATTGTACCCTTGTTTATACCAACATGAATAAGCATTATTTCGCTTTACTGATTGAGTGGTATGTTAAAATTACAATTACACTAATGCAGATATTAAGAGAATACACTAAGTCAATTTGAGGTAAAGGCACATCGTAATAGGCTGATGGGCCACACTAAACTTCGTTTATTTTGACAAATTATGTACTAGGAAAAGGATCACAAAACATTGGTCAGTTTCTATACAATTACATGTTCTACATAAATACTATTAACGGACGGGCCAGTTGGTTTTAGTGGTTATTGATCCTGACTACTAAAGCAGAGGTCGTGGGTTCGATTTCCACTCAGGAGAAATAAATAAAATTAAAGTATCAGTAGGTAATGTCAAAATAATAGATTTTTGTCATGCTCACATGGTTATTTGTACGATACCTATGCCTAAAAACCAGAAAAGAAAAGAAGAAAAGAAAAATTGACTGTCTGTCTGTCTTTTGTTCGGGTAATCTTCTAAACGGCTGAAGCGATTTTGATAATATTTTACTGCCAGAAAGCTGTCTATATAAGGAGTAACTTAGGCTAATTTTCCTCTCACTCCCACTAAGGCAGCGCCTTATCAAATTCTACGCGAACGAAGTCGCGGATGTCAGCTAGTCTATAATATGTATGTATTTAAATATATTAGTATGTTTATCAGCCGTCTGGTTACCATAGTACAGGCTCTGCTTAGTTTGGGATCAGACTAATGTGTGTGAGATGAGTGGAATCATAAACTTACATAAATTTTATGGCTTTACATAGCTGTTTTATATAATTATATAGTTTAAAAATGTATCTATAATTAAACATTAAGTATTACAAATACGAGTATGATATGCTATCGATTGAAATATTTCCTCAAAAAGCGTTAAAAAAAACTTCTCGTATTATTATACAAATTAACAACTAACGTACTGATATCTAAATTACAGTTTTAAGCCGAGTAAAAGTGAAATTTGAAAATACAATAATAAGAATAGAGCATGTGCCTAAAAATGGCGACCGAGGCATCGCACTGGAGGTACACATTGATAAGTGAGTATAATATAATATACCTCAAGATGTGGCCTTAATTAGCGGTCGATTATTAGAATAATTTCATGTGACGAATTACCAACCTTGAATTTGTCGCATAAGTATAACTGCCTGAAATTTAATTCAGTAATGTATTTATGCTTTATTTCTTTAAAATACTTGATAATGTAACAAACTGAAAGTACAATAGGATAAGTTAATAATATCAAAATAATCTAATATATTGCTTACATTCCATTTCCATTCATAACTAACTTTCAAGGCCTTTTACACATTTCTGTATTGAGAGTAATGTATGAGGCGTATACAAAGGCATTCGTGTTAGTAATAAAGACATTATCAAGACAGAAATAAAGGTCTAAATTATTTATAGATTTAGATTTTCTAGTTTATGTACTTACTACCTCAATTACAAGAAGCCTTTACTAATTTGATATTCATTTCCTAGCCTTGATTGAGTGCCAGATAATAGATATCGATACCTTGTAAAATATCGATATCTTTTACCACTGCCAAGAATTAATTCACACACACATGTTCACCTTCTAGGATCGATTACTTTGATGAGGCGGGCTCAGAACCAACACCTGACATCACCAACCCAGAAAAAACAAAAACATACATAGAAGCTACCTACACTAACAAAAAAATAAAATTCGAAGGAGTCACCTTATACACAGATGAATTTCCATCCAAGCTGCGAACGATGGCCCGGAGTCTCATCATGGAAAAATCCATGTCATCGCAAGGGGGTAAGACGGACAGCCAAGTCGAAACCCCGGACATGAATTTCCAGAGTACAATTTCCGACGTATTCTATGAGACAAGAAGTGTTATTTCAACTATAGAGCCAGAACCAGTCAAAGAGACTATTCCTGAGGTCAAAAGTCAAACAGAAACCAGAGAATTAACACCTGATGAAAAGGTCAACCAACCGGATCCTATACTGTTCGCTAAAGTGACCGGAGAGCAAGAACTGACGCTAAAGTTAAAACATACAGATGAAGTTGAAGGACCAAGAGTTGAAGTCAAGATGTTGTTCGGTTCTTTTGTTATATTTATAACACCAAGGCAACTGCATACGTTGACGGAACTCATCGACGCTCTGAATCAACCGCATTTGGAAGACACGAGGTAAGTTACTGTTACGATTTGTACAAATACATTCTGTTATTCTTACTGAAAGATCCAAAATAAGTTAAGGATTTTGCAGTTAAAATAAATAATAACCGCTAACTATTGCTTAATACCGTTTTCGATTCAAGCTTATCCAGTACCCTGGCCCCCTCACTCTTACCGTTTTTTTTTACCGCAATTTATTTATCTTCATCCCATCTGAAAACGTTTACATTTCCAAAAAGAGTTGGCGAACTCTATGCAACGTAACAACTTATTTGTATATATAAAAAGATAGTATTAATTTCATTTTCAATTTATTATTATACTAGTTTCTAACACATAAGTTTAGTTTCAAATGTAACGCTAACGCTAAGGAGGGCACTATCTCTCGAAATACAGGTATTCACCTAGTTCAAAAGATTGGGTCTCAGACTGTTATACACAATTATCTTGAAAATATAAATTATTGTTATTACATTGCGTCAGCAACAAATAAACTGCATAAACCGATAAACGCATGGGCCGGCTCAACAGGAGTGATACCACGGCCTCGCAGAAAAGTAAAAGGAAAGTAAGCAATTCTTTCGTAGCTTCTAACGCTTTTAACGTGAGCGAGGTTAACAGAGATCCGAGGGCCAAGTGCAAGTTTATTTCAGTTCTACTCGAACGTCACGATGACCGCGTCCGGCGCTAGGATTGGCCCGCACTGAATTCTCCACCAATCGCAACTCTAAACGCGATCGTCGTCGCCGAGCGAGTCGATGTGAAATTAATTTTCACTCGGCCCTCCGATACACTTTCAAAATGCACGCCTAACCTTATCACTGCCTTTCCCTGTTAAAGTTAACAATGTCCCTTTTTACAGCAATTTACCCATGCGACCATCCGGTCTGAACATGCAATGTAAACCGATGGGGCAGGCTGACTTCCAACTGATAGAGGCTCAGCTGTTAGGCAACTTTGAGAGACAAAGCTCAAAACCGACTAGCAAGCATGGGTGGTCTGGGCCCAGTTACGGTAAGTCCATTTAAGAATTTTCATAATTAGAAGAAATTATTTCAATATAAGAAATCAAAAAAATATTCGTGGGTAATTTAAAAATTAGGAAGGAAAGTGAGGTAGGTACTATCTAAATAATCGTAGTATTACACCAATTAACTAATTATTTTAAAATGCTATTGCATTTGCAAACTTACGATTTTGACAATACCGTTCCCCATACAATAAGCATTAGGCATTACCCTTTTTGTAACGAATATATTTTTTATTAATGTAATAGCAATAATATGAAAATCATATTATTAGTAGCATTAATTAATTTGTTTAATATTTTAACTATTATGAATACCTATATGTACCACTTTTCCAAGATTCATATAGAAAGCGACTGGAATTAAGTAGTGTTATTGGTTTTAGTTAACCTCTGTGAAAAATTTGAATGACTCTAAGATACTTAAATTAAGATATTTAATATCATTAATAATATAAAATACAAAGATCAGCAATTTGTATAATATTAATCGTTCTTTGTGTTTATAATCCGACTCCGAAATGCGATTCCCAATATTTGTACTATCTGTACAATAAATTTAATGAAAACGTGAAACGTAATGAAAAAAAACAATGTGTCAACAGAAGATAGCGACGCTGACAACGAGAAGTTTTTACCAATGACGTCACCTGGAAATCAAATGTCCGAAAGTTTCTCATCATCAGTGAGCTCGATGAGCGCCAGCATGACGTCAAGCGTCAATACATCGACCGCAGCACCCAGGATTAAAAGAAATAAAAAAGGTAAAATTAACTAAAGGTAAAACTATTAAATAAGATAAATTATTAACCCGTCTTATCTTTCCTTCTTTTTCTGTCTAACAACAAAGCAAGTTCCTCACAGATTCAATTAACTAATTATCGACAAATACAAAAACCCGACTGCGTGAAAATATATACTTAAAATTACAAACCGTCTATTTTAATTTTCATATACCCGTGTCACTCTACACTCTATATACACTTACATATATGAACTCGAAAATCATAAGCCCCCTGGCGCAATCGGGTAGTAAAAAAATCTGGCTTAAGAATCGCCGCCGCAATTTCATCATCGTCAACAGCCTTTAGCAGTCCTCCTAGATAAGAGGTTTTGGCCTACTATACCACATCTGCCAGACGGGTTGGTGTTGGGTTTGTTTCAAGTTTTCCTTCTCTTTGCAGTGCTGTTGCCCGCAATTTAATATTTCTTATTTTTCTTTCAGTTCCTCGCATAGATGGTGATCCTACTGCAGAGGTTTCACATGTGTGTTTAAGAATTGCCTCTGTCTCATGTGTTTTAGTACATAAGGTAAGATATAATATTGATGGCTCACATATTATACACTATTTTTTTTTTAAATAAACCTCCGGAATTAATTATGTGGCAACGAATTATTTATAAATTACACTATTCAAGGTAAATTGCACACAGACCAATTGATAGGATATTATATTCTATTTATTTAGTACTGCGTAAGAATCGAACCCACGACCTGGCCACTAGACCAACCTTTACTATTATATTTCTACTGACGAATTTCACCTCCTACTTTCTTTTAAGTCAATGAATAGTCACTGCTGCTACTTGACAATACAGAGAGAGCTAAGTACTAGTCTTAGCTCTGTATTGTCTCTTGTGGCAAGTGAACTACAAAATATGACATTTAAGTTATGGATTGAACTTGTGGTTACTTGAAGTTAAGTTAATAAGTGTAAAGTTATTATTGTAAAAAAATTGATAGTGTTTTGTTTTTTTTTTAAATTGTAACAAATGAAATTTTTGTTAATTTTGTGTTCATGACGATTTTTTTTCTACTTTGCCCTCAGGATATTCTAGTCCCCAATCTTATGGGATCCGACTGTATATCGCCATCGACTGTTGCGAAAATGCACGAGGTTTCAAACCAGTTCTATAAGAATTTGGAACCGTTCTCTGTTATTGATGACTTCAGTGCAGTCAATGAAATCCTCGACAGGACTACCGAAAAGAACCATTTGAGGTTACTAATATTAGTTTTATAAATAACGCTACATATAAGCAGCCTTACTAAAACGAATGTCTTACATTATGCAAGTCAAATAAACTATTTCTTTAGTTTTTTGAATAGATACTGTAATTCCACTCGCATTTTAATCAACAACTCATATACCTACTGTATAATTTCCTAATTATACTATAAATATTACAGGAGTAATGAAATTTCGTTTCGTTAAATTATAAAAATGACAAATTTTACATGTGTAATTCTAACTTTAAACCTCTCTTGCCTTGAAAAAAATAAAAATAAAATAAAAGACTCCGAGGTGGTCACTTTAATAAATAAACTGAATATGATATTCAAAATTAAAAACTTAACCCTTATTATAAGAGAGAGTAACAAATTATTTGTTTCAGAATTCTAACGTCAGAGATAGCGATTGACGGTAGCGAGAAAGTGACGTCACACGGTAGTCAGACAATGTGCGAAGCGTCCGTGCGGCACTTGCTGGTGCGCGAGTGTTTGTACTACAGCGAGGACGGAACGGAACATGTAGAGCCGCACGGGTTCGACTTGATACGCTTCGAGGCTAAAGGTAAATTTATAAATTCGAATACTAAATATCGAGTTATAACTATATTATATAATAATATGAAAAAAATGCATACGATGCTGCATGTCGTCAAAAGTGTCAAAAGTGTCAAAAGTGAACGGACGTGTTATTTGTCACGCTGTTAGTTTTTCAAAATTTAATTGTTATCTGAATTTATTTTAATTCCTAAATGGGTACCAAATGTGCCGGCTGTGATGCCGAGATTAAGGATATATCGTTTATGGAATGTTCGCAAGAAACATGTCATAAATTATATCATCTGAAGTGTCTGGCATTGACATATGAAAAGTTTGAAGCCTTTACTGAAGAATACAAGAGTCAATGGATGTGTCCAGAATGTATCAACGCTATTCCAAAACGTGATAATACGGAGACGCCAATTAGAAGCACTGTTTCCATGAATAAAACTTTTACACCAAGAACTTTGTAAATAAGGAACGCGGCAGCCGAGTTAAATCCAAGGAAAGTATTATGAATGAGAATGAGTATCAACTATTCGAAGAGATGCGTAAATTTCGTATGGAAATGATATCAAGATTTGATGACCAAAAGAAGGAATACACAAAGCTACAAAGTAAATTTGATAAAGCTGAAAACGAGCTACGTGAAATAAATAAAACAATGAGGGTAGTTCAAGAAAAGACAGAAAAAGTGGAATTGTTGGAGAAAAAAATTAAGTTGCTTACAAAAAGGAACGAACAACTCGAGGCGCTACTAAGGAAGAAAAGTCAAACGGAAAATAAGAATGGAAGCGACTGTAATTTTTCTAAGGAGCCCACATTATCATTTGCGAACGCATTGAAACAAGATTCGATGCATAAACCGGTAAAAACTACCGATGCAGTAGTAGTGAAGGAATGTGTGGCCACGAAAGCGACGGATGGAACTGCCAATCCGGAACAAACGCAAGATAAAATCATCAAAGCAAAACAAGCTACTGATAGTAATATTACAGGGAAACAAGAACTTGCAAAGGAAGACAATTGGACTACTGTTAGCAAAAAAAAACCCCGGTTTCCTAACAGAGAAGTGCGAAAAGGCGGAAGTACAAGTACAATTGAAATTAGAGGGACAGAACGGAAAAAATATTTACATGTTTGGCGGTTACAGAAGGATACATCGAAAGAAGCTTTGGAAAATTATGTAAAAAACAGATATGGAAAAGATATTTCGATTACTGTGGAAAAAATAAGACATAAAACTGAAAGAGATTACGCCTCATTTATTATAGGGGTCCCTGAAAGTGAATATGAAGTATTGTGTCAGCCTGAGCAATGGCCTCTAAATATCGAATTTTGTGAATGGGTGTGGTTTCGTAGATCACATGATAAACAATCACCAATCCAAAAGAGATATTGAAATAATATATCAGAATGTAAGAGGGCTCCGCACAAAATTAGAAGACTTTTATTTGGGTATTATTTCATCAAATGCAGACTTATTTGCTATCACCGAAACAGGCTGCAACGAATCCATAAGCGACTCAGAACTTATTCCTCCGGGCTACAAAATCCTACGTTGTGACCGGGCAGATGGGCGAAAGCAGGGAGGCGCGTGTCTCGTGGCCACACCGCGTTTCGAGCTACGACGAGTAAAGACGATCTATGACGTAAACATTGACAATCATGTATTTGAACTAGTTTGTGCTGGTGTATACCGTCATAATAGGTTTTTATTTTTGTTATGTGTGGTGTACATCCCACCGAATAGTAGCGAAAATGAATACTTGTTGTTATTTAGATTGATTGAGCGGTATTGTGACAGTTATAGTGAAGTAATTGTAGTCGGTGACTTTAATTTATATTCTTGTCCTGCGTACGTAAACAGCTACTATGAATACTTTGTGACGTATTGTGGATTCACTCAGTGCAATAGTATAGGTAATTGCGTTGGTCGATATCTGGACCTAGTGCTAAGCACCTTCGCGGAATGTGAGAGTGTAGTGGTGCGCGCGGCAGAGGAACCACTGGTACCGGTGGATGTGCAACATCCGCCGCTCGAGGTTATGGTTCGCTCGTCCGGCGGCGGCCGTACCGGCGTCGGTTCGGGGACGCCGCCACACTACCGGTATACAACTGGTAAGTACATACACGAGGCATTACCAAGATGGAATTTTAATAAAGCCGATTTCCAGTCCTTGTATTCACAAATAGGGGCCATTGACTGGTCTCCGATATATGTTTTAAATTTAGAAATGAGTTTAAATTTTTTTTATGATAGGATAAATTCCATTATCGATGACTGCGTTCCTAGAAAAAAGCGAAGTCGTGTAAGCTCGAGGTACACTTACCCCGAGTGGTACACTGTTGAAATAATTCGCGACATAAAATTGAAAGCGGTACTTCATAAGCGATACAAATCGAGCAGACAAAATAGTGATTACGAGGCCTTCGCTCAGTGTAGGGCTATGATAAAACATAAGATGCGAATGGCTAAACAAGAAAACGAAGACCGCATTCAAAAAGAATTCCAGGAGGATCCTAAATCCTTCTGGAACTACATTAAATCAAAGAGAAGCTCAAGGAACACACAAACGATTTTAAAAGACGGGGTTGTACTGGCTGGTGAGGAGTGCGTTAGAGAATTTGCTGATTACTTCCATTCCGTATATAGCACCGAGATACCGAAGCTTAATGTGCAAGCGGCGATGGCGGAAGCGGGTAGCGAGAATGCCGGAGCAAGAATATATCTCGACCGACTACAGTTACCGGATGTAGGACGCGCGATGCAAAGACTGAAACCAAAGCGGTCAGTAGGACCTGATGGCATCCCGCCTTACATCTTTAGGGATTGTCGGTCAGTGTTGGCTGGGCCTTTGCTTCATATTTATAATAAATGCTTAAGTGCAATGATGTTCCCAGACAGGTGGAAGTTAACTCGCGTCATACCGGTGCCGAAAGGTGGATCAGGTTCAAGGGTTGATGAATACAGGCCTGTTGCAGTCCTGTCGACCCCAGCGAAAATTTTCGAGTCCGCCATCCACAATAGTATTCTGTTACAAGTAAGCCCGCAGCTTGCGGATGCTCAGCATGGATTTCGACCCCAAAGGAGCACTACTAGCAACCTGCTCGCTTACACAACAGAGGTGGTCCCGGTGGTGGACCGAGGAGGTCAAGTTACTTCGACTACCGGAAAGCCTTTGACCTGGTCAATAATGACGTGCTACTGAAGAAGCTAGCTAGCATCGGTTTCACCCCCCACTTGCTTAATTTTTTTGCCAGCTACATGCAAGGTAGGCAGCAGTACGTGGAATACGGGGGCATGTATCGGAGCCATATTTCACCAGGTCCGGCGTAAGTCAAGGTAGCAACCTTGGGCCTCTAGAATTCATTATAATGATTAATGATCTACCCAGAGTAGTCCAGGATGCGAAATGCTTACTGTTCGCAGACGACCTCAAGCTCTCCCTCCCTATTAACAACTTGGAGGACTGCAAGAAGCTTCAAACAGACATAGATAGGGTGGTAACCTGGAGTAGAGACAATCTCTTGCAGTTTAATACCTCGAAGTGCGTGGCTATCACCTTCTCACGCTTACGCGAACCCATCTCGTATAATTATAATTTAGACGGGACACAGATGGTAAGGGTCACAGAGGTTAGGGATTTAGGGGTTTGTGTTAACACTGAGCTAATATTTCGTGATCACATAGTGAAATGCTGTAAAAAAGCTTATAGGAATTTGGGTTTTGTTTTACGAACAGTAAAGGACTTTAGAAACCTAAATACAATTATAGCATTGTATAACGCGTTGGTAAGAAGTCAGCTAGAGAGTAACGCAGTCATCTGGGCCCCACATGAAGCTAAATATAGCCTCATGTTGGAGCGAGTTCAAAATAAATTTGTTAGGTTTTTGTACTTCAGATACTATGGAGTATACCCATTGTATCCATTAATGTATCCCACGTTATTTATTCTGGGTATGGTGGGATACAATGAACTGAGGGTCAGAAGGGAACTCACACTCGTCTCGTACCTGTTTAGGGTACTTAGGGGTGGGATACATAATGAAGACGTGTTAGGATGAGTCAGCATATGTGTTCCGGACAGATACGTGTGGCGGCGCCGCCGGCCGCCGCTGCTGGCTGTCCCGTGCGGGCGCACCAACCTGCAGAGAGAAGCACCGCTGACGCGCGCACTACGTACTCTGAATATAATTGCGGACGAAGTAGATTTATTTTATTGCTCACTGAGTGAATTCACAATAACAGCATTAAGAATTATTTCTTATAATAAATAAGTAGATGGTATAACACTATTGCATTGGGCTAAGCCTGTAAAAATAGTTGTTTTTAAAGAAAATAAATAAATAAATGTCTGTTAGTAATTGTTGTAGTAGGCTATCATACCTATATAAATATATCCTGTTACTGCGTATAAGTGTAAAGAATAGGGTATTTTACTCTATACGAGAAAAAAACTACAAATATATTATTGAGATAGCTTAGGAAAAAAGAAGTTCGAAACGATAGTGTTAGTACATAAAATAACAAAATTATTTTTAAAATTCAGGTCATAGGTTTTAGTTTTTTATTCTGTTTTTTTCATTTTATTACGTCATGTGTATGTGTGTAAACTAAAAGAGTCAGTGTTGACTGTCAACTGATCCCATTTGTTTACACAGCCAACTGATGTCATAACCACAGAGCAAAACGGCGTTCACTTCATCCCGCATTTTCGTCCAATTAAGATGATAAATGTTTTTGTTGTTACAGAGGATGAAGACGTTTCTAGTCGACAGTCCGCGAGTTCGCGACCGAACTTGCGGGTGAGCTTCAAACAGACCTCGAAGTACGTGCGCATGTCAAGCGAGAAGAAGCTGTTGTATCCTACCACTGATATTGTGTAAGTGTCCTTACACTTATAGTATAGTGTTGTAACTTATAGTATAGTGTTGTGCTAACCGATAAAGAAGGGATAAAAAATATATAATTACAACAGTTAGAAATACTTTTTTGGTAATTGACATTTATTTGTTTGTGTTAATCTATGGCTTTCGAGTCTACATAAGAGACGATTTCAAATAATTCTAAGACTTGAATTTCAGTATAAAATGCATGCCGTTCCATTTGGACGTGGAGCTTACCGTGGTGGATCGCATGTCCGCTACGTTCTTCGGCGGCGCGGCGTCGTCTCCGCGCCCGGCCAGCGCGCCCGTCTCCGCGCAGAACCAGCTCAACGTCGCGCTGCACTGTCCCAACCTCAGCACTGTGCTTAGGTAACTACAATCATTATGGCTTTACTGCTTCATCCAACCAATATGAACACAATCATTTGTGATTTCAGTATTTTCTTTTAGCTGGTGCCTGCAATTGAAACTATAGTCCATTTGTGTTAAGAAAATAGTGACTTATGAAGCCCTGCCCCTTGACCGATCAGGTTCCGAGAAATTATCGTTTCGTACGAAAGCTTGGAACCTTGATCGATACGTCACTAACTTCTCAATGCGAATAGACCATAGGGTAATTTGAACCTAGTCACTTTATAAACTGTAAAATGAGATCACTTGTTCTTTTTTTATATGTAAATGAGATAAAAACAGTATTCTAACGAACCTTGTTGTTTTCTTAATCTGTACTTCCTATGAGTATAAAAAGGAATATCTGTATGAGTTATCTTTTCCTTATATTAGGTTCCCAATAGCGGATCTCCGTCAGGGTGTGAACCGCGAATCCAGACGAGTGCGGCCCGACTACCTGGTGTTCAAGTTCCAGAACGCAACGCTGAGCTCGCAGCAGACGCCGAGCGTGCGCCCGCTGCCGACCGCTGTCAGCGTTCGCTCTACTGTCTTAGACTTATATTATTATGTAAGTTATAGCAGCTTCTATACCTAGATATAAGTATTATTTCAATGCATCAAAAAATAAATATCCTCCCTTAATTAAATAATCCTAGACTAAGAAACTTAAACGTAAATAATATAGCTTGATAAAAACCCACTCGGTTTTCTAATCTGCTAAGGCTACAATTAAAAATCAAGTCTCTTAGTTTAGCGCTGATAATAGTAAACGTCAAGCTCAGTAGTTGATATTTACTTATTACTGACTGAAATAAATACTTTTTATATGTATGAAAGGCAATCCGGGAATAAATACCCAACCATTAATATATAGCCAGCCATGTTAGGAGATACCTACTGCAATATATCCATTTTTTTTTGCAAAGCACAAGTGTTTACATTCACAAATAATTGTATTTGTAAAGAAGAAAAGTGTGCACTGTAAATAAAAACTGTCATATTAAACCGAAACCGTGAAATAATTTTTCAAAAAATAATATTTCATGTAATGGAAACAATAAGGTTTAAATTTCAATAGACTCATCTGACATTAACAAAAAAGAATAACAAAGTGTGGTATTACAGGAGAACGAAACATTCCCCGGCACGCACATAGCTCGGAGCACGATGGACGACAACGTGCCTGAAGGTAACATACTGAGCGGAAACGACACGACTACTGCGTTGCCCACGTAAGTAATAATAATTTGACACGTTTCACATGCGGTTGTCTGAGGATCTAGTATTAGTTTATTTCACATGAACTCGCTCTCGGGCGGATGTGTCTTATGAACAGTGCGGACCAATGAGGGTTTTCTGAAATGTTCCACGTGAGATGGCAGCACTGTAGCGTCAGGTCCAACCACCTGTCAAAACACATACACGATTTGTATTTTTCGATCAGTTTTTTGGTTTATTCATTCTTAAAAACCTTACAAAAGGAATACTGATTTCTAAAATTCAACAGTGTTGTGCAGTGCCTATGTGTGCAAATAAAACTTTTGCGCCTCTCTTTTTGAGCTCAATCTTCAGTTCGGCAATCTTTCTCTGGCCGTAATCTATAATAAACTCAATAACACTTCCAAATTCATAGAATTTCACTAAAATATTATACGTTCGGTAAGAATCTGTGCTATCTGACAGCTGTTTAGACCTGACGCATACGAAGCGCCGTCTGGTGGCAGAAAAAGTATCGAAGACCCTCATTGCAACGCCGAACGCGGTCACCGTGACGAGCGAGTTGATGTGAAATAAACTCACACCAGGCCCTGGTGTCATAGGGTCATCAGACTGATGATAAACATACTAAAATATTACTAAATACATATAGAAGGAAAACTTGAAACAAACCCTATACCAACACGTCTGGCCAGCGTGGTGGCCAACTAGGCCAAAACCTCCTTTCTAAGGAGAGGCCTATGTCCAGCAGCAGACTATTAAAGACTGTTGATGATTCCTACCTGTCATATCAATTAACCATCAAATAGTAGTATTAGGTGGTTAATTCACATGATTAATTGGCAATTCATTAAAAAAAAAGGAAATTTTAATGGAACGAAACCGCAGGCAAAATCCAGTTATATATTTTAAACCATCATAACATTCATCATTAAAAACATTTTACATCAAACAATGTTTTTTCGCAGCATATCGATCACGTTCAAGCCTCGTTCAAACTCGAAGGGCCCATTCGACAACTTGACAGACGACTCTTCTAACTTCGAGCCAGCCGCAGGCAATCCTATGACAACATCTATGTATATGATGAAAAATCTCACGGCCGACCAGCCGAGTCCATTTAGCAGCAAGAAGCAAGCGCATCAAAGCATTAATGATCACGGCGGTCAACCACAAGGTGAGAATACATAATATATTCAGTATTTAAATTAAATACGATTAAAAAATGATAAAGGCTATAAAAATTGTTGTCGTACTATTGTTCTTTTTATTTATTTAACTTCAACTTTATTTGTCTACATGTAGTTAGATTCTTTGTCCCTCTAAACCGGTCCGCCAAACCCCAAACCAACATGGTAGTACTGACATTTGGGATCACAAAGTAGTTGGTAAACATGTTGGGCCATAAAAAAACCTTTTATCAATAGTGCATAAGTATCTTAATCAAATATGGCACAACACCACCACTTTTTATTCAGTGATTTTTTTTTATGAAATAATTATTTATTGTTTAACACTAGAAATCGTCCAGTATCGAATTTTAACGGTTTAAACGTCTTGTTTTTTATTTTTTGTCTTTAAGCTGTGTTATATTTTGTGTGTGCTGTATTTAATTATTTGGATAACTGGTTTATGTTCTGTGTTGTCAGAGTGAAAAAAAATGAAAAAAAAAAACAATTTGACAGTTTTATATTCATAAATTTCAATTTGTATCTGGTTTAATAGGTGTATATTGTTATAACAGGTCGTGAAGAGGAGATAATAATGCCCGGTAACAAAGAAGAGATGTCCGAGTTCACGGCCAGTGCCATAGAGTTGTCAGGTGTTCACCTGGAGTTTATGCTACCCATACTCAGCTTACAATTAGAGTAAGTTTATTTACGTCTTTAGATGGCAACTAAGTATTCACTCACACCTATATCTTCGAAAGGGTGTGTAGAGGTGGTTCAAACACCCATGTTTAACCGAATATGCTCTTAACCCCACTTATATAACTTGCTTGTGCCCGCAGCTCCGCCCACGTATCTGTAGCTTTCCGCGGTAAAAAGCCTATGTGCTATCTCGCTACCAAATTTCATCTAAATTGATTCAGCGGTTTAAGCGTGAAGAGGTAACAAATCGCATTTCTATCATATTAGTATGGATTATAAGCAAGCCTATCGGCATCTGATCACGAAATATAAGAAATAAATTTAGAATTTAATATGAATTAAATTTAGAAATTAAATCTGACTATTGAGTTTAATAAAAAGTTGATTGGGTGTAATTATTAAGGGTAATAGTTTGCGTAGGTCAGGGTCGTCATACCTATAACTCAGAACGAAGTAGGGCCGCTTTTAACGTTTACTTTTTTCTAAAAATATTAAACATGAAGTGACAATTTGAAAAATAATATTTAAATGAAAACGGAGCTCAATCTTCACAGTATTTTAAAACTTAATTATTGACTGATATTGATTGAGGGAATATAATTCATTTTGAACACAGAACTCTTACCATTTTCACTTTGAATTATACTGTTCCTATTCTAATTACAGATCGAAACAATTATACGAAATAATATATAACCGAATCAATTCGGATCTATTGCTGTGGGAACCGCATATTACACAGGAGTATGACATCAGCCCCCTCGCCTCTGACCCCATCAATCCTGTCTTCGGCGCTTTCAAAGGTTACGGTAAGTTCAGAATTAGATCTTCAGGTGCTTTTATACTGTATCTGTATAATTTAGACAAACAAATTCTACTCTTAACTTAAAAACATTAAATTTGTCGTAGTGTATAGTATTCTACAAGTGAAGCGCTTTCATTTGATACCCATATTGAGGGAGTTGTTAAAAATATGTGAACCGTCATTTTGTGGCAGCGGCCATCTTGGACCGATTTTGATCAAACATAGCTAAGAACACTCCCGAAAAAAAACAAAATCAAAATCGGTTCATCCGTTCGGGAACTACGATGCCAGGGACAGACACACACACACAGAGACGTCGAACTTTAAACTTATTTTAACACCCTTGCTTTTGCGTCGGGGATTATAATGGATCCGTCTCTCGAAATTTTGTAGATATGAAACTACGTCCGGAGCGTCGCCGTACTCAGCGGACATATAACATACTAACTTTTGCTCGCCTCCGCCTGCGTTTATGTTGGTTATCGCGGTAAAAAAGTAGCCTATGTTTCTCACTGATAAAGTAGCTTTCCAAACGTGAAAGAATTTTTAAAATCGGTGTCGCAGTTTAGGCGTGAAAGTGTAACAAATAAACAAACTCACTTTTACATTTCTAATATAAAGTATAGATATTTCACGGCTTAACTGACGGATGGCGTTGTGGTTTAAGTGCGCTGAGTGTTGTGGGTTCGATCCCCACATAGGATGTGTTGTCCTGAGTCCGATATTGCTAGTGCAGGAGTTGACTATAAAAAAAGGTTACTGAAATCTTATATCACCTAGTACTCAGTACTACAGTCATTTTGAAGTGACACTTCAATTTTATAGAAAAGTAATATTGTATTTTAAAATAATAATAAAAATTATTTGTGAATAGTGTATGATTAGTTTGGCTAATACTTAGATATATAGGAGTGATAATTGTATGCTGGTTTTCGTAATTGTTAATAAGGTATTTTACTAAGACTATTCTATATAGCTTGGATAGTAATTAATTTGAGTTCCTATATATATAAGTATCTAAATCTATAAACTAAAGTAGATATATAATTTTTCCTCACCAAAAATAAGAATAGTTACTATTTAATTTTACACTAAAATTGTAAAAAAATGCGTCTTACTTTTAACATTACGTCTTGACGAATGAAAAAAATGGCGACTAACGTATATAACCATTTATTATCAATATAAAAATGTAACGCATTAATTTGAATAAATCTTGAAAAAAGATGTCTTACGCTATTCTATTTCACTTTTTATAAAATTAGGACTCCATTATTTTTATTTATAATTTTGTTTTCTAGATTCGGACAACGAGAGCACATCATCAGAAGAAGAAAACAACCTTTATTATTCCACTTATGACAACAAATTTCGCAAAGGTGTAGGGTCCAGCCACCCTACGGAGGAGAGTGACATGCACAACTTCTGTCTCACACTTAAAGTTGGGAAGGGACTCTTGACCATCTACACGCCTGTTAGGGTGAGTACACACCGAGGTTTTACTCGTATTGTAGATACAGTATGTATATATAACAATAAGGGAAAATTAACTTTAACAATTAAAGAAATCCTTGTATTATTATAACTACTTAGCTATAGTTTTGTAACGTAATAACAGGGTAGATTCTAAGTTTCAAATAAATTATTTTGCCGGAATCATTAAATCATTAAATTATAAATAACAGCCTGAATAGTCCTTCATTATCAGTTTAATGTTTTTATATCTTCATAATAAACATTAAATATAAATGATTTAACAATAGTATGACGTCACGCTATAGTATTTCAAACAAAAAAGTAACGCGTCTATCGTTTTAACGTTTAATAAAAATATCCTGATTTGACTTTACAGTCATCTACCCCATGGATCGGGTGCCAATTTATTTGCTAATTCTATCTAATAAAATAATGATAAAAATTACATTAGTGCTATTTCTAGATATAAAACTAATACTAAACTAAAAAATACTTACCACAACCTTACCTTTAAATTTTAAAACTATATAATAAAATTTTGTTTTCCATATTGATTTTATAATAAAAATATTATATATGAAATATATATAATTAGTAGATCAATAATTATTTCCGCAATTTGCTAGCTTAATACAATGAAATTACATTAGCTTTTCTTATTTCAATTTAGAAAAAAAAAAGTGATTTATTTACCACTTTCCTATATTACAGGACAGCAATAAACGAGTGGTGCCGGGTCAGATGGGTGAGCTGGTGCTAGAAGCGCACAGCTTATCACTGTGTCAAGTCAGTGGGCTCAGTGGAATACCCAAAACAGCGCGACTTTGTTTGCGATCCAAGAAAACTATCCTGTATCATGAATGTAAGTTCGCTTCTACGAAATTTCTTGCAAAAGAAATTGTAACATAAATATATTGAACAAATTCTTTGTTAAGTACACAAAAATCCCTATACTACTTATCTGAGCGCTAGAACTCCGCCATGAAGTCTGCTAATATGAACCCACTTTTCAACATAATATATGTATTTGGCTTAGCTTGATTTGTAAACTACAAAAATATGTCATAACACTGAACTCAATGTTTCTTTGAGACGTGTAGACTTTAATCGTTGCTCCATCCGTATAAAACACACTAATGTTAGAAAGTTGAAAATTTGTATGTGTTTGTTACTTCTTCACGCTCGAATTTTGCTGAACCAATTTTGATAAAATATGGTATGGACCTGAAATCCTGGATTATCGCATCGGCTACTTTTTAACCTAAAGAAATGCGGGTGACACTGTGCAGCTAGTAAATATTAAAGTATTGTATCAATGGATAAGTATGCCATGGCTAGGGGCTGAATTTATGAAAATTTATCAATGTTTATGTCATAACTATTCTTACAAATTACATATCTAAGGGTGTCCAAACGTGTTAATCTTAAAAGCTCATAGAACGTACTCAGTCCATGAAACAGAATATTTCTACATAAACAAAATAAAAAAAATGACACTTCTATACTTGAGGGGCTCGTGGCTAAGTGGCAACCGAGTAGTTTAACACTTCTAAAAGTTAAGCTATCCTAGCCAGGTCCGTCTATCGATGGATCACCATTCTTTACACATTGAGACCCCTACGTGCGTCGGAGAGCCCGTTAAGCCATCAGTCCCGGTTGCCATACGAACATCTGTGGCAATTGTTAGGGGTAATGGGAGCCCTAAAACTTCCGACAAGTCTTTCTACAGAACTTTTAAGAAAAAAGGCTCGTAAGAAAATAAGACGCTTCAATACTTTACACACGGTTTTCATTGAAACCAGACTGCAACAGAGCATTACATAACAATAATAGCAGAGTAAATAGTTCTCTATTATAATAGAAAACTATTAACTACTAGCGGCATTACCAACACCATGCTAAGGGTGTTCACAGATCGGTGGGAGACACCGATGATGCGCCGATAAATACGGCTACATGCTATAATATAAACTGTTTTTAAAAAAAAATTGTCATAATAATTATTATTAACACTAACATTAATATGTAAGCAAACTATTACTAACATAATCTGGAAAAGAAATATTTCTGAAATAAATCGGTATTATTATTAAATGTAACAAACTTCGATTAGCCATAGACGCAAGAAGAATGCTCTCCTATCTTTTATTTATAAACTCTAGTAGGAATAGTTGTCTTAACTCATTTCTGTGATGTCTTTGCAGCTACGTTAACCATTCCTTCAGAGAAACCTCCACTGAGGCAGTATGGGTGCATTCTACCCTCACACCTCAAGAGTACTATCCACCCCTCAGGCAAAGGAGTTATCATAAAGGATCGGCTGGAGAAGAAAGACATGTTCACACTAGCTCTCAAGGTGGACCCAGACCCAGAAACGAGTAATCTGAAGGTAGACTTTTATTAACTTTTATGCATTCTGTAACACAAAATAATTAATTCGGGAGCTAAAGAAATCAGTAGGTCACAGCCAGCGATAACTTTTATCGTGGAAGAGTTATATGGTTCATATGGCATCACATAAAAGCGGTGTTCAGCAACTGTTTAGTTGCTTTTCACCGAGTGAGTGAGTGAACCAGAGATTAACCGCCGGCTACATTCTGGGGGTAGGGGCACTCAAATGGCGTAGTATGCAATATTAAAGTTAGCAATTCTTACTAAGGCTATGTTATTGTTTTCGTATTCAAATTATATTTATATAATGCTAGGTTTTATATTTTGATTGTCACTCAAGTTTGTTTAAATTGTTTGTAGACGATCCGCATAGCGTTAGGAATAGAGCAAGCGACGCTCCGCTACAGAGGCGACAAGGGCATCGCGTGGCTCACACAGCTGATGGATGTGATCGACGTCATCGACTACCCTGTGCAGGGGTACACGCCCAGCACCGTGCTCTCAGAACTGCACGTTCACGTTATTGACTGTGCCGTTGATTATAGGTACGTAATCTTTACTAAGATTTGTAACATGATCTGGAAAAAATAGTTTTTGAATCGAAAACTTCATTAGGCGCGTTGGGCATTATTGAACAACAAACAAAACAATGTATTTTTTGAGATGAGAAAACCATTGAACTCGCGACACTGTTACCGTTACCGACACCTCTGTATATAACTATCTACATATATTGGCCCCGTTTGAGAGTTGAGTTTAGGTTGAAATGTATTGATAATATAACTATATATAATAAAAACACATATTGTGTTTATTTTACGTACAACAGAGATATATGTTCATGTCGGAACTTTGCGAATGGAAAAAATAACAAAAAAAAACCTGTTATAAAAAAAAAAGTTTTCACTTCTGTCGGCACTCCTGGAGTGCCACATTTTTGTTTCAAAGAGGGTATTACAAATACTATAATCTCATAAAACTCCTTAATCTCAGGAGTGGAGTGTTACCGCGGTCTCACAGAGAAACGGTTGTTAGCGATTCCTTCGTAGGTTTTCACTGATTGAGTAAAGTTATAGAAGGACCAAGAGGGGGTGCTCTCAAAAGACTGTATAACGCTCTTGTATATTTTAACGTGCAGGTGTACATGATTAGCGGTAGTCACTTACCATCAGATATAATTAAGATCCAGAAGAACAGTGTCGCAAGTTTAATTGTTTTTTCCATCGCAAAAAATGCCCAAAGCGCCTAAAGAAGTTTTCACTTTAATTGAGGTGTCGATGACGGTAACGGTAACAGTGTCATCTCAAAAAATGAGTTTTTTTTGTTAAACCATAAAATCAATTATTTTGTTTGTTGTTCAAAAATGCCCAACCCGCCTAAAGAAGTTTTAATTTCAAAAAATGATGACTCAATTCTTTTCAATATTTTCACAGACCCCTTTACCTACCTATACGGACGGTCCTGACACTCGGCAACTTCAGTGTATCAAGCAACGTAATCGCAGCTACCAACACTTCCTGCTTACGTTTCATTGCGCAAGAGTGTACGTTGTTCCTTATGCACCTGCACGGCACTAAGCCCGACATGCCAGTACCTCAAGACAACGATAAAGCACCCGACGTAAATAAAAACTACGTCTGTGTAATCGACCTAGGACTATTTGAGCTGTCCCTGAGAATGGCAGATAAGACTAATAATACTGTAAGTAAACTTTATTCGATTCTTCATAGTCCTTAAACATATATATCATCTCATGAGAATAGCTTTACCGTGTCGCCTTTTGTCTCGCCGTCTAATCGTAATCGTAACTAAAATGGTTTCACACGTTAATTCAGTTCGGGTTAGTTGACGCTGTCTGCCTCCGCCCTTGTTTAAGGTCGGTGGCAGACAGCGGGCGGGACGAAAATACTTAATATTAATACTTAGTGTTATGCAATGGTTGTTTAGAAGATATCTCAAATCGCAATAAGATCGCTAATTGTACATAACATTATAACTTAATTATCATTGTAAACAAAACATAATTGTATACAATGAAGAGTACATCTATCTGTCTATGTATCGTGACAGCGATAATCTGTACACGAGTTGAAATGTGTTAAAATGGCGCTAAGGATAATAATTAATCCTTACAGAGGTATACATGACGCCTAAGATACAGGACTTGTCCTTGTTTAGGCGCCAAGGATACTATATGTCGTGCAAACTTCTTAACCTTCATATGTCATAAAAATTGTAAATGCTATTGAATTGTTAGTATTAGTAGGTAGAAATAAATAAATAATTATGATTTGCACCTGTCTTTCGTATTCGCTCTGAGTCTAGTCGTAGGAACCTACGCAAATTGTTAACTTAATTTTAGCACTATTTTTGTGTCCTTTTAGTAAATACTTCTTTTTTTTATACACTCATTAGTATTTGTTTATGTACCCACTTGGATTTTATGTTCATTGTGTTGCGTCTAATCTGTGTGCGTTTAATTTCTAACTGTTGGGGCAAATGTCAGGCGCCTGCTGAAAACCAGAGCAGCGTATACTGGACTGGTAACCCTTTGTAAACATTGTGCCTAATTTTTTTTTAAATAATTATTACTTATAAAATATTAATGGTTTGAATGGTTACAGCAGCAGTCAAACGAGATGCCGCAAGTAGACCTGAGCGCGTCCAACAACATGGTGACGCTGCACACGTGCTGGGACTCAGCGTCGGCGCTGTGCCGCCTGCTGACGTACGCGGCGTGCGACGGCGACTCGCAGTTGCCCTTCGACCGCTCCTCCAGGCACACGAGCATATGTTCCGACCAACCTATAGAACAACTCGTCGGTCAGTTCCATTTTTAACTTTTCTTTTGTTTAAAGCAAGAAAACAGATTTTATTTCTAAGAACACCACAGTACGTAAGTCCCAATATTAGATATTTTTTTTATCGTTTCATTCTCTTATCTATTAATACTAATTTAATAACACTGAAGTAAGTTTACCAACCCGTCTGGTCAGCGTGGTATAGTAGACCAAAACACCTCTCTAAGGAGAGGCCAATGTCCAGCTAGTGAACTACTAAAGGCTGTTGATGATGATGATGGCTGTTTGTTTTTTGTTATTTTATTTTACGATAGCGCTATTATACAACAAGTTTATATGCTGTTTAAAATCGAGCCGCGACCCCTAGAAGCAGAACAGTGACTGTAAACGTGTCTTTTTTTAGTTAGAATCATTTTACTGAAAACACTATTTTATTAATGCTTATATATTTACGTGTAACAATATTTTGATTTATTCTGTCAGGGCAGACATCAAGACGTCGTTGGGTACCGAAGGATCTCGATGGATAATAGTGATTTTGTTTACAGGTCTAGATGATAAGCCTGTAGAAGAAATAAGAGAACTTTCACCGAGTGAAATACAGCAGGTCAACGATCTTATGGCTGAGGCAATGAAGGAAAACACGAGTACTTCAAGTGAGTAGCAATAACACTCTTATTAGGTGAAATGTGTCCTATATTGTGATTATAAAGTATCAGTACGAGTAACGCCGGGTTTTGGATAAACCACTGTTAAGTCTAATCAAAATAAGTGACGATATGTATTCACAAATCGACGTGACGTGACGTCACACCTTGTTGTTAAATCATTCGCTTTTCGCGTTAATTTTACGAATAGGAAAATAAAATGATAGAATAAAACTATTAAGTAGTAATAAGGGTTCCATTCCCGCGATGATGACTATTGTAAATGTATGTGTTTAATGTAATAGCTATTTAAAAATATGGATAGAAATATAGTTTTACGTACAAACATTTTTAGTAACTCTTGCTCCAAACTATGCTTAGTTTGAATCTAGATGGCGTTATACCCAATATGTCCTAAAATATTACTTTCTCTGTTCCAGCGGAGGAAGATGACCTGAATAGTTCGACAGAAAAGGAGGGTGTTGAAATATTCTTCTTTCCTGACGAATCCAACATGAGTCGACAGAGACTTCCATCTGACATCTTCGAAGAATCAGAGTCGAAGACGTCGGAGACTGTTGAAATACCTCCTGTTATTGCTGACGAATCGGCAGAAACCAAGCCATTCGTGACTGCGCAGGTTGTAATGGACTTGGGTGATCCGACTTCCCCACCTAAGTCGACACCAAGAAAAAAAAGGAGATCGGTACGTTTGTCTGCTCGTCTTAAAGTATAAGAACAGCTTTATAATACTATTTACTTTATATATATATCCATACCATACATTCCTTAGACGCTGGTGCCTTCGTTTTACCCGCGGCTTCCTTCACGTTGATGTGAATTTTGTCAATTCAATTGTCAATTTCAATCATAAAAAGTAGCCTTATTCATGACTATAATCAATCTCTGTGCTAAATTTTGTCCTGTAACCTGCTCTGTTGTATGACAACGTTAACAACAACAATGATGTTTTGCGTGGCGTGACGTAACACTTTCTGATTGACGTTCGCTGTCACGTAACTTAATGCCTATTTTGTTCGTTTTTTTTAAATATTAATAAGCTTTAACTTTTATGAGAAATAGACTGGTTTTTTCTTATGTATGTCTCTTCATTTATAATTTTAAGCTATAAACCAAGCAATTTGTTAGTAGTGGACACAAGCCCATTCTACGAATGGCTTATCGCACACCGCGGTGCCGATATTTTGTGGACAGACGAGGCCTTGTTTACTTGTGTGGGTTTGTACAACCAACATAACGAACTTTAGTGGTCAAATATATATATAAATTATAATAACCATCGCGTCATACGTCCACGTCACGATGGAAAGGTCATTGACACTTGCGCGCCTGCCGAGTGCAGTGTGTCTACAAATTGCGAGTTCTTGAGATAACTTTGTGATGCTAATTACTCAATATTTTTGTACCATGTGCAACTAAACTAAAATGCGGGTTTCTCATAAATTTTACTAAAGATTCTTCTGTGTTAATTTGGACGGAAAATTCAGTCTTCCTGAATATTATATAATTATACATTCATTGTCACAAACTTTCTTGTTTATAATATAATATTAAATTAACGAAGAAATCTATAAAAATGGTCCCTAAATAAATTAATTAAACAAAAAATTTGACGACCACGGTCCTATTAATATCAAACTAGGCAGAGCATATTCTATGCTAACCAGACTGCTGATTGATAAACGTACTTTTATTATTCAATACACACATTTTATAGTTAAATTAGCTGACCCGGCAAACGTTGTTTTGCCATATACATTATTTCTAGGAAATATGTAAAAAAAAATAGGGGTAGGTCACCCTTGTCATTTTGGGATATGAAAAATAGATGTTGACCGATTCTCAGACCTACCCGATGTGCACACAAAAATTCATAAAAATCGGTCCAGCCGTTTCGGAGGAGTAGGGTAACTAACATTGTAACACGAGAATTTTATATAGGTATAAGATAAATCATACCATGAAACAGAATAAATCATTTCATTTCATCACAAAATTATTACTCGTAAATGGGAATCGAACCCACAGTTGCCGGCATTTCAGCCAATACCCCACTATACCAAAGAGCCCATTATAATCAATACTAATTACTCTGTAAAATTGGACGTACAGACAAAATCAAGCAGTGACGGCAACAACACGGACGACGAATTTTGCTTCGTTGACGCTGATACGGATACGGAAGACAAGGACAACGATATTGAAGAACCTGTCGTCAAGTGGATAGAGCTGGAGCCCGCGCCCATGCTTGATAATCACTTCACCATACCGGCGGCAAGAGCAGACGTACTCCAAGCACCAAAGAGTTTTCCTGCGCCGATGTTAAGGTATTTATAGGATCTGAAACAAGTTATTGATAATTCTAGTGAACATGACATAAGGTCCATTTTAACATGCCGTGTGCCCGTTCGTCACCGTATATAAATAAATACGTGTGATATTTGAGATTATTGGTATTGGTTGTGGGCTTCGGTTTCCGCATTTAGACTCAAGAATAGTAATTTATGCGTCGGGGATTGGTTAGCTTGGGGAGCCAACCAAGCTCCTTCTAGGAGCATTTGAGATCCTCATTTCTTCGCATTGAACACAATTGTTAAATTCCCTTCATGTACAGGCAAATCATCGCACAAACAAATCATGAGCTTAACTGCACCATAGACAACCATTTTTTTTTCACGGATACGTAATGAAATATGGATGTTTTTAATTCTAATATTTTTTCAGGAGCGTTCGCCCTCATAGGCACGCCAGCGCCATTTTACCTAATTCTAACTTATTATCTACTATACATATATTATAATAACTAGATCACCTTTAAAAATTCTATTAAACATGACAGGTATAAGTTGTGTGAAATGAGTGTGACATGGAACATGTACGGCGGCAATGACTTCCGACCGGCGAGTGAGCCGACTCCTGCTAAGAAGACTGTCACTATTGAGGGTGATGGTAAAAAACAAGGCTCTCCTACTACGCCCAAGTAAGTGTTCATAGACAAATTTATCTAGATCAGGATGTACAGATTAGTATGGGGAATTATAATATTATATGAGTTAGGGGCTAAAAAAAGATTTGATTGAGTTGAAATTGTCAATTTTGTCTTATACAAGATTGACACCGTCTATAATAAGGTCGTTGAAGCTTTTTGGCTGAAATAATAAAAAGAAATTAAATATGCAATAATTAAAAGTTGCGCTAAAGTTCATGGGTTCGCTCCCCACATGAGACATCACTTTGTGTGATCCACAAATTGTGGTTTTGAGTATGGGTGTGTTTGTGTCCGTTTCATGTATGTTTGTAAAGCCCCCCCGCGACACAGGATATGTTCCTAGTGCAGGAGGCCTTTAAAAAAACAGGTAATAAATCTAATGATTAAATAAAATAAAATATTTCGAGAACTTACGAAATGTACACTTTCGCGTGTTTTAAGTTTTTTTATATCCAGACTCATACACAGTATTTACATCATCATCATCAGCCTATCGCAGTCCACTGCTGGACATAGGCCTCTCTCATTGCACGCAAAAAAAAATACGTATAGTACACGTTTCCGCTAGCCTTGATATCTTTTTTAAACCAAAGAATGAGTTAATATAATACAATAATAAAACATGTCTGCTCTTGACAATTATATTATAAATAATTAGCTGCACCCAGCCACGCCTCGCTGTGCCACATCGATAAGTAACTAGGAACAAAACTGATATGAAAAATATATAAAAACAATTTGTCGTATATTGTGTCAAAATTAGAGAGCTCAATCGGTGCAGAACTTTTTCAGTTCTTGAAGCGTGTGTTTATATATATATATATATAGTGTTTAAAATGCAGAAATAGGTATGTGCGATAGTTGATATAATTGAGCGGTCGACAGACGCAACAAGGATTACGAGCCGTACGAGAGCGCGCGCGCGGGCGCGTCGGCGTACCGCGCGGGCGGCGTGCGCTGGGCGCCCGGCAGCGAGCGCGTGCGCCCCGGCCGCCCGCGCCCGCCCCGCGACCTGCGCACGCGCGGCGGGGCCCAGCGCGACCACGACACCAAGGTGCAGCTGTGCCTCACTAAGGTACGGAAACAGACTACAAACGAAACCCCACATATATAAATATAAATACCTCTTTTAAACAATATAATGGGATCAATATTATAAAATATAAACAGAATAAATATAATACAGTCCAGATACAATATTACACAAAATTAAATAAATTAAGCACTCCTTGGTGGACGGCAATGGGCTGATTTCAAACTTCCAAAGTAAATTATCTTTTTTTATCCTATATTTTGCATAGCATATTTTGAAAGTTATCAAAAAGTCTATTACTATAATATAGTATTTACATGAAATTTATTCAACAGGTGAAGTTCATTCACGAGGTGTACCCATCGGGAGACAAGCACGCCTCCCGTCAGACGCTGGCTATCACCAACATAGAGGTGATAGACCAGTTGGTTTGCAGCGACATCAACAAGCTCCTGAGTGAGTACAAGCTTAAGGATGAGCCGGAGAGGAAAAACACACATATGGTGAGCACAATAACGATTTGATGAATTCCAAACTAAAAAACAACTTATTCCAAGGTCCCTGATGTGTAATTTAACGATTTCCGTAACATCCGTAATTTGTTGAAAACGAATTTTAAAAGATATTTAGATATTTTATAAACTGAAACTAACATTTCCGATCTCTTTTTGCCTAAGGTCTCAATAATATATTAGTTTTTTTCTCGTTTAGAGTAAAACACTATTCGATTGTGTTGTTGTTTATGTCAGTTACCTCAAAACTTCGTCATTTGTATACTGATTTAGAAAATTATATTTTTTACGTCCTGTCTGGAGCCATTAAAAAATAACACATCTAAGAAGTGTTGAAGTCGGTGTTTTTTAAGTTAATTATTAATATGCTCACACAATAATGGTATTCTTATTAACTCCTCAAGCTAAGCTTATTTATCATATCTTGACGACTGCAAGCACTATGATCTGCTGCCTCTATCTAGTAGGCGTGTGTTACTAGACATGAGCTTTTTGTTCGCTATCATTCGAGGTGAAATTGATAGTATCGAACTTCTCTCTAAAATTAGCTTGAATGCACCCGGGGCTCGTACTAGACATACGCGCCTGTTCAGTATTCCTCTGCACCGCACCAATAATGCTAAGACTGTTCTCACTCGTTTGCCTAGCTGTTACAATATTAATTTTGACGAGATTGACATCTTCCACCTCTCAAAAAGTGCCTTTAAAAGACAAATAACTAAAAAGTTGCAATCATACTTGTGAATCCAAATTAAGATTGTTTTTGTAAGTTGCTTTCTTTTGGAATACTTCTCACTCTGCACAATATACCTAATATAAATTAAATTATTGATAGTATATAATACGTACTATTGCCTATGTTTAAGTGGTGCACGCAACTTTCTTTTACTTGTCGCGAAACTTTATTTTTGGCTAAGAGTCTAAAAAATGTTTAACTTCACCCATGATATATGTAACATAGCTGTTAAGTTTCCATAAATAAATAAATAAATAAATGTGTGTTGGAGTGGGATGACTGACGCATTTGCGGGCAGGTGCTTAGAGGGATCCAAATGTCTTAATAAAAGTTGTTTCCGGATCCCTTATATTAAAGGAACAATATGAACTAGCAAAATACTTGATCACTTGGTTCGATGCCTTAATAATAAATTATGTAAACTAATTTCGTTCTTTTCTTTCAGTTAATCGTTAAAGCAGTTCACTTACGACCAGACCCGACACTTTCGGCTCAAGAGTGCTGTTTGAAAGTGTCAATACTGCCGCTGTGGTTCAATCTGGACCAGGACACCCTCGCCTTCCTCGTCGGATACTTTTCCAAACTTGGGTCCGATGAGTCTTATGGTACGTCAATTAAACAAAACAAAAGCATATGACTTTTTAATGTAAAGCCCGGACTGAACAAAGGAAAAAACATTCCTCCCATTACCCTTTTTTTTTTTTTAACGTGTGGAAATCCCCTCGGACCGTCACCCCACCGGGGTTTGCGGCGGGGTGGTGTGTCGGACTCGGACCGACTAAAACCACACGGTGTGCCACTCTGCGCCTGTAACAGGAGGGATCCGGGAACAGCTGTTATTAAGACATCCGGACCCCTCCTAGCGCCAGCCCGCTCCTGGTGCGGGCTCCGTCTCAAAATTTTCCTCTCTTTAGGCGACGTCCGGCACACGCGGACGCCGCCCCCTCGCGGCTGGCCAAACTTCCTCCCACTACCCACCCTAACCCACTACTTGCGAAACGATCGCTACGAAAATTCTTTACATCCAAACTAAATCGAACATTTCTTTTGACAGACGATGATTCAAAAAGTTTAGGAGGCTTGTCGAGCGATTCCAGCGGGTCACGCCAAACCACACCCACACACCGACCTCCAGTAATGAGCATTGCGACCCACCTCAAGGACCCGCCGCCCACACCCACGTCACTGGGCGATGTTGACTCACTCAATGAAAATGGTAAGAGAAACAATCATTAAAAAAGCCTCAAGTCTACAGATCTGTTATGTTATCGAAGGCTTTATACATTAAAAACTCTCAGATTCTGATGAAATCTGAAAAAAAAATACAAATATTTAAGTACGTTCAAGGTAGTGTTTAAAATAGGAATCGAACTTACAGCAATTGAAGCTTTTGGCTCTGAAATCACTACACCATACGTACAGTTTAAATAAGAATAAAAAATAACTGAACAAAATGTATTGTCACTAAATGCATAAATATTAGTCCCTAATCCATATAAGAAAATATACATTGAATAAAAACATATATTTTATCTTCTGTACTATGGGGATCAAGTGACTGACTATCAGAGATAGTTGTGGGATCTTAGCGGTATCAAATTATTTTCTTTTCCAATTTGAACTTAACGACACATTCATACTAAGTTCAAATTTCAGTTCCCCGCAATGATGAACCATTAATGGAGACATACGAAGCCGAGCGACTGGTATCGGAAAACTTGATACAGCTAGAAGAAGACTTTAACAAGCTGGGAACTCAGGAGAAACCGGCACCAAAGCAACCTGTTGACACTGAACACGTGGACGACTCACCAATTTATTTCAGGTATAGTTTTACCACGGCCTGGGCTTTACTGTGACGCTGATAGCAGACCTCACGAGTTAAAGCTATGAAGCTGTATATTCGAGAGGTTCACAATTATAGATAGATAGATAATACTTTCTTTGCATACCAGCGTTTTACAGACATTATAAAGTAATTAAACGAACAACAGATGTAAGGTACAAAGAGCGACCTTATCGCTTAGAGCAATTTCTTCCAGGCAACCTTTGGATGGACTGGATTCATTTTGAACTGGTGATAGGTATACAGAAATTTATAGATAGATAGATAATACATCACATAGTTACATATTATCATTACATCATAGTTTTGAAGGTGGTTACGGATTGCGCACAACTGACAGAAACCGACAACTATTATAGTGGGAAAAGGAATATAGGAACCGCCAAGGTATTCCATAAACGTACAGCTTCTACGGAAAATGATTTTGTGTAGAAATTGGTAGAATGCCTTGGTATTTCCAATCTCAGGTTTTCAGGCAGGTTTTGTGTGCAGGCAGTTAGACGGTGGAACAACTTACCCGAGGCAATCCGAATACCTAAATCGTTGCAATTATTCAAAAAACAAGTCACAAATTACTACATGACATTGTAAGGGTTTAAGGGATATTGATTGTTGTTAATGTTGTTGGTACATCACAAGTTAGAAAAGATTTGTATTAACGTTTGTAACCTTTGTTTGTATTTATTATTTATATGTGTTAATAGTATGTAAATTGTAAACGTATTTAGTATGTTTATTTTTATATATATTAATTTTCTGAAGTATTATAAAGTACACCATAGACTAGCCTTAATCAGATTTGACAATATCTGTGTAAATGTTGTCTGTAAGAGATCGCCTACTGTAATACGAAATGTAGATGTCCATCCATGTCTGTACAATATATACTGTAGCGGTGTACAATAAAAAAATATATAAAATATATTTTTTAAATGTATCAAAAATGTCCTTGCTTTAAATATTTAAAGAAACGAGGATAGAATATTTTTTGTCCATAAAATTTATTAATATAATTTATTGTCTTTTGCCGGCTCCGCCTGCGTGTATGTCGGTTATCGCGGTAAAAGTAGACTATGTTACTCGTCAATAATGTAGCTTTCCATTGGTTAAAGAATTTTTTAAATCGTTTTAGTGGGTTAGGAATGAAAGCGTAACAAACAAACCAACTCACATTCACTGAAAATTGATTTTATAATTTAATCAATATTTGTTTGGTATCTGTTCTAAAGTTCTATTCGTTACTTTTTTTCAGGCGCATAGTTTTCTCTCCTGACGTTCCTATACGGTTGGATTACGTGGGTAAACGCGTGGACCTATCAGCTGGCCCTATAGCTGGATTACTCATGGGACTTGGTCAACTAAATTGTTCTGAATTGACGCTCAAGAGGCTCGACTATAAGTACGTATTTTAACTAACTTATTTGAAATAATTGCTCACAGGAGTGTTAAATTTCTTAAAACTGTTTTAAAATTTGTAATTTCTGGGCTTAAATCTGAATATTTCACTGTTTTTTTATTAATACTGTGTCCATTACAAAAAAAAATCTGTGGAATACCATAGAAATCAAACAATTAGCAAAAGCGATCCAAAAGCTTTGACACTTAAGAGCGTTAATATGAGTTTGAGCATTATTCTGTGAGTGTTATGGCTTAATTTGTAAAAGCAATTTTTTTTACAATTTACACTATAAATCATTGTTCTTTCACGCATGCCCATATAAAAAGCAGCGATGAATCACAGAGAGTGAGATTTAAAACCTAATAAAATACTGTAAAACTTTTCTGCTCTATCTATCAGCTTATTAATTAGATTTTTTCTCTTCCCAGATTAGGTTTACTTGGCTTGGAGAAGGTAATACAATGGGCTCTCCACGAATGGCTGTCCGACATCAAACGGCATCAACTGCCGGGTCTGTTAAGCGGCATTGGGCCCATGCACTCCTTGTTGCAGATAAGTAAGGATAATCTGTTCTCACGTACTTCTTAAGTTATACAATGACTGCCACCGTTTCTACCTCTATGACGGCATTAAGGGTATATAAACTATTGAAAAGAAAGAATGATCGTGTCTATATCATCGTATGGTGGGATACGAAGATGTTCTTCAAGAATAGAATTTTTTATGGAAGCTATAAACGAAAATTAAACTTGCTGCGTAATGTACTCTGTCAGAAAACAAAACCATTCATTCAGATTCTCTTTGAACTTATTTTTGGTTTTGGTTTTCTTTTACTTTGTAACAGGCAAATAACTATGTATTCTTACACGCTTTATATCAGCTATTTGTATCTAGCTATTTGTGTTACTGATCTTTGCGATCAACTTAAAAATTTACTCAAAGGGCCGAAAATTATGAAATGAATTCACATAAAAACCGACCTAAGATTTTTTTTTCATTTTAAAAAAGCGTACTTGAGATCAAATGTTATAAACAATTCATTTGTTTATAACAGCAGTAGTTAATATAAAAATAAAGCAAAAACAACACACGTTCTTTATAGTCAAAAATTGATTTCAAAAAGTTTAGGCAGGTTGATATTAAAGTGGGTTTCTTTATTTTGTTGTACTAAAAATGTATTAAATTCTTCGATATCTTATAAGTAGTAAAGGGTTCTTTCACACATACTGGCACAAAAATAGATCAACTATATATTACTAATACTATAGAATAGAGAGAGAACTATATTCAAAATTAACCACGCTAATGAAAATTGTAAATAAAACGTAACGTCTTGCTGTCTCGCTCACACATCCTTCATATGTATTAAATGCTGACAGGTGACAACCCTAATAAAATTATTTTATCTTCAAATGTTTAATAATTTATTGATTACACGCCGTGACATAATACTGTATCATTTCTCTTTTTAGTTACTGGCATTCGCGATCTGGTGTGGTTACCGGTGGAGCAGTGGCGTCGTGATGGCAGACTGGTTCACGGCCTTCGTAGAGGCGCCGCGTCCTTCACCGCCAGAACGGCTGTGGCTGCACTCGATATCACCACCAGATTATTACAGCTTATACAGGTGTGTATACACTTACATTACATTTATATTTCATAATTATAAAAATATAAAAAATAAAGTATTACACACACACAAGCATGTTCACACTTGCACTCCTAAATGAAAATCGCACACTCATCATATGCTAACTTTTGCTAACTGTAACATCAGTTTTGTATATTTTGGACTTTTAGGAACGTGTTCTACTTATTGCACCGACACGTGTCTTATGGCATGTCTTTTAACAAATCCAATGTTATGCTAGTCTGTCCTAATATTTTTTTATCTATTTACTTTCAGAACGTTGGAGTTTATTTGTTAACAAAAATTAATACGTGAACAGCTCAAAGTATCACGTAGCCGATCGTATTGGCGCGTTGTTTTAAATGTTTTTTCTATAATTATATAAATTGAATAAGTCTTATGGGTAAAAAATAAGCATTTGTAATTTAAAAACACTGCCAAAAATTGATGAGAATTCTCTTCTCATACCGTAGTTTAAATAAATATTTGTTTATTGACCTATTGAACTAAGAACTACTAGAAGGGTTGGGAACAAATGAAACCACAACTGTGTTCTGATCTAGGAGCTGTAATTCTCGCTTACAAAACTTTAACATCTGTTTATATGCATATCGCGGGTAACATACCATAGCGCGATGTAGCCGTTTAATACAACGCCATCTATCGGACACAATCTTCAACTTATGATCTACATAATTATAATACTATGTTACTTTGATTTTAAACATACCGCCCACCAAGGACACTTAGTGACGAAGGGTTCTTCTTAATTACAATGGTATGGCAAACAATATTAAGTTAACAGTAAGAGTAACAATTTGATCTTAAATTAAGGTAAAAAATAACAAAAAGAAAACATTAATCTAACACATTCATTACAAAGTAGTTAAAAGGGTTTTATAAATAATAAAGTAGGTAAAACGTAAAAAAAAAAAACGTAAACCATAAACCCGACAAAAATAACAATAACAAGTGTAAAATTTATTAAAATTCTGTTTAATCTGCGGTCGGTAAAATACACAATTTATTAGTAGGTCTTTTCACCGTCGAGGACTTGGTACGTAAGGTGACTACTCGCGTTAAATTATCGTGACCCGTATGTTTTTCTAACACGCGGCCTAATAACCAACGACTTGGAGGTAAATCGTCATCTTTGATTAAAACCACGTCGCCTATATTTGGTTCGGGCACTTTAGAAGACCATTTATATCTATTCATGAGATTGGCTAGATACTCATGAGACCATCGCTTCCAAAATGATTGAAGCATTCTTTGTAGCAACTGCCATCTTGTCAGTGAACTTATAGATGAACCCTCGTACTTGGCATCAGGAACAGTTACAATCGGTTCCCCGATCAAAAAATGACCCGGCGTCAAAGGCATTGGCTCACTAGGATCCTCCGAGTTAATAACGCTGATTGGACGCGAGTTCAAGCAAGCCTCCACCTGATAAAGAAAGGTACTAAGCTCCTCAAATGTCAGCGTAGAGTCACCAATGACGCGTCTGAGATGGAACTTAGTCGACTTCACTCCTGCTTCCCACAAACCACCGAAATTTGGTGCATGAGGGGGAATGAAATGCCATTCTGTTCCATTTGCCTCTAAATGTTCTGCTATAGAGGGTTGAACTTTGGCTAACTCTTGGGAGTTCTTTAGCAGCACCTACAAATGTAGTGCCATTATCACTCCATAGCTTGGCACAGTGACCTCGTCGTGACACAAATCTCCTGAACGCAGCTATAAATGCTTGGGATGTCATGTCACTCGCTACTTCCAAGTGCATTGCTCGAGTGGCCATACATATGAATACGCAAATGTATCCCTTATAGGAACGATGCCCACGGCCTTTAGTTGTTCTAATACTGATGGGCCCAGCATAGTCCACACCACTATGCAGAAATGGTCGAGCAGGGGTACAACGAATAGTTGGCAGGGAACCCATCATTTGGTTTTTTATGGTTGCTCGTTGTTTGGTGCAAGTTACGCATTGCCTAACGCATTTCTTGACCAGATTTCTCACTCCGATGATCCAATAAGCTGACCTTAAAAAATTCATCATTAGTTGAGGACCCCCGTGTAGTGTTTTATGATGAGCATCCAAAATCAGAAGGTGTGTGAAATGTGTTGAACTTGGTAACAATATTGGATGTTTCAGCTGTTCATCTAAAGGTGCCCTATCAAGCCTACCTTGAACTCTCATTATACCGATTTGATCAAGATAAGGACATAATGATTTCAGTCTGCTTGATTTTAACTTTAAATGTCCCTTCTCCTCTAATTGTGTTCGTTCAATTGTAAATATTTGTTTTTGTGTTCTTATTATACAACAATCTAAAGCATCTTGAATTTCTTGATTTTGTAAATATGTTTTCTTGTTAGCTGTTCCTTTTAAAAATCTTCGACAATACGCTATTACCCTTAACAATCTTTTTAAAGAGGAAAATCGTTCAAAAAAAGTCGGCATCATCTGGTACGGTAGCGAAATGAGTTTTGACTGACTGTTCTAAATTTGTGTGAGCTTCCATTGGTCTTTTGTATGTAATAATGGTGTCTCTTAAAAATTGAGGTCCAGAAAACCACAATGTATTGTGCACCAACAAACTTGGGGACACTCCTCTAGAGGCGCAATCTGCTGGGTTTTCTTTAGTCGAAACATGAAACCATTGCGACGCCTCCATCGAGGTTAAAATTTCCGATGTGCGATTACCCACGAACGTCTTCCATCTACTGGGATGACTACTTAACCATGCAAGTACAATGGTAGAATCAGTCCATGCCTTAATCTTGTCTTTCGATATTTTCAAAATATCGGCCACTTCTATCAAAAGTTTTGATAACAAAACTGCTCCACACAGCTCCAACCGAGGAATGCTCACTTGCTTTATTGGAGCTACTCTAGACTTTGCGGCCACTAATGCTACAGTGATACTACCTTTAACATCAGTTATTCGCAAGTAAACAACGGCAGCATAGGCGTTCTTTGAAGCGTCACAAAAACCATGAATCTCAATATCGTCACCAGACTTCACCCCAAACCAGCGAGGAATCTGAACATGAGCAATAAGCGATAGTTCTTCACGGTAAGTTGCCCATTCCTTTTGTAAATCCACTGAAATGCTTTCATCCCAGCCAACACCCGCAAGCCATAATTTTTGGATGAATATTTTTGCTATCACAATACTGGGAGCTAACCAGCCCAGCGGGTCAAACAAGCGTGCTATATCTGATATTATAGTTCTTTTGGTTATATATGTGGTATTCAGCGGTGGAAGATTCAGCGTGTACTGGAAGAAATCCTTGTGACGATTCCAGGTAAGTCCTAGAATTTTAGTTGTGCTGTCTGTCTTCATTTCTATAGCTTTTTCATAATTATTTTCTATATTCGGTGTCCTATTTGCATCCATAGCCTTTCCATCCTCCTTGATTTCATCTGTGTCCTTTTGTTTAATTGAATTAATTTTTTCTAATAATTCTTGACTACTGCTGTTCCACTTTTGTAGTAGAAAACCTCCTTTTCTCAATAACTCCGTAATTTGATTAACTATATCAACACCCTCCTTAACATCAGACCACCCCGTCATCAAGTCATCCATATAGAAGTTATTGAGGACTCTATCCGCAACAAGTGGATACTGCGTGCCTTCATCATAGGTTATTTGGTGCAAAGTCCTTACAGCTTGATATGGGGCCGACGCTGTACCAAAGGTAACGGTAACTAGTTCATATTCCCTTATCTCATTTGTAGGTTCATCGCGCCAAAGTATCCGTTGGTACATGACGTCTTCCTCGTGAATCTGTATCTGACGGTACATTTTAATGACGTCAGCCACCAGTCCTATCGGATGTACTCTCCACTTTGTAACGATGTGTCTCAAGTCAGCCTGTAAGGTAGGTCCAACCATTAGGGTATCATTCAAAGAAACTCCGTTTTTATTTTTTTCCGATGCATTAAACACAACTCTTACCTTTGAAGTGGACTTATCTTCCCTGATGACAGCATGATGTGGTAGGTAAACGGCTATTTCTTTTTTATCATCCTTTTCATTCACAGGTTTCATGTGGCCTAAATGTAAGTATTCATGAATAACGTCGGTATACATTTCTTTCAAATCTTTGTTCTTCTCTAGCCTTCTTTCTAATGCCTTGAGCCTTGTTTCAGCGATATCACGCGAGCTGCCCGCCTTACATGGAGGATCTTCGTCTCTGAAAGGTAAGCGCACGATATACCTTCCGTCTTCTCTTCTTTTAGTCGTAGCCTTATAAAGCTCTTCACAGCGTAGTTCTTCTGGTGTGAGTATCTTATTTTTTGGTAGTAGCTCTTCGATCTCCCAAAATCTTTTAAGGAGGTCGTCTTCCTTAACTTGTGCTACATGTGTGAACATAATACTACCACGGCTGATGTTTGAACTTGCATCTCCCTTGGTCACTGCACCTGATAGAATCCATCCTAATGTGGTGTTCTGAGCGATCATCGCACAAGATGGGCTTCTTCTCATACCTTCCTTTAAGATGCAACTGTAAGCTTCTGCACCCAGTAAAATGTCGATTCTATTGGGTTGATCGAATTGAGGATCAGCTAAATCTAGGGCTGCCACATTCACCCAATCGAACGCATTTTTATCAGTGCGCTGTTGAGGTAAGTGCGAAGTTATTTTGTTTAAGACATAGGCATCTAACTCCAATGTAAATGTTTGATCTACACGTGATTGAATTTTTAGGTGTACCATGTACCTTGCAATATTTGAACTATTGCCTAAGCCAGACACAACTCCTTGAATTGGGATCCTGGGCAGTCTTAGGTACTGCACTGTAGCCTCTGTAATTAAGTATGCTTGCGATCCCTGGTCAAGTAAAGCTCTTACTACGTGATACTTACCTGTTTTAGACTCTGCTTTTACTAGCGCAGTGGCTAGTAAAACCTGTCGAGATAAACTAATATTTTTGGCAAGGCAAGATATGATATGTGCAGAAGAAGTCCTATTACCTGAAGTATTTGCTGCTGAAGCGCCATCATCTCCGACTACGACATCATTCAAATGTAATAAAGAATGGTGACGTTTTTTGCATAGTTTGCAAGCGGTTTGTTTTTTACAGTTGGCTACCGTATGATTGCTACCCAAGCAATTAAAACAAATTTTATGGTTTGCTACAAAGTCTCGCCTGCTATTTATAGACTGCTTGGCGAACTTCTTACAAAAGCATAATTTATGATCCTCGGAACAGTATTCGCACTGGATACTGCTTGAACTCACGGCCAACAAAGATTTATGACCATGCGAATTACTGCCCCGATGAGCCATTGCCCTTTTTGGTTCTATACACTCTAAAGCCCGGAAACGATTTTCAATGAAAGTAGAAAATTGTGCATACGTAGGCAATTCATCGGAGTCCTGATTGCTAACGTGCAATTCCCACTGCTTACGCGTTTCGGTATCTAGTTTAAAAGTTACAATATGTATAATGATAATGTCCCAGGTGGTGACATTAATGTCTAAGTTTCTTAATGCACCAAGACAATCATTTGTGGTATCGAGCAGTTCCTTCAATGAAGTCGCTGACTCGACATATATACGGTTTTGTCCAAAAAGTCGTTTCATAATAGACCTGACTAAATATTTTTTATTACTATAACGTTTTTCTAATTTTGACCAACACTGACAATAGTTTGCTTCGGATATCGGAATGTGCCTAACTAACTGTTCGGCTTCTCCATTGAGATGTGTTTTTAAATAGTGCATCCTTTGCACATTATCTAAACTATTGTCATTATGGACTAGGGACAGAAACAAGTCACGGAACGTAGTCCATTCTCCGTATCTGCCACTAAAACACGGTATAGCAATTTTTGGTAACTTAACATAACTAGTTTGTGTCTTTGATTTACTACTACATTCTTCGGCTTTGACTGACTCTTTTTCCCTACGATGTTTATTTAACAAAGACTTCATTGAACAACTGTAATTAACATATGTATCTTCAGTATCATCATACATCTCCTGTAACTGTGGAATATCTGCCCTCTTATAATTAGCATGTATGTTTGTATGACAATCTTTAAATACACTCCAATTCTTTTCTAATAAGTCTTGTTTTACTTCAATATATTCTACAGTTAATCTGTCTTTTGGACTTTTTTTAAAGTTAGTAAAACTTCTTTGGATTACACTTTGACTTTCCCGTAAAACATTAAGTTGACCTTCCATTTTTGCCACAAGTACTACGTAAATAAATTAAACAAGAAATATTTTTCACCTCTAAAATTCAACTCAAATTTTCTAAGTGTAAAAATTATGCAAAAATTTTACAAGTGTTTTTAGAACCGTTTACTGTCGGTGGAATTTGGACATAGCCTCCTCGTTCCCCCGTTTTCTATAAAATATACTAAGTCCTTAACTAACATGCAACTTAAAACCAAATAAAGTATTTTTTTCTTCACAGACAATAGAATTCTAAGTCCAAATTTTCTTGATATTATAAGTTAAAATCTTCTTTAAAATAAAGTTCATAATCGCTGTGTATAAATGTGGTATTGTAAATATTTGCACTTGATAATATAGAATAAATAATTGTACTCACGATTGCACTTCACTATTTAAAGTATAGGAACACAACAGTCGGCTTACTCCAAACACCTCCTCTCTGAGATGTCAAACGGCTGCTCCTGTTGGTGGTGTCCTCTGTTGACAGCTTTGCGATGCGATGACTAGGCGTCCACCGGTGTCGCTGCTGCCTCGTACTGTTGCCGCAGCGATCCACTGCGAGTACGGGTGGGACGGTCGAACTCGACCGTTGCACTAAAAAGGATGGTTAAGCACCACCCTAGCTTTCGACTCGAAAGGACCAATGTTTATTGACCTATTGAACTAAGAACTACTATAGTCTGTTTTTTAATCTCGTAGACTAAACTGACATTACAAGTGTTGTCAGTTTATTGCAATTCTTAAATAGTGATGTGGCACAACCGAAACTTAGCGTTAATAAAATCAAGTATCGTTTTTTTACAATAAGTTATCCTGAAATAATGTGTTTATCCTGAAATAATGTGTAGGTACTTATTTAAAACGTAATAATACAACATTACAAAGTAAAACATATATTTTTAATTACATAACTTAATTACAGGTATTCGCGTTAATCTGATTCAGATAATGACTCCATGTCTGAGGAATATTCTGAATCATCAGAATCGCCACCTACTTCTATGATAAACCTATCAGTAATGTCGTCGGTTATATGGCCCAGATGACACATTTGATCTTCAATTTTAATTACATGGACTACACAGTCTTTCCACCGCTGCGGGGTCACTTGACGAAGCCCTTCTTCAAAAAGGCTTCGTACTTCATTCATTTTGAATGTTTTATTATTTTTAGTGACATGCCCCTTTACTTGAGCCCAGACCAACTCAATCGTTCGAATTACGTATTCGTACAATTGTTCGTATGGTGTCAAGTTCCATAATTGCCGTATTTTTTAAGTTCTGCCGCTTCGTAAGAGAAAAGGGTTAAGATTGCCGTTTTAACGCGTACGGGACCAACACTGGTGGCGTCTATAATTCGTTTTTTTGTTTTATTTAAAGGCATCGAAACATGGTCGGATTATGCATAGCGTTTCGTGGTCAGATTTCCCTGGTAGTTTGTAGCACGTCGTGCAGCCGTGTGTACGTACGTGAATTTTAAATATAAAACTTTGAATGAAAATTAAATTCGTCTATTATAAATAAAAAGTTACGATTCAACAAACCGGTATCGTAGGTCCAACACTGCACAAAAGTGCTGGCAGCATTATTTGTAAATTTGACATTTGCATGTGTCAATTTAGTCTACGAGATTAAAAAACAGGCTATAGAAGGGTTGGGAACAAATGAAACCACAACTGTGTTCTGATCTAGGGGCTGTAATTCTCGCTTACAAAACTTTAACATCTGTTTATATGCATATCGCGGGTAACATACCATAGCGCGATGTAGCCGTTTAATACAACGCCATCTATCGGACACAATCTTCAACTTATGATCTACATAATTATAATACTATGTTACTTTGATTTTAAACATATTTAAACTACTGTATGAGTGTGTAATTATTTTATTCATGTGAAGACTTTTAACAACATATCTCAATTCGAAGCCAGATTACTTTTTCCGATTTGAGACGAAGTCATGAATGATTTTATAATTTTTTATTATTATTTATATCATCCTGATGTTCGTAGTTATATATAGATTTTAACTTATTTTTAACTTGACAGGCTACAGCTGAAACGGCATTCGACATGTTAACCCCCGGGCCGACGATACAGCTACAGGACACGTACGAGCGGCGCGAACGTAGACGGCGACGTAGGCACGACTCCGGGCGACACCCCGCCGACATACGTGAGGGCGTCGCTAGCGCATACCAAACTGTCAGAGAGGTCAGATATTGGAATTATTTGCTCCTCCAATTATACTAGATGGCCCCAACAGATTTTACTTTTTTTTAATTTAGACAATTTCTTAAGTGGGAAAAAAATTAACACCCGAGAGGCGGTACAAAACGCTTTCTCTGACTTAATCGCCTCCCGTCCAGCAGACTTTTACAGTAAAGGGATAGACAAATTGCAATTGAAAATGAAACAATATATAGATAATTTAAGCCAGTACTTTGATTAGCTAAGATAAAAAAATAACTAAAATTATTATATTTTTAAAATTTTCATACAAATCCAACTTCATAGGTAGAGACCTATTATGTCGATGATATTATTGCTTAATTTGGTTTCCAAAGAGGCCTGTGGAACTCGTTATTAAATGATTATTTTTCGCTATTTAGTTATCAATAGAATTATAATTGAATAATAAATGTATTTCTATAATATTAAGTAATTTTTGTTTTGGGTATAAACTACAACAAATTTTCTAGTTAATTTCTAATTTAACCGTCAATAAGTGCAACCGTTAATGTAGCGCTGGATATATAATAATACACACGGCTGTCTGATTTCAAACTAAGCAGAGCTTCTACTGTGATAACCAGAGTGCCGATAGACTAGTGAGTAATATGATACGGTGCGTAGGGGTTCGCGGACACGGCGGCGACTATGGCCGCTGCGGCGCGCTGGCAGCACGGCGTGGGCGTGCTGCGGCACCTGCCGGGCGCGGCCGTGACGCCGCTGGCGCTGGCGGCGGCGGGCGCGGCGGACGTGCTGGGCGGCGTGCGCGCCTCGCTGGCGCCGCGCGACGAGCGCGACCACCACCACAAGTGGCGCACGCAGCCGCACCCCTCCGCCGGTCAGTCACTCTCTCTTTCTTACACCCTCACTTGTTAATACCGAAACGAACTTCGTTGAGGCTGGTTTTTTTTTTAATTCCTTAATATGATAAATGTAATTTTGGAAAAAAACTATTTTTTTTTTAATTCGAATTATGTATAAATTTGAAAGAGAACTTTCGAAATAGGACAAGGTAAAAATAATATAATCAGTCAATGAATAGTCTAAAAAGTAGACTTGTTTGTAATTCTGAATTTATGTAGAGGGTATCGTAAAGTCTACAGCTTTACGGTTCAAACCCCGACCTGAATATTGATTATTGTACAATTAAAAGTGATTAAATGTGTATTTCTTTTGTTACAGATAGAATAGATTAAGAAGAAACAAAGAAGCGTGTTTTATATTTTGTACGATGATCTCTCTTACTTATTCTCGTGTATCGATCACCTGCAACGGTGGATTGCGCCAACTTCTTAAACAACAATAGTAATTCATCGCCTGATCGATTTTTAAGCGATAAATCATTTTTAGGAAAGAAACAACGTGTAAAGGATTTGCGCAAAATAGATAACTACGCCTACTAATAATCCTAAGCCTCACTATTACATAAAAGTACATATCTAACATTCTAAAGGCTTTGAGATAAAACTTCTACAAGCCAAAAAAAAAATTGCTCAGTTTATTTTTAAGTCAGTCAGTTTAGTCAAAAAATTAATCAATCGACTGCCACTTACATAATTATGTTCCCACTTTAACTAAGATATGTATTAAATCCTTTCATCTTATATGAGTATCTTTTAAAAAAGTAGGCTTTGAAAATTTGTGTGCCACAAGATATTTTTATACAAAATCATTTAAACGTGTGCATCGTAATCAGTAAAATTGTGATTGATATCTAACACGCAAGTGATCTAAAAATGTGATCTATTTTTATATAAAGTTACAAATTACATAATCTAGGTTACAAAACTTAATTTTCCCGTTTTGATATGGATTTTATTTTGTAAAATTTGTCATTTCAATGTTGTAATATTATTTGAGCATCGGTTAAGTAACTCATTATAATCTTATGATAGTTTAGATTTAGTCAATGTAGTGTTTATTTGATACGTGACTTTCGAGTGCAGAATCGTGTCTAGTATATTTTGTGTTGTAATTTTCTGGTATTAGCTTCATGAAGATGTAACATAAATGCATTTGTAATGACACAAGAGACACGACGACAAAAAATGCGATATTGATCTAATCACACTAAACAATTAACAAATTGATATAGTAATGAAAAATGACAATCAAAAAACAATCAGATTATAGAGACGATTTTGGGTTTTAGGACCGACGATTAGGTCAGTTTCACAATTTTTTGCAGTTGTCACTGTCGCTCCGAACGGGCGAAGTATCGAATATGCACTCGTAACCACTAAGTACCTCTTTAGACTTTTGCGTAAAAACAAAAAAAAACTTGATTTTGAGTTAGATGTTGCATCTGTATTTTTTTATTTTCTTATAAACTCATAAAAAGACGCCTTGTGAGGCTAGATAACCGCTAATGCAACTTCTTTTATCTTCTTATATTTTAGGAGGGCAAACGAGCGAGCGGGTCACCGGATGGTAAGTGAGTACCACCACCCATAGACACCTGTAACTCGAGAGTCACAGTGTGTTCCCTCCCTTTCTCCCTTTGAGTACCCCTCCCCAATATCAGGGCTGGCTTGAGCTCCGGTAACCTTACAAAGCAACGAACAAATATCTCAACATCGGTGTTCTATGAGGCCGTGGTATCACTGGTATCATTCCGGTCGATGTGACCTATTTGTGCAGAAGCATGACTCTCACATCTACAACTCTCCTTTGTAAGTCAAAGTGGTGCTCTAGTTGAACAGTTCTTGTGCATTTTAAGGCATTTAGCGGCGCCGTTACCTTTGAAAATAGCCATATATATATATGTGAACGTAATAGGGATCGGGTGCCATGACAGATAGTAATAAATAATTAATACTCTGCTAATTGGTAGAATTTATTTGGTAGAATTAGAACTCATTTTGGGGTAGAGAGATTTCACTCCAAAATTATTAGGAGAAAGGGATTATCGACTTCGTAGGTGCCTGTAAAATACTATAGCATAAATAAGTGCAGTAAAGGAAACTATACAACTTGTTTTGTTTTTTTGTTCTATGTTTCTGGTTGTTATCGATTTTTTTTAGCAGCAATTAAAGATATAAAATATTTTCTGACCTATCCTGCGTCCTTGTACCCATTGGGCGTAGTAGTCCTATATATCTATGAACCAGGAGCATTGTACATAATTTTTATTAAGGGTTTCGTTGCGTATGATCAAATTCGCAATCGGTCAAGTGGCTGAAAAAAACAGCGACATCACGAACTGTAAAAATAGCTGGGCAATATCACGAATGGTCAAACTCACATAATCTTCTAAACACGAACGGTCAAATTAGCAAACAGTCAAGATCGCAATCGGTCGAATGTTTTACTTCACGATTAGCTCCTAGTTATGTATGTCAATAATGTATCCACTACTATCTGACATTATCAACTATTAACTATTACTACAAATAAAAATAAGATTAAATAGTATTTTTACTAATCATACAACATTCTTGTTTGTTTGTACAAAAAATGTAAATGCCATTTTCTCAAGATGTTCTTTTCTCAGTAAGTGCCCGAACCGAACTGGGCCTCAATTCTGCTATTTTATGTTCACGCCAAGCCACTGTCATACCACTGACACGCTATCGAGATGCCATCGAGTGGCCATTGGCATCGGTATAAATATCGGTAGTCTACACTAACTCAGTGTCTTTACAGTGGCGATGGAATGGCAGCGGCTCATCAGTGGTGATATCAAAAAGATTGCCATATTTGGAAAAATAAATAAATCATTTCCTCAAAAAAACGTAATATATTTTCAAATTATAAGCGTGTCAATGGTATGACAGTGGCTTGGCGTGAACATAAAATAGGAGAATTGAGGCCCTGATTGTAGTAGTTGAACCGATTTCACTAGCTTGTAGAAAATGCAGCGGTAGGTTAGGTTAAGTTAATCACGCTCGAGCCGAGCGACAGTGCCGCGACAGCGGTCAACTAGTGACAGAACGTTCGCTGTTTAGACACTTAGCTATTGACGGATTTTCACGAATTTGATCAATTGTGGCTTTAAACATACGTGTCAAAACGTTGTTTAGTCGTTAAATTAAATTTTAATTATTTGAATTAGAATTTTTATCATTATTTTTATATTCATTCTCATAGCCCTTAGAACTGCTCCCGGATTCTCGTAATAAAAAATCGTTTAAAATTCAGTTCCGATCTACTCGCGATCTCACAAATGCCATAAAAGGTATTCTCCTAGTAAAGTATTATTAAGCTAGCAGAATACCGATTCAACTTTTGGTCACAATACGATATAATCATATTTCAGCCGACGTTGAATAGATGGAGATCGGCATTAATTTTGAACGAATTTTTATTACGATAATTGACCTTCTGGGTTTTATTGTTTAAATAAAGCTGTATGTTGCAGTTGAATACAGGTGTGAGGGTTCAACTTATTATATTTTACCTTAAATTAGAAGGCTTTTTGCATGTTATGTGTGATTCTTTAACATTTAATAGACTAGTAAGACTATTCCAATAATGATTTTATTCAAAACAAGAAGAATACATTTAATAATTTGAAATCGATGAATAAATAAATGCAACAAATAATTAGTTTATTTATTTATTTTCTAATACTAACAACTAATAAAATACTATTTTCTAAGCTTCCTGTTCATTTTTCTCTGGATATTTGTCTGTGAGGAAACTTTTTACCTCTCCATATTCAACTTTCAGGTTGAGACGAATTTTTTCATGGTTCCTGTACTTTTCATATTTCCTCAGGAATATTTTGTAATGTGGCATGGACTCGTAGAAGCGGGGAAACTTCTTCTTCTTCAATATAACCTTGTCGTTCATGACATACTGTGTGAAATCCAAGGTTTCATCCTTGGGTATTTGTTCCTTGGTACGTACCTCGCTCGGGCTGGCTATAACTTTCGGAAAATATGCATTTTCGGACTTATATTCTACGAGGTGAAGTTTTTTTTCTTCAGCTAGTTGTTGGTGGGTTTTCTAAAAAATAATAATAACAATAATATAATTGGCAAAGAAGTTACTTACTACTTACTCACTTTCTATACTTACTTGTTGCAATAGACCAATGAAAAATGCCTTAACAAGGTGTTGCAAGTTATTAGAGCCCTCAACTTTAGCCCTCAAATCTTTGATGCCAATGGCTTGACAAATTTCTTTAATAGCTCTATGGCACACCAAACCATAGCCTTCATTCTTCTTTTGTACAAAAATTTTTGTTTTGCCAAATGCTGTGTAGAAATCGTGGTTAACTGAAAAATAGAAAGAACTAGCAATATAAGAATGTTACTAAAAAAAAAACAATATAAGATGGTCAAACAAGTGTGACGGAACATGGTGCTCCCTCAGCTAGATTTAAATGCTGTGATTAAAATGAATTGATGACATTAACAAACAAATAACTATAGTCCATTCATCCTAAGAAAATAGTAATCATCAGATCCCACCCGTTAAACAGTTAAGCTCCAAGAAAAAACTATAGTTTCTTGATTAGCCAGAGACACATCAACCAATCACCCGCTCCCTGACCAATCAGGTTCTAAGAAAGAAATAACGATAAATTAAGACTGGTATTAGGTATTGATTCAGGCCGCAATCAACCGTCCCCGCTGGAAATCATTGGGAGAGGCCTATGTCCAGCAGTCGACAAGCACAGGCTGAGGTAAATTAGGTATTGTTAGTACTATGAAGTTTTTAATACTCTAATAATAGTCATATTGAATGAGTTTGACCCTCAAAGTTTAACCACCCTATGGTTTTTTTAGGGTTCCGTACCTCAAAAGGTAAAAAAGGAACCCTTATAAGATCACTTTCTTGTCTGTCTGTCCGTGTGTCACCACCGATTTTCTCAGGAACAGGTAGACCTAGCAAGTTGAAATTTATACCAGATATTGAGGTCTATGGTCCCTATTAGGTGTATTAAAATCAATATCCTGAATCAACATGATAAAAAGATATGGGCAAATTTAGATTTTCGCGAAAACTTAAAAGTATTTTTTAGAATTTTCTCTTTACTTGTGGTATAAGACCTTGCTTTTAACCAAAACTGACAATTCTAGGTCAACCGGAAGTACCCTATAGGTTTGGAGTCAAAAACCTATTTGGTAGTTCCCGTTGACCTAGAATCACGAAATTTGGCAAAAAGAAACGTATTACAGCACAAATAAAGGAATAATTCCAAAAAAATAAAAAAAGTTTTGCGAAAATCTGGGTAGGTACGGAACCCTCGGAACACGAGTTCGACTCGTACCTGACTGGTATTTTTTTTATTAAGAACTTAGTAAAATGTTTAATGTAGTTACTTGTATGTCCATTATATATTTCAAAGTGCATAAGTTTCTGTCCAGCTCTGTTTTTGGCTTTCCTTAAAGCTGCTGGCGCTTCCTTTGCTTTGCCAAACCCAAATCCAGCAAGACCTTGACCATTTCCAGTCACCACCTTTTATAGAAGATAATTATGTGATAAATATCAGTAAATATTAAGTGTCATTCACAATGATAAGATTTTCAGTTCTATATTGAAATAAAATATTATTATTTGTGCCCAAGGTAAAATTATTCTTCATTCGGCTCTGCTTAGCCTGCTTAGTGTTGTGTGTCAGAGAATATTATTTTTATATCAGATAATACAGGTATGACTTGTTCACATTTTCACTTAAGCTTGTATGGATATTAAGATAATGATGAATTTTTAAAGTTAGTAACTCTCTATCTCTGTTAATTAGCATACTTTCCTTTCAGCATATAATAATGCAGTATAATGTTGCATAACCTAACCACTTCAAAAGAAATGTGAATCGAAAAAAAGTCATAATCTAATCTTTGTGTGATCCACAAATTGTTGTTCTAAGTCTGGTTGTTCTTTGTGTCTGTTTCATGTATGTTTGTAAAGTCTGTGCCATTTTGGGTTGATTATGTAGTAAATAAGAGAATAATAAGGATACGAGGAATATAAAAAAAGAACACATGATCTCAATCTTGTCAAAAGTTATTATAAAAATAAAAACATTCTTACCATAGCTTGATAATTCCTAGTACGTCCAAGACTTCCTTTCATAATTAACAGTGCTCTTAATTGTAGTACTTTGGTGTCAAAACCAGTAAACTCGTCTGAAATATTTATTTAAATAAATATAGTTAGTGTTTAGGGCTCATGTTGACAATTAATCGACATGATATGTATGTTTACTACATAGACATACCTTCACCAATTTTGTCAGGTGGTCCAATGCTTCGCCCAGGCAATTTCGAACCTGACCATCCCCTTTCTATAGGACTAAGTTTTAAACGTCTAAATTTTATCATTGAGTCCCTGATTTTAATCAACTTTTCTAATCTGAAAAAGAAAATGTGGTAAGTGAAACACAGTGGCTGAATATAACTATAGGATACACAAATAAAATTCTAAATATCTGTTTAAATATGATAACAAACAAAATCTTTACCTTTCAGGATCTTCAGGTAGGCGTTGCTGTCTCAAAAGTTCTCTGCCCCTAATAACAGGAGCAGAGAGACCGGGCCACAACATATTGACTTTTCCAACACCAATGACTTGGCCGCGGTTTAAATCTCGAATACGAATGCGCCCTGCTCCCTTACCACGACCCTTCTTAGCACCAGCATTACTTACAGACGTCACGGACTTCCATAATTTTTCTGCAGGCACTAAATTGAATAAGAAAGTAAAATCAATCGGACTATGTTGAGATTTAGAAAGAATTAAAAAAATATATACCTCATTAAACTCACTTACATTTATTGAAAAAGTTTACACAAGCTACTGTAGTAGTACTGAAATTCGTTTTGAGGTTAGAGTTTATATTGTTTTGCTTCAAAAGTAAATTAATGGGTCGGCTTAGTATATTCCCTAGAGTTAATATTTTTGTAGCCATTATAAAATCTGACTGTAGTGAATTAAAGCAAATATTTTATTTTATAACATAAATCAAACTAATCAGTACATTTTCATGTTTGACAGTTGATGGTTTGACATTGACAAGCGACATTTATAACATTTTTTTTACCATCAAGTTCTACTGAATGGAGAACAAGTACGGGTACGACCCCAGGATAAATGCTTTTACTCTTTCCATCGCCATCACACAATTATTATTTGTCCTCTCGATATTGAAGTTATAAAATTTGGTTTAAAAGTCAGGATCGATCGATTTAGGCTCATCGGTTGGCCAGGACTAGGTTCCACGAATGGGTAATATGCGGTAGGCCGAGAGAGGGCGTCATGTACAATTGGATGAATGAAAGCAGGAAAGTGTTTAAATCGCGCCTAAGATGGTGACAAGCCCACCAAGAGCAAATAAAAATAGATGCTCTCGCTGAAAAGCACTCGAGAGGGGACTTTCGGGGTTTTTGGCGTAGTACAAATAAAATGAACATACGTCCTGGCCTGTCGGTGAGTGTGTCTGGTATGAGCGATCCCAGGGGTATTGCAGATATGTTTAGGAGCCATTTTACTGTGCACTCGCTTTTAGGGTAGGGGAACAGAGTGTTCAATCCTGAGATCACAGGTCAAACTATAGAAACAAATATTACAGGTAGAGAGGTATTACTAACTATAAAATCTATGAAAAGGGGTAAGTCTCCAGGGCACTATAGTCTCGGCATTGAGCATCTGCAACATGCAGGTCCACACATATATAGCGTATTGGCTATGTTTTCTTGTAAGCCACTCGTATCTCCCTGAATCTTTTATGAGAACCATTGTGGTGCCTGTAGTAAAGGACAGAACCGGTGATCTTGCCGATAAAAGTAATTACAGGCCTATAATGGCGAAGGTGTTTGACGGTGTGCATAATACATATTTAGACAAATACGTGAAATTGCATGATAATCAGTTTGGGTTTAGATCTCAACTATCTACTGAGAGTGCTATACTATCCCTTAAGCATACCGTCAAATACTATACAGATCGTGGTACACCAATTTATGCGTGCATCCTCGAGTTGTCACGCGCTTTTGACCTAGTTCATTATGACATTCTGGAGGATAACATCAACACTCAACAGCATTAGCCTTCCTAAAGACCTGGCCAATATATTTAAATATTGGTACACACATCAACTAAACAGTGTCAAGTGGGCTGGTACAATTTCGGAACCATACCGGCTTGAGTGCGGAATGAGGCAGGGTGGGTTTACATCACCAACACTGTTCAATTTGTATGTGAACGAACTTATTGTCGCGCTTGGCAATAGCCGTGTGGGATGCCGCATTAACAATGTGTGTGTCAATAACCTTAGTTACGCAGACGACATGGTTTTGCTGAGTGCGTCGGTATGTGGGTTGCGTAAATTGTTACGGGTGTGCGAGGATTTTGTGCGTGAGCATGGCCTACGATATAATGTTGTGAAGAGTCAGTTCATGGTCTTTCAGACCAGTACACAATGTCCACAAAATGTACCTCCAGTTCGTCTTAATGGAACTAACCTGGAGAGGGTCTATAAATTTAAATACCTAGGACACTGGGTTACAGCGGATCTGAGAGACCTTGAAGACATGGAACGGGAACGGAGGGCATCAAAAAGAGCTAATATGATTGCTCGCAGGTTTGCACGATGTTCAGTACCAGTTAAGATAACACTTTTTAAAGCATATTGTACATCCCTCTACACGTGCAGTCTGTGGGCAAACTACACGAAACTTGGCTATAACGCCCTCCGTGTTCAGTATAACAATGCGTGCAGGGCAGTGTTGGGGCTGTCCCGCTTCTGCAGTGCCTCGCGCAAGTTTTGCGGAAGCTCGCGCCGACTGCTTTCACGCCACCATGCGCAAACGGTGCGCCTCCTTGGTGCGCAGGGTGCGGGACAGCTCCAATTCCGATACTGGCGATGATAGCAGACAGATTAGACTGCCCTTATATGCGACATTGCTGTAGCAGGCACCTTGAATAATAAGGTGGTATGCACTTTAATATTTATTAGGACATTTTTGGATGCGCTAAATTGAATTTCAAAATGTATAGTAAATTTATAGAAGTAATTAAAATAATTATAATAAGACTAAAATGAATAAATAGTAATAATATAATTAATGAATATAATATCTGTTGTCTCTTCTGTTTATTGTTATGTATGTGTTATGAGGAGGGAAATGTCATGGGGTGCGTGGTCCGGAACCTCCTTGTGGTGCACCCTGGGCAACGGAGACGGCAGCGCCTCTCTCCCTAGGTGGGGGAGGCGCTGCCGCCTGCGGCCAATTCCGGCCGAGGTGGGAACGGCCCGTCAAGGGCTGTTCGGAGGGCTGCTTTCCGCGTGTCCCTCTGTTTGGCAGAAGGCATAGGGGAGAGCGGGCTGGGGGCGGACGGGTCCACTGCAGCTGGCTCTGTCCAGAGGTGGGGGACACTGGTCTGACGCAGACCACCGTCCGGCCATGTCGTAACCCTGACTGGCAACGGTCAGGAATGACGGCTCTTCGAGGGCTACGAGAAAGGCAACCTCTATAAAAAACCCTGGGGCGGACGGACCCGGTCTGGTGCAGACCCCGTCCGGCCCAGCCGTAATCCTGAATGGACAGGACCGGTGGATCTTCGGATCCGCGAGGACGTAAACCTCTATAAAAAATGCTCTAAGCCCACGTTCTGACGCCTGGCAAGGGGCTGAGTCGCTGGAGGGAGTCCAGTGCCGAAGGCGTCCCCGTCGAAGGACGTTAAACTTAATTCATGACATGGGCCCTAAGATTAATAAATCTACCCAGGAGGGTACCAGACGCACTGCGTCTGGAGAATCCCTCCCGGAGCCAGACGGCTCCGGCAGCTCCCAAACGTACTCTGGGGGGAGCAACCTCTGTCAAACCTGCCCGTCGCCGAGCAGTAAATCCGGCGACCGAAATAACGCGGAGGACACAAAAAACCTGGAGGTAGTGTCGAACACCGACACTGCCTCAGAGATGAGCGAAGCGAGTACCCCGATGGTCTCAGCTGCGGAACAGCACCAGAAGGGCGCTCTCTTCGCCTTGGCCTGAAGAGGCAATTCGGCCTCGAGCGATGACGCCACGGCTCCCAAAGTCGGCACAAGCCGCAGAGGCGCTCGCGGCGGAGGCCGACTTCCTAGGGTTGCCCAGGAGCAGAAGAAGGAGCCCCTACGCTCCTACGCTCCCGTGAAGAGGGTCGCGTCCGAGAGGTCGATAGACGTGACCGAGGTGAGGAGCGAGAAGGAGGGTGGCAAAACCGGCAACCCCGTCGACTGGATTGAGGAGGCAATCGGCGAGGCCGATTGCTTACTTCGGACGTCCGGGTTGGCCGGGGGCCCCCAACAGGAGTCCCTGGTAGCGGTCGTGCGCTCCATAATTGAGGCGGGCAGACTCCTCGTGGCCGAGAGCAAGGCCCACGCTAGGGAGAGAGCCCGCCTCGAGGCGGATCTCGACTCATCACAGGCTCGTGCCCACGCTGGTGCCACACCAGCGCCTAGGCGCTGTCCGCCCCGGAGCCGGAGCCGGGCTTAGTCCGACTCATGGCGGAGATGGAGGAGCGGATAATGAGGCGCATCTCCGCAGTAGAGAGCGCCCGTTGTCGCCCACGGCCTATGCGGCCGCTGCCAGGGCGGGCCTAACAGCCCAGCCAGCAGCTAGGGTGGCTGGGCCGTCATCAGCGCCCCCGCCCCAGAAGGCCGGAAAGGGCAAAGGGAGGGGGAAGGCGGCCCCAACTCAAGCCCCAGTCTCGGCCCCGGCTGACACCGCACAGCGCCCGTTGGAGCGGGGCTGGACGGTGGCCGGGGACAGTAAAAAGAGGCGGAAGGCCGCCAAAAAAGCGGCCAAGAAGGCGAGGAGGGACGCCGCCGCCGCCGCGAAGGGAGCGCCGAGGAAGCTCCGCGCCCCTCGCTCCTCGGCCGTCGTTATCACTTTGACGGCGGAGGCAGCGGAGAGGGGCGTGGGGTACGCCGAGGTCTTGACGAAAGTCAAGGCCAACGTGGACCTCAAAGCCCTCGAGATTCCGGGCGTCCGGTGTAAAAACACACTGACGGGAGCCCGGCTCCTCGAGGTCGCCGGCGCTACCAGTGGCCCCAAAGCCGATGCCCTATTGGCTAAGCTGAGGGAGTCACTGGATGCAGCTGACGTCCGAGTGTCCAGGCCCACTAAATGCGCCGAAGTTCGCATCACGGGCCTGGCGATGGGGCAGCGGTTGTCAGCTGCCCCATCGCGGCGGCCCAGAAGGTCGCCGATGGACGGAGCCTCCTGGTCGGAGGTTTCCTGAGGGCGCAGGCACGACTCCTGCAGGCCCGACCGGCAAGGTGCTTCAGGTGCCTGTCGGTGGGGCACGTAGGGGTGCACTGCACGGCGGAGGCCACCGTAGGTGACCGATGCTTCCGCTGTGGCCAGCCCGGTCACAAGGCGGGTGGCTGCAACGCTCCGCTGCGTTGCTTTAGGTGCGCAGCGGAGGGCAAGCCTGCCGACCACCGGGTTGGTGGTAAGGCCTGTGCCCTATCAGGACCGAAGCCGGGAGGCCGACCTTCCGCCTCCGGGCCGCTGATCCAGACGGGGAGTGCCACTGGACAGCAGCAAAGTTCGCTGCGGGATGCGGGGATGGAAGTCCAGTGATGGATCCACATCTCCGCATCCTCCAGGTGAACGTAGGCCATGGTGCCGATGCTCAGGATCTTCTGCTCCAGAGCATGGCACAGTGGTCCATCAACATCGCCGCTATCGCCGAGCCATATGTCCATCGGTTTCTCGGGCCTGCCTGGGAGACCGACTTGGACGGCACGGCGGCCCTGGTGCACGGTACCGCAGCCGGCACTCCACCCCTTGCAGTAGTTGCAAGGGGACGGGGCTGTGTAGCGGCGATAGTTGGGGATATAGCGGTCGTGGCCGCTTATTTCACGCCGAACCGAATCCTAACTGAGTACGAGCAATGGCTCGCTCAGCTGGCCGTCGTCGTTGA